CTCCCTCCTTGCCACTCTACACCTTATTTTTATAGAAGTTTACACATTTTTTACAAAATATTTTTTGCCTGCGGATTTTATATTTTAAAATTAATTTAAATTTTTTTAAGTTCTCTGACAATATTTTCAAATTTGCCGAGGCTTTACTTGAAGATTATGAGGGGAATATCCACAAAGCTTTACCATTGATATCTAAAGAATTAATACAAGGATCTAACAAAAGAGAAGCAGAAATAAATGCTAAAAATAAAAGGTTGGAATTTAAAAATTTGTTTTAATTAAATTCATGTTTTTATTGGGAGCATTTAATTTTTTCAATAAAATTCCGAAAAATGTTAAGAATAAATTTATGTTCCTTAAATTCCGAAACTTACAAATATGTTCTATTCATATTTTGGTTTTTTACTGAAAATTTTTCAATAATTCTGATCAATTAAAAACAATAACAACACCTCTTATTTTTAAAATTTTTCAGAACATATAATAATATAGCTTCAAGTCTATGCCAAATATGTTGCAACAAAGCTTTACATTGGCGTCATGTTGATTTTGCTCAAACTCTTCTAAGTCTTTTATTACGTCGAGATACAACGTTACAATCTGATATTATTCTCCATTTCTTCCAATTATTAATATCTGATTCGATAAAAACAAGAAAATTAGCAACTAGTTTTTGCGCTTCTTGGTTCAAAATAAATAGACATAAGGCAAAGAAGATTGTTAAAAATATTAATTTGAAGGAAGGAGGAGAAAATAATGGAGTTGGGGCTAAGTGGCCTATTAAATTTGGAATTAGAAAGGATAATAGGTTAATATATTAATTTTTAAAAATTATTTCTTTTTAGTTTTCTCCTTTATGATGCTGATAAGTTACCTTCTGGTAAAAAAGAATGGGATAATTCTGAATTCCATCATGTGAGGAATTTTTTTTATAAATTTTAATTAAAACAAGCATAATTTGGGAGTTTTGGGTATTCAATGCATGTTTCTATTAAATTCTGATTTTTTCCTATATTTTTATTATTTCCGAAAATTGTTTTAATTAAATTCTGATATTCTTGAAAACATTTATTAATCTTAAAAATTAAAATATAGAAACCTCACTGGGGCTTTTATACATGGCCTAAAGAATTCAAAGTCTATGCCTCTCCATTAAATCAAGACTGGTCAAATCGTGAATATTCTCAATTTAGTCAACTTGAGCAATCAATAATTGGAATATTTAAAGATACTGAATTTTTGAATAAATTTGCTAGTCTTTATTCATTAGAGGATGAGGTTGGATTTTTATTATCATTTTAAATAATATTTTTTATTTTAAGAAAGACGATAAGGAATTTGATGCTGTTCATTTCTCCTTGTTTAATGTGAGTTTAATGTTTTATTTAATTCAAGGTTTTTCCGTAAAAACTTTTCGGTAAAGCATTGTTTGATATTCTGGTTTGTCTAGATAATGTTTTAATTTATTGTCTTTCCGGAAAATACTTGTAATAATATTTCATGTTTTTCCGGAACACCAAATACAACGCCAAAATATATTTCCGATTTTCCTGAGAGTGTTTTAATTAAATTCTGATTTTTCCGGAAAATGTTCTATTTAAATTCTGGTCTCTGAAAAACAATTAAAATACTTAATCGAGCCCTATTCTAATTTTTTTTATTTTTAAGCGTATTTTCCGAACATTCAATGATAATTTGTTGGACAATTTTATTGCTATTTTGGATCCTCTTCTTGTAGATAATAAGGTAAAAAATTTTGTGATTATTTTTAAAATTAATATTTTAAAGGAGAGTTGTCAAAGATTAGCAGCTGAAATAACTGCTGGAATGATTTGTGGCTCCAAATTATGGAAATTTGAAAAACGTGAAAAAGTGTTAAAATTGTTGATACCCAGATTGGAAACAACATTGTTGGAAGTGCCTCAAGAAAATGAAAAATATTGGGGAACATGTATTGCAACAATTGTATGTTTTGTTTGAATTTAATTCTGATTTTTTCGGAAAATGTTTTAATGAAATTCTGAATTTGGAAACATGTTTCAACTAAATTCTGATGTTTCCAGAAAATGTTTTTATGTAAATTCTGGTTTTCCATTGTTTTTCTTAAAATATGTTTTGATTAAATTCTGATTTTTCCTGAGATTGTTTTAATTAAATTCTGATTTTTCCTGAGATTGTTTTAATTAACTTCTGATTTTTCTGGAAACATGTTTTGATTAATTTCTTATTTTTCCGGAAACATTCAAGGATATTTATTTATGGTGTATTGGTTAGTGTGTTAGGCTTGTTTTTGTAGTAGTTAAAGGTTCGACCCCTTTTATTTCCTATTTATTAACTGAAAAAGCATTGATTTTTCACAAATTTTTTTTAATTTTCTAATTTTTTAGTGTGGTAGTTGTGAACCTCGTCAAATTGGATGGTTGATTGAATTACTTTTCCAATTAATTAATAAACCAACAGATATTAGTAGTCAAATTAAAACGTGAGAGAAAATTTTTTTTAATTTTTAAAAATCCTAAATTTTTTTCAGAAGAATTTATCTTCTCCAATCTGCTTTAAACGAATTTGAATGGCTTATACCTTTTGAGTGGAAACGTTTAGCTAATTATTGTATTAAATTAACTGATAACACATTCCAAAATGTTCGTCAACGTGCTGGAAGGTTCGGAAAAAAATTTCTGCAGAATTAAAAAAAAATGTTTTTTACAGTTGTCTAGCGACTTGTGCATTTTTCTATCATAAAGATGCTTTTTATTATCCTGAACTTGAGGAGAAATTTAAATATTTGAAAATTAGTCAAGTTATTGATGAAATTAATGTTAAGGTGAATTTTCTTTTGTTTATCCTCGATTTCGAGAAAAGAACATTTTTATTCCCTTTTCCATCCTTGAACCTCTAAAATAAAAGCAGTTTATTTTGGGATGTGTTTGGGTATCTAGAGGGGTTCCCTCATATTTTATTTAAAAAAGGAATCTTCAAATCTAAATCCCTTAGGATAATCCTTTAAAACCTCCAAAAAATCCTTTAAAAAATTTTTTTTATTTCAACAGCTTGAACCTCTATGGAATGAAGCAATAAATTCAATACAATCACAAAATAACAAAAACAATGATTCTTCAATAAAACATGTCGATTCAACTTCTGTATTGTTAAATGGAAAAGATGAATTCAAAAAAGAAAAGCTTCACTTTTTAACTCTAATTTCTTTCCTTTATTCTCTTAAATCAATGTATGGGACGCATCTGGATACAAATTCAATGAAGCTTTTGCCTTTATTTACACATTATGCGAATGATAAAACGTGAGGGTTTTTAATTTAAAAAATTTTTTTGAAAGGTTAGGAAGTAGAGAATAAGGGAATATTTCAAGAACTAGGATAATTAACATCTTGGGCCTTCCTTTTTCACCTGAGACCCTTATTTTTGCTAATTTTAGGGTGTCAAGGATCGCATACATATTACATACACATTTTAATTTAAATAATATTTTAGAGATGAAGAACTCCAAGCAAGTTGCATTACACATATTGTACAGAATATGGGCCTTTCTATTATTTCCAATGATCAAATAAATGTATTATTTGAAGTCTGCCAGACTATACAAGAGAAAGGATCGTGGAAAGCAAAAATAACGTGAAGGATTTTATTTAAGAGTCTCCTAAAATTGTTTTTCAGGCTTCTCAGATTTTTACAAGTCTTTGTATTCACCAATCTTTTCATTCTACGGGCTAAAACTGGAACTTTTGAATTTTTACAATCGTTGCTTCTCAAGCTTTTGGTTGATGGGCGTTTTGAAGTTCGTGAAGCAAGTGCGGAAACTTTGAGTGGATTGGGTAGGGAATTTTTTCTAAAATTTATTTCGACTAAAATCTAATTTTTAAAAATCTTTTAGTGCGAGCTGGAATTATTTCTGTTGATGAACAACTTGTTAAGAGCGCAGAAACCCTCGCGTCTTCCCCCAAGCAGTCAATTGAAAGACACAGCGGAGTGCTAGCTTTGGCTTCTATTGTTTTAGCATTTCCTTATTCTGTCCCTTCTTTTCTGCCAAAAGTGTTGATGCATTTGTGCAAACATGCAACTGAGCCTCAGCCGATTTATGGAACTGTGAAACGGGCACTTTCCGAGTTTAAGGTGAGAAAATATTAATCATAAATTAATAAAATATTTTAATTTTTAGCGCACCCATCAAGACGAATGGCACGAGCACAAGCTCGAATTTACAGAAGATCAGCTACAAATACTCACTGATCTAATTGTTTCCCCAACTTATTATGTTTAATTTTTAGAATATCGGTTGTCATTTTTATTTTTTAAATAAATTCTTATTTTTTGTGGAATAATTTGAGGATTGATTTTATCGATTAGTATCGATTTTTTGAAAAATTAAAATTTCTAAATAATCCAAAAGATCACCAATACAAAATATCAACTTTATAAATTAGGTAATGAAAAACAGATAAAATAGAATTTTTCTGCTGAATTAAGTAAATGATTATTTATCTATCACAGTCACTTCAATTAGATTATATCTCAATTTGTTTATAAGGCAGGCAATAACATAGAACGGCATTCTCCAAAACCAACTCTGATATTTGTCTTCTTATCGTAACAAAAACCTGAAAATACAAATTTAAAATAAGACTCGCGTATCCCTCTATTCTAAAATATATCCTTCCGGAAACAATAGTCTTATAATTTTCCGGAAAATAATATTATATTAAACACTTTCCGGAAATATAAAATACATAACTTATCAGAAAATATACACTATAAACTTTCCGGAAATATATGTATTATTTATATAACCTTCCGGAAACGTATGAGTATATCCCAGAAAAACAAATATGATTTCTCGGTAGTTATAATTTTCCGGAAAATAATATCAAGTAAACTTTCCGAAGTATAACTATAATATCCGGAAACGAGTCTGTTAATATATATTTCCGGAAAATTAATTTCTGGTTTTAAGATTCTGGTCTTCCGGAAAACACAAATTATTGTTATATTTCATGTTTTCTCTACCTTTTATAGTCACTTCATCTCCATCAACCAAAAACTTTCTAGTTTGTCCACTATCACCCAATTTAACAGGATTTTGACCACGCCAAGAAAGTTCTAATAAACATCCCAAAGAATCGGGTGTCTAAAAAAACAGAATTTTTTAATTTTTATTTAATTTACCGGTCCAGAAATTGTTCCAGAACCCATTAAATCTCCTGGGCGTATATTGCAGCCGTTACTTGCATGATGGGCCAATTGTTGTTTTATTGTCCAATATAAATATTTAAAATTTGTTTTGGAAAGAGTATAGTCTACATTACTGTCCTTAGCTAAAAATTGAAGAGAAAATTAAAGAATTTTCCGGAAAACACAAAAACAAAGTAATTATACTCTTTCCGGAAAAATAAATTCAGAGTTATATTCCTTCCGGAAAATTAAATAATTTTCCGGAAAACACAAAAACAAATAAATTATACTCTTTCCGGAAAAATAAATTCAGAGTTATATTCCTTCCGGAAAATTTTAAAAAACCTGAAAAGGTCATTCGAGTCTAAGACTACGCAACTTTCTTTTACCTATAACTTTCTTCAACTTCAACCTTTTGTAATAAATTTTATATTAATCGAAAGGTCTAAATGTGCTGATTCTTCTCCTAAAAGGATGATTAAATCGGATCAGTCTCTAAAAAGTTACAAATCTTTATGTGTAAACAATCGTGATTTTTGTTATTTATATGGCTATAACTTTATTTCCGGAAACTCCGAAGCAGACTGGTCTTAATATGAAAAAGAATCCGCACATCCAGAGCTTTCGATTAATACAAGAATGATTCAAAACGAATGATAATCAAAAAAGTTAAAACTGAAAAAAATGAACTCAACTAAGAAGCTAATATATCCCCCCCCCCCCCCTCCCCAAAAAAATATAAAAAAAATTCTTCTCACGTTTTATAGAAACAGCCAATTCAATATCAAAATTAAAATCATCAGAATGGTGTAAATGCTTCATTGGAGGTGGATCTTGTTTTGTATTAGCAACAATAAAAGGTTTAAGAGCTTCCATCGTTACAATCCATGGCGATATATTTGTAGCAAAACTTTTGCTGAGGAAAGGCCCAAGTGGAATATATTCCCATTTTTGTACATCTCTAGCTTTAAATTTAAAAAACTTTAAATTAAAAATTTCGATTGGATAAAGACTTGCTTAAATAAAAATGTTTAAAAAATTAAAGATGCTTCAGAAATAATTATCTGCTTCAGAAACTTGATTAAAGAATTTCCCGGAAAACACAACGATTAAAAAATAAATTAATTATAATTCTTCCGGAAATAATATAACCATAGATTTATTTTTCCGGAATTCAGAATTAGGAACTTATGCAGTTTAAGTACACACCCCATTTATTCGCGAAGAAAGTTTATTACAAAATGGTCTTTCTTCCTCGATTTCATTTAATTTCTCTGTTACACATGCTCAAATAGAGACATTAACAAAGAAAATATTAATTTTTCTTTCCAATTTTACCAAAATAAAAATTAACATTTGAATCAATATTCTTATTTTTATCTATTTCAGCTATTTAAATGGCAATAAAGTACCCAGATCTGCATTTTTATAACTAATGGTCCTCTTTTTGTGTATTTCCGGGTTTTTTGCGTGTTTTAGAATCAGATTTTTATCAAAATATTGGTCCTTGTTGCCCGTTTCTCTAGATATTTTTGGAACTCTGTTACTCAGCTCATAGATGTTCCCAGGTACCGATAATTCGCCATTCGATTCAGCTCGATGAGCCGACCATTTTGAGTTCACTGACCATTTTGTAATAAACTTTCTTCGCGAATAAATGGGGTGTGTACTTAAACTGCATAAGTTCCCAGAATTATATTCTTTCCGGAAAAATAAATAAATTCTGTTCCGGAAAAAATAAATTTAGAGTTATACTCCTTTCGGCAAAATAAATAAATTCTGTTCCGGAAAAAATAAATTTAGAGTTATACTCCTTTCGGCAAAATAAATAAATTCTGTTCCGGAAAAAATAAATTTAGAGTTATACTCCTTCCGGAAAAATAAATAATAATTTTATTTCCTTCCGGAAAACACATCAAAAAAGGGGAAACTTGTTTCATAAGTGAAGCATGCTTCATTTTAATACTTTTTTTTAATTAAAAAAATTCCCCCACCACTCCAATCATTCATCAAAACCATTCCAAAAATATGTTCTTCAATATTTTCAATAGGTATAGGTTTCCCCAATTCATTTTCTTTTCCACCAACAAAAAAAGCCATTTCCAATTCAAAATCCATTAATCTGCTTGGAACGAATTCGGGTTCTTTTGCTTCATCTGCTTTTACTTGTCCCCATGGACGGCGAACAGGGACTCCAGAAACAACAACGCTTGAAGCTCTTCCATGGTAGCCAACGGGAAGATGCTTCCTGAAAAATTAAAAAAAACATTCTGGAAACATTTATTGAAGCAAAAGCTTGAAACTTGAAGTTAGTTGAAACATGCTTATTTCTAAAAAAAATTTTTTTTTGAAGCAAGCTTCAGTTTAGAAATGCTTCTTTGCTTCTAAAAAATAATGCTTCTTTCCGGAAAAATAAATAAATTGAAATCCGGAAAAGAATAAATTCTGATTGTGAGTTATATTCATTCAGGAAAAATTCTGATCCGGAAAAATAAATATTATTATTTTTTCCGGAAAATACATGAAATAAAGAAAACTTGTTCCGGAAAATGAAGCAAAAAATACAATATTAGCAAAACTTTTATACCTACCAATTTTCAAGAAGAGCATTATCCTTTCCTCTAAACATTATTCCAACATTTGTTGCATGATGAATAGAAGAATAAAAATCTGTGTAGTCACCTATATTTGCTGGTAAGTGCATTGTAGCCTTGCTTCTGTTAACAAAAGCAAGCTTCCTATAAAAAATAAAAAATTAGATTGGTACCATTCATATCAGAAAAGAAGCAAAAGTTATGGCTTATGTTAGAAGAATCATCGGAAACTCAAGCCAAAAATCATTTTTTTCCGGAATATTCAAAAATAATTTAAAAACCTCAAATTATCATCATCTCTCAGAACAGAATTTGTATCAGACAGAATTGATTGTAATGTATTTCTTGCTTCTAGCCATGCTTGCCGGCCAAGTGCCATAAAAGCATTTAAAGACTCCCAAAAAATTAAAATTTAATTTTTAATGTGTTTTCCGGAAAATAATAATTATTAAAAAGATTCCGGAAAATATAATAATTAATCTCCGGAAAATATAACTTGCAGGAAAATATAAATATTCCGGAAACAAAAATATAAAAACTTCCGGAAACTATAATTATCATATCCTTCCGGAAAATACAAAACATTAAAAACATTCCGGAAACTTTTTATAATTATTTAAAAAAAATACAAAACCTTCCGGAAACTATATTTCCGGAAAATACAAATAATTATTCTCTTCCGGAAAATATAAAAATTATTCCCGGAATACACAACCTTCCGGAAAATAAAATTAAACACCTCTTTAAAAACATTCAAATTTTTAGACAGCAAAGGACCATCAAATAAATGCAAAATCGCAGACAAATCCAAAATTTCATCTCCAATAGCCACACCAATTCTTTTCTTTTGCTTTAAAAATAATTTTAATTTTTTTTAATTTTAAATTTTCTCTTACATTTTCAGAGGTAGAGAAAACTCCATAAGGCAAATTGTAAATTGTAAAATCAGAATTTGGAGGCACTTGAATAAATGTTGATAATGAGGAAGACATTCTTTCTTTGTTGTAAATATTAAATACCTATATTAATTAAATATCTGAAAAGTGTATGTTTTCCGGAAAATACAAAGGAATATATTATAAACGTTTCCGGAAAATTAATATTTATTTTCCGGAAGAATACAACTTTTCATAGAATAATTATTAAAAACATTTCCGAAAAATTATTATACGGAAAACCGGAAAATATAAACTTTCCGAAAAATTAATTTTTGTATTTTCTGGAAAATACAAAAATTATATATTCTACCGGAAACGTAAAATAAATAAATTTTTCAAAGAAACTTGTATTTTGTATTTTCCGGAAAACACAAAAATCAGAATATAAATTTTTTTTTTAATTTTCCGGAAAACACTTAATTAAAAATTAAAAATAATAAAATAAATAAAAAAATATGAAGATCGATAGAAAATCGATTAGCATTTTTTATAAAAAATATATTTGTATATTTAATTATTATTTAAAAAAATATTGTTGATAGATTAAAAAAACTTGTTTTTTTTTGAAGAGATATGGGGAGACACAGAAAAAAAGAAAAATTTTTGTTTGTGTTAAATAAAATAGAAGATAGGCAAAAAGGAAGAAAAAAATAAAATTGAAGAAAATAAATGATTTATTTTTATATATTAAAAGGAAGAGGTGTGTGATTTATTAAATATAAACTTTAACCAAGGCTGTCACAGGACAATTAAAATTTCCATTTAGAGAAAAAATTTTTTTTCAAAATTAAAATTCAAAACGACGGGGGGCTGCCACGAGAAAATTAAAATTTCCAAAGAAAAAAATTTTTTCAAAATAAAAATTCAAAAAAGATGGGAGAGGTTCAACAACTGTTTATTTTAAAGTCAATTTATTCTTTGAAAAAAATTTTTTTGGGTAACTAAAAAATAACAAAAAATAGAAAATTTACACACCTCTCCTCCCTTTAAATTCAAAAAAAATTCAAAAAAAAAAATTATTTTTAATACAAAAATATTTTTAGCTTGCGTGTTTTTCCTGCTGTTGTTTGTAGTTGCTGCAATTTTTTCCATGTATTTTTTATCAGAGAGACTTGAACACATTTCAATCATTTTCATTTTGAGCCAACAATTCTGCTCCACGAGCTCTATTACGAGCAAAATCTTCAAAAACCAAATCATCGTCATCGTCAAAACTGAAAAAGAAAAAAAAATTTTTTTTCAGAAATTCTGAGAAAAGTCCCAACTTTTTGAGAGATGGGCCCACAAAAAATTTTTCCCAAGCTCAGAAAAAATTATTAATCATTATAGGTATTTGATATCTCCATAACTCAATGAATTTTCTGGTTTTTAGAAGAATGTGCCCCCCTATTCGATAGAATTGTAAGAAAGGTCGTTGGTATTACTAGGATTATCGGTTCTGAACCAAACCGAAGAACCTATAATTTTTCGGTTCTTCGGTTCTGACAATCATTGTTATTGCAATAGTTTCGGATATTCAAAAGAGACCAAAGAACCGAACCGAAAATCCTTAATCCTTGATTAGATTTGGTTGTTTTTACGGACACCACACTAATTGTATAATAAAAACCCCCCAACTTCTTACTTAATACAACACTTAAAAACCTGTCAAACTGAATGAGATCAACATCTGCAGTTGTTGTTTGGTCTGTATTATCAATAATATTTTGTTGTCCTTCTCCACCACCTTTTAACTGTTCCAGTCCACCTCCCCCACCACTTCCATTATTATCATTTAATTGTCTTGGACTTGTAATTGTTCTCAATAAATTATTTTCATTTTCTATAGAAGGTTTTGGATGTGTTAAAGTAAAAGGTAATTCTGCTGCCAATTCTCCTCCTAATGCTCCAGCAATTAATAAACGAATTTTTACTTTATATTGAACTATTATTCCAAGATTTTCTCGAACTGAATGCTGAAAATAAAATGAAATTTAACAAAAGAATTAAATAAAAAATGGGATAAAATGTCTCTTAACTTTGAATGAAATTTTTTATTCTTAGTTATGAAACTAAATATAGGATGCAATGGATTATCAAATAACCGGACTTTTTCTTCGAACCGAAACCCAACTCGAAAAAATTTCCAAATCACGGCACGGCCTGACTTTTTCTCATCCTATAACATTCCTGGAACATATGAAGAAACCAAATTTTTTCCAAATTATATTAAAAACCCCCTATCCAAACATTAAAGAGACTTTCCTTAAACCAGACTCCAAACCCATATTCAAAATTATTTTTATACATGAACTCTGATTGAATGGAAATATACATAAAATTAATTAAATAAAATGAAATTTTTGTCCCTACTAACTGTCTTTAAAAATCAAAAAAAAACAAACTGAAAGAGTTGCAAAGGTAGTAGAAGAGGCAAGATTTGTATCTTCATGTTTTAATTGTCCATCTAAAGCAAGTCCTCTCTTATCTTTATTTTTGGCTAATAAAGGACATAGTGTGTAAATTTTGGAAAGTGTTGATCCCGGGCCGACAGGAAATCCTTCACTGAAATTTGAAAAAAAATTTCAGAAATTTCTAATTAAAAAAAACCCCAACCAAGATTCAATTTTGTCAACGTCACAAGTATATTGAGCAGTAGTAAATATACAAATATCGGCAATTTGATTGACTGAAACTTTTATTTTCTTGACTGTTTTGTTGCTATTGTTTTGAACGTGGACGTTTACGTTGATTGATTCTCCGTGATAATACATCTGAAAAATGTTCAAATTTATTTTATAAATGATCTAATATTTTTTTAAAAATTATTTTGGTATTTAGGGACCAATTCTGGTAAAATTCTGATTAATTCTAGTAATGTTAGGGTCTATTCTGGTGATTTTCTGACCAATTCTGACACCTTCCGGGACAATTTTGACTTATTCTGATGAGCTCTGATAATTTAAAGACTAATTCTGATGCCTTTCCAGTACTTTTCTGGACTACTCTGGTTAGTTCTGATAAATTTTCTGGCTAATTCTAGTGCCTTTCAGGCATTATCTGACAGATTTTGGTGTTATTTCTGATTTATTATAATAATTTAAAAACCAATTCTGACACCACTCAGGTACTTTTCTGACTTATTCTAGCCAGTTATGACATTACTTCTGCCCATATTTTAAAAGTTCAAACCTCCTTATCCAGAGATGCTTCCAAATGGAGTCCCCCAGGACTTATAATAAATTCTTTAGTCACATCAATCATTGGTTGAGGCCTTTCAATTTGTGGAGAATAAGTGAGCTTTCGAATGGCAAGACGAACAGAATTACTTTTTAAAAATTAAAAAAAAAATAATTAAATTAAAAATCAACTGTTTTTTCGGTTTCTCTTGAGAATCACCCCCACCAACAATTGTTTTGACTTCATAATCAACTCCACAAGGTTTACCCGTGTCGCCTTGAGCTGGCTAGAAAAAAAAAGAAAATTTTAAGAAAATAAAATTGAAACTTGAAAGAAAATAAAAAGCACAAAAAAAAACAAAAATCAGAAAAAAATTTTTTGGTGTAGTGGGATAGTTTTGAGTTTACTACAGAAAGGAGGTATTTCCTGTTTGTTTTAATAAGTAACGACACAAATCAGAATTTAATAAAAACATAAACAATCAGAAAAACAAACCAGAATTTAGAATAAACACAAAAACTAATCAGAATTTTAAATGAACATACAAAAACATATCAGAATTTAATAACAACATAATAATCAGAACTTAAAACAAACACAAAAACAGAAGTTAATAAAAATATAAAATCAGAATAAAACACAAACAAACCAGAATTTAATTAAAACACAAAACAACCAGACTTTAAAAAACATAAAAACAAATCAGAATTTAATTAAAACACTAATAAAAACAAAAATCAGAAAAACAAAGAAACACAAAAACATCAAGGATCAGAATAAAGTAAAAACAAAAAAAACCTGTAAAGTAACAGAAGAAGCAGAATTTGGCGGAATTTCAAACCAAAAGGGGAAAGCATTGTTTCCCAATTTTTTCTTTAAGCGTTCCTGTAGCCTTGTCATAGGGCGATTATTTGGAAGTGGATTTGGTGGAAAAATCTTTTTTAAAAATTAATTAAATTTTAAAAAATTTAAAAAAAGAAAAACTTTAAAATTTTGTGAGATCAAATCTTTGCGAAATGTAAGGCCTAAAACATCCAAATCTTCTCGGCCATAACGAAAAGCTGCTAATAATTGAACTGAAACTTTTTTTGATGCTTTGATGTATTCGTCATCGATTAAAACCATTCCGTCTGAAAAATATTGATTTTTTAGTGAAGTGGGATAATTTCGGGGTTTCAACGGGAAAGGAGGGAAGGGGGTGTGGGTTCGAACCCGCTCGAGGGAAATAAATTTAAAATTAGATTTACAAGATTTACGAACGAGTCCTCATCGATGGGGGCCACTCGTCTGAAATGTAATGATTTTTTGGTGTAGTGGGATAATTTTGAGTTTCAACAGGGAAGGGGATGGGGGAGGGTGTGGGTTCGAACCCGTCCGAGGGAAATCAATTAAAAATTAGATTTATTAGATTCACACTTGACATCATCACTTCGAATCATTTTTCAGGAAATTATGATTTTTTGGTGTAGTGGGTTAATTTTGAGTTCCACAAGAAGGGGGTGTGGGTTCGAACCCTAATGAAGGATATCAATTTAGTATTAAATTTAATAAACTTTTTGAACAAAAATAGGCTAAATTAAGGTCCAAAAAATATTTTACAATTTTTTAAACCTCGAAAACCTCTCTAAAAAATAAAAATACCAATCAAATCAACACTATCTCCTCTATCCAAAAAATCGCGTTTCCCAAGGTATGTAGTTATCTTTAAAAGAATTTAAAATTAAAATTAAAAATCAATAAAAAACGAATACTTTTCCATTTGGAGAGGTTTTCTTAAAGACCCTGAATTAAAAAAATTTTTAGATAATAGAAATTAAAATAAACCTTGTTCCAGATTTCTTCTCATCGTCATCCATCTTTTAATTTGTTGTTTTAATTATTTTGAAGAAAAAAGGTGAAATTATTCCATAAAGAATTTAATAAGACTGGTGAAATTAAATATAGGCTAAAGCTTAAAAAAATTAATTTCGACCATCGACTATTTTTAACTAAACTTAACATTAAAAGGGAAGAAATAGGAAAGATATACTTGATTCCACTAACATATTTGACTTGTTGCCTTATGTAAAAATAGTGTGTACTTTACTAGAGGCTTTAATGGGAAACATTTACCCAGAAGATCGATAAATAGACGGCTAGAGAACAAGGAAAACACAAATAAAGTATTTGTGTTTTCCGGAAGAAAAATACAAATAGAGTAAGGGGTTTCCGGAAAATTAATAATACTCCGAGAAAATACTAGAATATATTAATTTAAATTTTCCGGAAAATACAAATGTAAAAAATACAAGAAGGAAAATACACGAAGAAAAATACATTCCTTCCGGAAGAAAAATACAACTCCTTCCGGAAAGTTTATTTTAAATAGTATTTTCCGGAAAATAATTAATTCTAATTTTCCGGAAAATACAAATGTAAAAAATACAAAAAGAAAAACACATGTATTCTATTCTTTCCGGAAAGTTTTTTAAAATACATATTTTCCGGAAAATAATTAATTCTTATGTATTTTTCCGGAAAAGTGTATATTCATTTATATGCCTTAAAAATAACTCTAAACTTTCCGGAAAATACAACTTTGTATTTTCCCGTGTTTATTTTTATAACGTTGATATTTAGGACAAGCCCAAAATAATAGGGCGTCCGTTTTAATACTCTTTAACATTTATCGGCGTCTCCTCTTTGAAGTTTTTAAGAATATTTAACACTCTCAACTTATTTTTTTTTACATTTTAAAATTGAATATATAGCAAGTATAATGTCTGTAATAAACAAATTTTTAAATCCTTTTTCAGAAAAATTACATTGTTTTGTGAATAGTCACGCGAGAATTAAAAAATAAACTGCCAATTTAAAAATAATTTTTGGGTGATAAGAAAAAATTTTTTTTGAGAGGAAAGAATTCATGTAAAAATAAAATAATGAATGGATGAGTGGGAAACGCGTGGGGTTAAATGTACCGAAATTCAATTGTAATTTGTTATTTATTAAATTGCTAAAAAATACAAAAAAATACAAAAAAGTATTTTGGAAAGTAATTAAAGTAAAATACATTTATTTTATTCTTCAAGGGCAGCTTTCGGAAATGAAAAAACACAAAAAACACAAATAAATACATTAGAGTATGTGTGTTAATTATAAATATATCGTTTCCGGAAAGTTCGTATTTTTCCGGAAAGTTAATAGTTTGTATTTTATTTTTATACATATATCATTTCCGGAAAGTTTGTATTTATAGGTTAAAAGTGTTTTAGTATATCGCTTCCGGAAATCTGATATAGTTTGTATATTATTTTTCCCTCTATCATTTCCGGAAATGTTTTTAATGTTTATATAATTTCCGGAAAGTTTGTAACTATCAATTATAAATTTATTAATCGTTCCGGTAAAGTTTCCGGAAATCTTTTTATAGTTTCTATTTTACTATTTTTCTCTAATTAAATTAATTGTTGTTGTTGTTTATTTAAAACGCGTGATTAAAAAACAAAAAATTGATTAATACCTGTAAAGAGCAAAATGAAATTAAGAAATGCGAAAAAAGTTTTTTTTGTGGTGGTAATGGTCGAGATCATGATGGTGTGACAAAAATATTAAAAATATGGATGACTGAATTATTGGGGGAGAGAGTGCCTTTCTTTCGTGTTCGTCGTGTCAATGCGTACTTGTCGATGCAGAAAAAAATAATTTTTATGGGAAAGGGAATTAACAGGGGGAGAGTTTGTAAAATCGATTTGGCAATTCTCAAGGGTATAATTTGGCAAAAGACTTTTAATTCGTATTTTTAATTAACAAAAAGAGATGCGCGGAGGATTAATGCTTGAATAAACGAGGGATTATCTTAAATAATCTCTAATTATTTTTAAGCTTAAACTTGGAAAATAAAAATAAAAAAATAATTTTAAGTGTATTAATATATTTTCCGGAAAGTTTTAATTTATAGGTTAAAAATAAATTATTAAATATAATGCTTCCGGAAAGTTGGTATTTATTGTTTTCCGGAAAAGTTTTATTAATTAAGAATTTATTTTTATTTTGTTTCCGGAAATTATATTATTTCCGGAAATTTATTTATAGTTAGAAAAATGTATTGTTTCCGGAAAAGTATAACTTAATGCAAAGAAAGTATACTTCCGGAAAAGTTTTACTAATTTCTATGTTAGAGAAAAATTATATTGTTTCCGGAAAAGTTGTATAATATAGCGAAAAAATTTTCCGGATTAATTTATAAGTTAGAGAAGAAAAATAATATTGTTTCCGGAAAGTATGCAACAACACACACCCTACCACCTTTTCAGAATTAAAAAACGACCTCTTAATTTCTTTCTATAAACGCCCGGTAAATCACCTAATAATTAAATCGTGTCTACCATAAAACCAGATTTTTAATGGCCAGTTAATGCACAATTGCTTTGGTCTTTAACAATAAAAGATTTCATTTATCAGTCGATTGCTACTTTTGTGGGGGAGATAAAAGCTAAAAATTATGGCAGAAATTCACCAACAAAAATTATATCGCGAGCAACTTATTAAAGAAGCATCGAAAATACGTTTTGTAGGTTTTTAAAAATATTTTTGAAAATATTTTTTAATTTTTATAGCTGGCCATAAGCACTATTGCTTTAAGTACAGTGTCGCTAGCAAGTGTTGTTCTCGCTATACCCTTTTTATTTTTAAAAGTGCAATCAACGCAATCGGAAGCAAAAGTTGTATTTTAATTAAATTACTATAATTTCCGGAAAGAAAATATAACATTCCGGAAACTCTAAAAATAAACATAACTTTCCGGAAATAAAAAGTAATACAGTTCCGGAAAATACAAAATAAAGGAAGTCAAATTAAAAAATAAACTTTTTCCGGAAAAGGATAATATAACCTTCCGGAAACTTTATAAAATTAACTTTCCGGAAATATAAAAATAGAAAATAACGTTTCCGGAAAATACAAATAATTAAGAAAATAATTAGATAAACCTTTTCCGAAAAATACAAAAAATTAAGGAAACAATTAGATAAACCTCTTCCGGAAAATACAAAAACATTAATAAATTAAAATTATTTTTCCGGAAACAGGATCACAGCAATTTTTGTCAAAATAGAATAAATTTGTTATCCCAAGAACTAAAATATGAAGAACAATTGCAGTATAGTTCTAACAGGGTTAAAAGGAGTCAAGAATCTGGTCAATGTTGCAGTTGTGGGAGGGGGCAAGTTGGAAGTGCTGGATTGCCTGGGGAACCGGGAGAAGACGGTAAGAGAATTTTTTAGGAATTAAAGAAAACATAAAAATAGAAATACAAAAATTCCGGAAAAACACAAAACTTTTCCGGAAAATAAAATACTTTCCGGAAATACTCTGAATATTCCGGAAAAGTAAATAATAAAATTACTTTTCCGGAAGATAATTGAATACACTTCCGGAAAATATTCATTTCCGGAAAATACAATAAAATACATAAAAAATACAAAATTGATTTTATGGTAGAAAGAAGAGTTGGCAAATGTTTTTAAGGGAAGGAATTAAAAGAGAATTAAAGAATTTTTTAATGTAGTGGTGTATTTTTAATCCTATTTTTAAATACTTTTAAAGGTATTGATGGAAAGCAAGGACAAGCAGGGACTCCAGGAATGCCATCCCCGCCTCCAGTTCCTTTCCAAATAGACTGGTTTGGTTTAATTTACTGAGACAACTTTAAAAAAATAGGTGTTTTATATGCACACCCTCCTCTCCCGGTCCAAGCGGAGATCCCGGCCCTAAAGGCTTTCCAGGAAGGAGAGGAATACCTGGCAAGAACGGAAAAGCAGGAATGCGTGGTTTGCCTGGAAAAATAGGGGAGAGAGGAAATCCAGGTAATTAAACTAGATTTTGGTTGAAATTTTTTTTAAATTTTAGGCCTCCCTGGAATACCAGGACAGGCAGGCCTTAGAGGAACTCCGGGAACTGTAAGTTGTTTTTGCACTCTAATAAAAATGGTTGTGATAGAGTAAGGAAGAGAGAGATAAAAAAATTAGGGGAGACTGTATTTTTCCGGAAAGAAAATACAACATTCCGGAAACTCTAAAAATATATAGAACTTTCCGGAAATAATATATAAATACAGTTCCGGAAAATACAAAATAAAGGAAGGGAAATACAAGGAAAATACAATAAACTTTTTCCGGAAAAACACAATATAACTTTCCGGAAATAATTTCCGGAAAATATAAGGTAAGGGAAATAATTAAATAAACTTTTTCCGGAAATAAACTATTTCCGGAAAAATAACCTTTCCGGTAACTTTATAAAATTAAATATGTAGAACTTTCCGGAAATACGAATAGAAAGAGAAATATAAAAATAAAAATTGAGTTCAGACAGGTAAAAAATTAAAATTTAAATATAAAAAAAAAAATAAAGAAAGAAATGCACGCAATGAATAAAATTCCTTACCTATACATACTTAAAATTATATTATCTTAAGTAAACTAATTTTTAAAATATTTTTTTCATATGACTTTGGTGCCGGTTTATTTCCCTTAATAACGTAGATAATTAAATAAATATAGCGGAAAACGAGAGAAAAGGTGTGGGAAAATAAATACAAAAATAAGGCTAAAAATAAAAAAAAATATTGAAAAAATTATTGAGAAATGACATAAAAAGGCAGGTATTTTATTTTTGTATTTTTGCGTGTAAAATTAAATTAAAAAAATTTTTTTACCGTTAGAAATTCAAAAATTCGTTTCTTTTTTAGATTCAAGTGATAAATGGCCCTCCAGGGGAGCCAGGTCTTCCCGGCCCTTCAGGACCTAAAGGGCGGCCTGGCCCGCTTGGAAGTTTTGGAAATCCTGGAGTTAGAGGAGAACCTGGTAAATTGAATTTAAAAATAAATTAAAATATCCCCTAATAAAAGGTGAAATTGGAGAAATTGGGCAGAAAGGACCCAAAGGTCAACCTGGACAGATTGGAGAGGATGGGTCCGATGGAGTGCCTGGATTGGACGCTAGTTGTGGTAATATTTAAATGTTTTGATTAAATTCTGATTTTTAAGACTAAATCAGAATTTTGGAATAAAATGAAAAATCAGAATTCTGATTTAAATCAGAAAAAGTTGGAAAAATCAGACGAGATCAGAATTCTGATTCGAGTCAGAAAACCAGAAAAAAATCAGAATTCTGATTTTCAAAAACTAACTGATCAGAATTCTGATTAATTTTTTTTCAGAATTTTCTTCAGAATTCTGGTTACTAAATCAGAAAAAATCAGAATTCAGGTTCGAGTCAGAAAATCAGAAAAAAAATCAGAATTCTGATTTTCAAAAACTAACTGATCAGAATTCTGATTAATTTTTTTTCAGAATTTTCTTCAGAATTCTGGTTACTAAATCAGAAAAAATCAGAATTCAGGTTCGAGTCAGAAAATCAGAAAAAAAATCAGAATTCTGATTTGCAAAAACCAAACAATCAGAATTCTGATTTAATCCGAATTCTGGTTTTTTTCAGAATTCTGATTAGTCCACTCAAATCAGAAAAAAATCAGAATTATATATAAATATCATCACTTAAAATACAGATCATTGTTCGATACCAAAAACAGAATCTGGATATTAAACAAATGAGAAAAAATGTGAATAAAATATCAACGATATAACGATAAAAAAATTTAAAAAATTTAATTAAAAATTTTATCAGAATTATTTTTTAAAAATTATTTAAAAATGAGCAATAAAAAATTATTTTTTTTACAATAAAAATAAAAAAAAATTATTTATCCAAAATCAATATCCCCCCAGACTGGTGAAGAACTAGGGCAAAAAGTACCTACTAAAGTACCAAAATCAGAAAGATTATTGACATCGTCAGAATCGAATGAAGATAAAGTTGAAGCTAAACAATCGGTTGAAGGTTGTTGTTGCTAAAATATTTAATTTTTTTATTTCCGGAAATTATTTAATATTATACACTTCCGGAAAAATATGAACAATCGTGAAAAATAATTTCATGTGTTTGCGGAAAAGTTTTGTATTTTAGAAATAATTTTCCGGAAAAGTTTTAAATGTACGTGTTTCATATAAATTTCCGGAAATAAAAATATACATTCCGGAAAGATAATTTAAACTGTATTTCCGGAAAATTTTACATTTTTTAATATTCCGGAAAAGTTGTACTTTCTGATTCCAAAACTAAATATTGCTAATTATTTTAGCTGACCTTTAAATCATTATTAGAATTGTCTGTTTGAAGAAGAAAATTGCTGGGGGAACAAGGCAAAAGTGTAGTTGAGGAAGTAGGTGCTAAAACAATATTTTAAACAATTAAAATATAAACATTAATTTACCCATAGAAAAGTCCATTTCTGTATCCGGAAATGACCTTTTATCGTTAACTGAAGGAGGTTGCTGTTGTTGTCCTGTATAGTTTAAAATAGTAATGTAGTCCGGAAAAGTTTTATATTTTAGACCGATTCCGGAAAAGTATGTGTTTTCCGGTTTAATTTAAATCCGGAAAAGTTATATAAAAATATAGCATACCGGAAGATAATTTAAATAGTTTCCGGAAAGTTTGAGTAATACAATCTCAAACCGGAAAAAAAGTTGTATTTTCCCAGAAATATTTCCGGAAAAATTATTGTATTTTTGATATATTTTCCGGAAAATAACTCTCATAGAGATTCCGGAAAGTTTGTGTTATACAATCTCAAACCGGAAAAAAAGTTGTATTTTCCCAGAAATATTTCCGGAAAAATTATTGTATTTTTGATATATTTTCCGGAAAATAACTCTCATAGAGATTCCGGAAAGTTTGTGTTATACAATCTCAAACCGGAAAAAAAGTTGTATTTTTCCAGAAATATTTCCGGAAAAATAATTGTATTTTTAATATATTTTCCGGAAAATTTTGTATTTTTTCTATATGTATATTCCGGAAAATGTTGCTACCCAAACATAGTAAACTTTTCCGGAAAATACAATAAATTTTAAGACAATAACAAATAAAACATTTACCCTGTTGTTGCTTCCAACTCTCCTCTCCACTAGATTGCACTCTCTTTCCGGAAACATTTTGTTGTTGTTTTCCATTAGCAGAATCAACCAACTGTAACACACACCCAGCAAAACGAGCCGAGTTTACATCGTTGTTATTAACTGACCATTTCCTCAAAGTATCCAATGTTGGTCTATCCTTCCCAATAAATATAGCAGCTTCAGGAATCCGGGCAATTTGGGCAAGTAAAGCTATTGCTGGCGGGGCGAGTTGTTCAAAGAAACGAAGAATTACTTGAGGGGCAAGTAGTTTAGGTTGAAATTCTGAAAGACGAATCCAACGGGCAGATAATTCTGAGAAAATCTCCCCTAACAATCCTTCATCGCCAGCCAATAATCCAAGCAAATCCAAACATTTTTGACACAATTCCCAACTTTGTGGAAGCGAATTTAACCCCTCAGTTAATATAACCACTATTTGACTAACAAAAGAACAATATTCAGGTTTTAATAAAAGTGGAGCATCAGGTAATTGAGGAAAATTTGGAGGAAAAGACATTGCAAAACGGAATTCTTTTAATAGACTTTCTTCTTGAGCAATATATTGGAGTAACTGTTAAATAAGATTTAATATACTAATGGGTTGTGTTTTCCAAAAAAAATTATTTCGTATTTGTGATAATATATTTTCCGGAAAGGTTTGTGTTTTGTATTTATTTTCCGGAAAGGTTTGTGTTTTTCTATTTATTTTCCGGAAAGGTTTGTGTTTTGTATTTATTTTCCGGAAAGGTTTGTGTTTTTCTATTTATTTTCCGGAAAGGTTTGTGTTTTTCTATTTATTTTCCGGAAATGTTTGTGTTTTTCTATTTATTTTCCGGAAAGGTTTGTGTTTTTCTATTTATTTTCCGGAAATGTTTGTGTTTTTCGTGTTATAAAATAAACATGAATCCAGAAAATACAATAATCCATAAAAAGGTTGTATTTTTCCAGAAATATTTCCGAAAGAATAATTGTATTTTTGATATGTATTTTCCGGAAAAGTTTGTGTTTTACTTTTTATAAAATCGGCAAATACAATAATCCGGAAAAAGTTTATTTATGTAAATATTTTCTAAAAACACCTGCATTCCGGAAATTATTTGTATTCCTCGAATATAAATATTTCCGGAAAATAATTTATATTTTATTCCGGAAAAGTTTGTATTTTTTTATTCTACTCACCGCAAATGTCTTTTTAAGTAAAGGCCAATTTCTCTGCTTATTCCTCATCCTTTCCAACAGTATTTTCTTATGTATTTCTTTTTTAATTATTTGTTGTTTTGCTTTTCCGGAACAGACATTTCCGGAAGAGAGAGAACGTAAAAGTGAGAGAGCCGTTTCTTGAATATTTTGTCTTTGGGTATTTTGCCCCAAAGCTTCGTTTAACGCCTCCATTTCTTGTAGAAGTTGGAATAGGCCAAAAACTGCCCCTTTATCAACCAAAAATTCTTTATTGCTAGTATTGTTAGCTGATAAATTTGCTAAAATGTCTGTACAGCATTCCTTAACTTTCATGTCATTTGTGCCTTAAAATGGGTGTTTTTGGGGGTATTTTGGGTCAAAAGATTCTCCAACCAAGCAACTGAAGCAATTTTTGTAATAATAAATGGATATCACGGTCTCCTGAAGGCACATGACTGACAAACTTGATACAATCCAAAAGTTGTCTTAACATTCTTTGACTGGCGTGATCCAAGTGTTTTTGGGCAGCTTCCAAAAGGCCAGCGGAAACTATTTTGTTTGGATCCTTTAAAAATTTTTTGAAAATTTTACAAAAGAAATTAAGGAAGGAATTACTATTTGTACAACTCTATTAAGTAATTTGACAGCTCTATAAAGTAAATTTTCTTGGTGGGAATTAGCCAGAATATTAACAAGTTTCTCATGTCCGTTTAAGCCAATAAAGAAAGCCTGAAAAAATTAAATAAATTATTTCAGTTTATTTATTTGTTTTTTTCCAAGTTTTGTGTTTATGTATTTGTTTTTAAATTTGTGTTTTTGATTTGATTAGTCAAGTTTATTTATTTGTATTTTTTCCAAGTTTAATTTTTTGTATTTTCTTCACGTTTAAGTTTTTTGTGTTTTTAAGTTTATATAAGTTTGTATTTTATATGTTTGTATTTTTGTTGCTCAAGCTTATTTTTTCAAGTTTTAGGTTTATTTTTATTTTAAAGTGTTTGTTTTTGATTAATTTATTTCAAGTTTATTTATTGTATTTTTTCAAGTTTGTGTTTATTTTTGTTTGTATTTTTGAATTGTTTCTCTCAAGTTTATTTATTGTATTTTCTTTTTTGTTTGTGTTTTAAGTTTGAATTTTTAATTTCAATTTATTTTTGGGTCAATTTTGTAATTTCAAAAATTTCAAAAAATAAATACAAAATTCCTCACCATTTGTTCAGTATTTTTATTTAAAAGCATGTAAATAATGTCTGTCACAATACTTAAAAATTTCTCATTTTTGTCAGATAACCAACTCAACACTTTTGTTAATATTCTCATTTCACACATGTAAGCGATAACTTTCCGGCCTATCCGAACATCAGTCATTAAATTGTGTAGGAGAAGAAAGGCAAATTTGTAACAAGAAGGGTCTTGGATGCTAAAAATAAATAAACTTGAATTAGGTAGGTAAAATTAAATTACAAATTTAAACTTTAAACTTAGACAAATAAATAAAAATACAAACTTAAAAACACTACAAACTTAGATAAACCTAAAAATACACAAATAAATCTGAAATAAAAACACAAACTTAAAACTTGTAAAACACAAAAATACATTTTAGACAACAAAAATACAAACTTAAAACTAAACTTAAAAACACAAAAAATAAACTTGAAAGAAACACAAAAAAATACAGAAACACAAAAAAAATACAAAAATGAACTTGAAAAAACACAAATATTTAAACTTGAATTAATTAAATAAACTTGAATTTAAAAATAAACCTACCCAATGCAGTGAACCAATTCCTCAAGGCAATCAGTTCCATGGGCATTTAATGTTTTAACAAATAAATCACGTCCACTAGGATCATTATCAGAAATAAAATATAAAGCTTTGAGAACATAAAGAGTAACTTGCTTAAATCAAACAAATTAATTTTTAAATAAAAAGATTTAATTGCCTTATCCTTTTTGTGGGTACGCAAAGTTCTCAACAATTCCTCCACTACCCTCTTCTCGACAATTAAAGGTCTAGTATCTATTTGAGAACGTAATGTACAAAATTCTTTGTCCTTTTTAGCAACACTTATAAGTATTGTCTACAAAATTTATTTTTTTTTAAATTTATTTTGTCAATAATTAAATATTTACAAGTGCACGTTTAACAATGTCCACAGACTCGTCGTTGATAAGTGGTATTAATTCAGGTAAAACCTGCCGCATTTTTTCAGGCTCCTCGTGATTAAAAGTGTTGGGGATATGCTGAAACAGAGAAAAATATATAAAGAATATAAGTTTCCGGAAAATAGACACTCTTCCGGAAAAGTAGATTACTATCATTTTTAGAGAAGCAATATTCCGGAAGACAAAAATATTTCCGGAAAAATACAGTATAAAAAGATTTCCGGAAAATATATTTTTTCCGGAAAAATAAATTTATTTTTAAACCTTTCCGGAAAAGACAAGTGTATCTTATAAAATAGTTTCCGGAAAGTTCAGAAATAGACGGTTATCCGGAAAAGGTATATTGCTGTTATTTCCGGAAAATAGATTTCCGGAAAATGTATTATAGTTCTTTCGTTTCCGGAAAATAAATAAAGTTTCCGGAAAAATAATTATATCAAAAAAAAAACAAAACTTGCCTGAAAGTAAGGATGTTCTTTCAACCCAGAAAAATCATCCGGCAAAGAAGAGACATTAGACATACACGAGGCTGGGTGAATAGACGACATGACTGACGGTGCCTAATAGAAACAATTATTTTTGACTGATTAATCAGCTTAACTGTTGAATGACTCATTGAATGAACCCCACTGTCTTGAATCGACATCTGGCTGAATTGTTGCCAATACTGAACTTTATTTTGTGAATACATTGCTCTACGTTGTTCTCTAAGTCTTTGTTGTTGGTCTTGTGAATATTGAAGGGGGGTTTGGGGTTGTTGTTGGGAAGTTGAAGCAATAATGTTGTTGTTTTTAGGTGTTTCTCCCCTTTTTTGAAAGTCATTTAAAGCAGAAAACGAGGAATGGCGAGGTGGTGGAATAGATTCTGGAGGCATTGGATGAGGATGAAAAGCATGAGGATCGGGAGAATAATAATTAGGTGACCATGGAATGTTTTCCATTGTTGTATCAGTCATTGGTGGAATGTTGTGTGAGTGTGAAGGAGGTCTAGGGAGAAAATTTTTAAAAAATCAGAAATCAGAACAAAATTCTGATTTTTGAAAAAAAATTCAGAGGAAATCAGAAAAATTCTGAAAACCTTTAAAAATCAGAAAATTATGAAAAAAAATCAGAAACCAGAAAAATTCTGATTTTTGAAAAAAATTCTGAAAAATCAGAAAATTCTGAAAATTTTTTACTCAATAAAAAAATTTCTTACTGAAAATTCGATAAAAAACTGCTTTCTTTTTGACGTTCCTCGTCCATTAATGGAAGAGTAAAAGCATTATTTTTAGATTGAGTCAAATGTTGGTGGTGGGGATGATGAGGAAGAATAGGCGGCGGAGGGTGAGGAGGAATTACAGCGTCCATTCTTTCAGGGGAGGCCATAGGGGTGCTGCAGCCAGGAAGGGAAGAATAATAATAATTATGGGAGGAAGGGAAAGAAGTAGACAAAGAGGCAAAATGTCCTTCCTCAAATGAAGGGTCATATAATTGTTGGTGGTGGTGAACTGCTTGAGGATGTTGCCATAATTGTTGGTGATTGTTGTTATAATAATAGTGATGATTTTCCATTAAATTTTAGTTAATATTAAGAGAACAAATAGAGGAAGAAAGGCATAAGGCTAAAAAATTAAATTTTAAAAGGGGAAAAAGTAAGGGTAAAAATCAGAATTTTAAAATCAGAACAAAATCAGAAAATAAAAATTAAAATTAAAAATCAGAACTAAGAATCAGAAATTAAAATTCAGAACCAGGATAAAATCAGAATTTTAAAATCAGAATCAGAATAAAACCATAAATTAAAAACCAGAATAAGACCAAAATCAGAATTTCAGAATCAGAATTTTAAAATCAGAATAAAATCAGAATTTTAAAATCAGAATAAATCACAAATCAGAACAAAATCGAAAAATAAAATCAGAATAAAAATCAGAACAAAAGCAGAAAATAAAATCAGAATACAATCAGACCCAGAATAAAATCAGAATAAACTCAGAAATTAGAAATTAGAACATAATTCGTAAACAGAAAAATCAGTAAAGAGAGAAAAGACTGAAAAGACTGAACTGATATTTGATCATTGAGCAACCAAACATACATAATTAATAGCCAATTAATTTTTAAAAAATAATTTTTGGATATTTGTTAGAAGGAGATCATTTTATTATTTAACAAGACGAAAAACAAGAAGAAAAAGTGGGGCTAAAAACCATTAAATAAATATTATGAGGAGGACAGATGGATGTGCTGATATGTACGTAACGGGTAATGAAGGAAGGGAATGAGAAAAAATTTGCCCAGAATATCGAAAAATCAGAATTAAATCAGAAATAAAAATCAGAATAGTATCAGCACATGATCAGAACATAACCAGAGTAGAATAAAACCAGAAACAAAAATCAGAAAATAAAATCAGAACAAAATCAGAAACAAAAATCAGAACAAAAAACCAGAACTAAAAATCAAGACAAAAATCAGAACAGAATCAGAACTAGAAATCAGAACAAATCAGAACTAAAAATCAGAACAGAATCAGAACTAAAAATCATAACTAAAAATCAGAACTAAAAATCAGAACAGAATAAATTAAAAACCAGAAGCAAAAATCAGAACAACACCAGACACGCACTGCCAATCAACCTCCAATCTTTGTTCTGATTTTTTAAGTTTTTTTTTCAGAATTTTCCCCAATCAGCGTTGATCTATTTTAAAGAGAATTTAGGGTTGACCATAAAGAAGTGAGAGAAGGGGGGCGATTACTTGCTTAAACTGCTTGCAAGTTGTTTTAGTTAATAAAGAGTTAATCGATGTGTTTAAGGGGGAGTAAATTGCTTCGCCTTCAATTAATTTACTTTTTTTGTGCTCTCCCGACAATTTATTTTTAATCACTTTTGGGGTGGTAATAAAATTGAAAATTAAAAAAAATTTAAAAAAATTAAAAAATTGTCAGCCGCAGCAATTTTTTAAGTGTTTGTTTGATTATCGCTTTTAAATCGCCGTGAGAAAACAACCATAAAATGGTCATTTGTCTTTATAAAAATTTAAGTAGGGCATTAAATAGACTAATAATAGACGTAAATTAATTAATTAATAATCAATTAAAAAAACCAGAATAAAATTATAAAATAAAATCAACAAAACAGAAATTGAGAACGAGAATAAAACAGAAAATAAAAATCAGAATTTTCAAACCAGAATTTTAAAATCAGAACAAAATTAGAAATTAAAGACCAGAACGGAATAAAATCAGAATTAAAAACCAGAACAAAACCAGAACTAAGAATCAGAATAAAATCAGAAATTTAAAATCAGAACAAAATCAGAATTAAAAATCAAAAAATTGAAAACCAGAATAAAATCAGAAATTTAGAACCAGAACTAGAACTAAAACAGAAAATTGAAAACTAGAACAAAACCAAAATTTTAAAGTCAGAACAGAATTCGCAAAAATAAAAACTGAATGCAAATTAATAAAATATGTAAATTAATATATGAATGACATTTGGTCAGAGGTCAGAAATTCATTTAAAGAGGGGAGGACATTTAATGATTTATTAATCTTATTAACTCGCGCACTTATTCTCTGAGAATTTTTTAAATTAATGAATTGGGAATTATGAGAAGGCGGGGAGTATATTTAGTAAAAAGTTGCTAGGAGGGAAGTGGAACTTAAAATAGAATTTTTAAATCAGAATAAAATTAGTAAACAAAAAATCAGAACAGAATCTGAATAAAATCAGAATTTTAAAATCAGAATAAAAAAAAATTAAAAATCAGAACAGAATCAAAATAGAATCAGAATTTTAAAATCAGAACAAAATTTTAATCAGAAAAATCAGAATAAAATAAGAAAATTCAAATCAGAACAGAATTATAAAATGGAACTTAAAATCAGAATAAAACCAGAATTTCGAAATCAAAATAAAAAGAATTAAAAATCAGAACAGAATCAGAATTTTTAGATCAGCACAAATCAGAATTTAAAACCAGAAAAGAAACACAAAATGGAGCTTAAAATCAGAATAAAATCAGAATTTTAAAATCAGAACAACAACTTAAAATCAGAATAAAATATTTAAAATTAGAATAATTTTTGTACTATATTGTTGGTCATTTTTGAACTTTCATTTAGCCTTTTTTTGTTTTTAAAGTGAAGAATTATTTAAAAAAAGATGCTGGCTGGGGGAGTGAGAAATAAAGTAAATACCCAGCTACCGGCTGTCGCCTCAAAACAACCAAAAATCCCCCCAAAAATTCCTCCAAAAATTCGGCCATTTGTCTTCTTTCACTTCTTGTTGTCTTCCTCCCCGTTTGGCGCCTTTCGATGTTTTTAATCCTTAAAAAGTCTTCACACGCCTTTTACTTTTTTTTAAATGAAAGAGTCTTATAGGGGTTTTTACCCGAAACATCGCTGGGTAAATTTTAAATTAAAAATCAGAATAAAATCAGAACAAAGTTCGAAATAGAAAAATTAGAACAAATTCAGAATTTTAAAATCAGAACAGAATCATAAAATTAAATTTAAAATCAGAATAAAATCAGAACAAAGTTCGAAATAGAAAAATTAGAACAAATTCAGAATTTTAAAATCAGAACAGAATCATAAAATTAAATTTAAAATCAGAATAAAATCAGAACTAAAGTCGAAGCAAAATAAATCAGAAAAAAATCAGAATTTTAAAATCAGAATTAAAATCAGAACAGAACCATAAAATAAAATTTAAAATCAGAATTTTATTCTGAAATTTATTCAAGCTGAACTTAACCTCTTGAATTTAAAAAATTTAAATACCCTTAAAATTTGACCATTTACGTCAGCCATTTTTGAATTTATTTTGTTTCTAATTTTAGGGTAATTCTCCAATAAATTTAACCCCTCTCCTCCTTCAGATTGACAATTCAACCCGCGCCAAAAATGAAAAATTGCTTTTCATTGTCAGAGCAGATGAGGGAAGGGAGAGGGAAATAACTGAGGGTAAAAACCGAGAGAAGCTTCTTCTGTTGTAAAATATAAAACAAAACACTTGCCCTCAGTTATGAAGAAAATAGGGGGAGGATTAGAAGAAGAGTAAACAAAAGTGAAAATGGTGAGAAAAAAATTTAAAAACTTGGATATTATTAATTTACAATTTGTAAATCAGAATTAGTAAAAATTACAATTTGTAAAAAAAATAAACTTGAATTACAATTTGTAATGGAGTTAAAAAGTTATCAATTTGTGAAAAATTAGCCTGCTAACGCCTGTTACAATTTACAAATTGAATTACAAAATATAAAATAAACTTGATTTACTTGGAGATATGTAATTTATGTAATTACAATTTGTAAAAGTAGACTTGGAAAAATAAACTTAAATTACAATTTGTAAAAATTATTTTATTTAATAATTAAATTGTAAAAATCAGACAACTTTAAAAGCCATAATTATATTTACCAAAATTAATTTTTAAAAAATCAGAATTTATTTTACAAATCAGAAAATTTCATTTTCATGACCTCCCAATCATCATAAACCAATCATTATTTTAAACCTGTTTAACATATGGCCATTTTTGGGTGTGGGTGGGAGAAAACAACATTCCGCGCGTTCCTTTCCTTCTCCCAACACGACGCATTTTCCCCTAACCAGACGCGTCTTTAATTTAAACAATAAAATTTTTGATTTATCGACTGTCCACCATTCAGTCATTAACTCTCAACCTGCCACAGTTTGATTCACTTTTTACAACTTATTTTTAAATTACAAGATGAATTACAATTAAAATAAACTTGTTTTACAATTTGTAAAAATAAACTTTATTAAGCTCACAATTTTAAACAAATATAATCAACTTAAATTACAATTTGTAATTTAATGCATTATAAAAATAAACTTGAATTACAAATTGTAAAACAAAAGGAAAAATATTACAAATTAAACAGAAAACACAAATGCAAAACACAAACTTAAAAAATAAATAAACTTGAATTTTACAATTTGTAATTTAAGTTTATTTTATAAAATACATTTCAAGTTTATTTTTACAAATTGTAATTAAAAACACAAAAAACACAAAAAGAAAATACAAAATAAATAAACTTGAAAAAAATACAAACTTGACGAAAATACAAACCTGAAAATAAATAAACCTGAATTTTACAATTTGTAATTTAAGTTTATTTAAAAAAATAAATTCAAGTTTATTTTTACAAATTGTAATTTAAATTAAAAACACTAAATTACAAACTTGAAAAAGTTAAATAAACCTGAATTACAATTATTACAAAAATAAACTTGCAATTAATTAATAACATTAACTAACAGTCAAACAATCTACCCATCTCTTCACTCATTGATTGTCTTTTGTCTAATCATAAACGCTCCCAATAAACTCTAATAATATCAGTTTCGCGCACAGATCATTTTTACCTATCAAGGCCATCATTCATTTATTTATTTAGTCAAAAACTTTTTTTCTTCCAAACATTTTTTATTGTTCACAAAACAATTCACATATTTTTACATTAAACCGCGCCGCAATTTTTTTTATTCAAACACGATTTTCATGTGATTTAATTATATAATTTAATTTAATTTTTTTTCAAGTTTGTAAATCTCTACTACCTATTATTTTCTTTTATTTTTCCCCTCTGTGTGGGGCGCAACTCTCTCCCCTCTTTTTGGTCATTTTCAATCATCTACTAAATTTACTTATATTTTTCACTTACTAATTGATTCATAAAAGAATTTATTAAATAAATTTTAGATTTTCTAAATTTTAAATTTTTTTAAAATTTTTTAATAAAAGGAAGAAATTATTGAAAATAAACTGTGAAATTTTGACACTTATTTAAACTAAACTACAAAAAATATTTAAAAGTCTTGTTATGGGAAAGTCAGAAAAATTCAAAGAAATTAAAAAACAGAAAGAAAATGAAACTGAAGCAGAATCTGCTTCCTTACTTGATATTTACCGTCTTGCAGATCCTGTCGACTATCAGGTTGGTAACTTAATTAAAATAAACTTGAAGAAAATTTGCAAACTTGAATTATTAAATAAAACTTTAATTACAATTTTGTAAACTTTAAAACTTGAATTATAATGAAAATAAACTTGGAAAATAAAAATAAACTTAAAAAGAGTTTATAAACTTGAATTATATAAAATAAACTTTAATTATTAAATTAAACTTGAATTAACGTTAAATAAACTTGAAATATAAAATTAAACTTGAAAGAAAGTTTATAAACTTGAATTATAATTAAATTAAACTTGAATTCAAACATTTCTTCTATTAATTACAAAATTGTTATAAAACAAGTTTATTTTAGCTTATAGCCTTGGGGTTGTTGATGGCGCTTGTCCAAGCTATTCTCCCTCCATTCCTATGGTTTTTCATGGGAAATTTTATGACTTATGGCAAGTTTAATTAATTAATTATTTTAATCCTCTAATTTATTTAGCTATCCGAAGAGAAGAATTTCGTTTAAATCGTTCCTCAGAGCTTTTAAGGCTTTCAGACTTGGGGCTCTCCCCGAACGAATCAAACATTGCATTGTGGGGGAAGCGTCAAAAAGAAATTGATAAGCGCTTCCAGGATTCCGCCACACCTGTTTTTTATGCAATGCTTACATTGTCTGTTGCTACATTTTGTGCTGCGTTTATACAGGTAAATGAAGGAAACTTAAGAGGAAATTTGAGGGAAGACTTGAAAATCTACAAGAAATATTTAGAGACTAGTGTGGGAAATCTCTGCAATCCGCCAAGTCTTTAGAGCCAAAAAAGCATATATTCGCAAACTTTTGCATATGGATATTGCCTGGCTTGAATCTAGACATTCTGGACAAGTTGCCTCTGTTCTCAATGAGTAAATAAATAAATAAACCTTCTAAAAATAAACTTTATTTTAGCCAGGCTGATTGTATTTATCAAGGGATGGCTGACCATTTACCTATGTGCTTTTTTATGTAAGTTTACAATTATAAAATGAGAACTTGAATATGGAATTGTAAAAATAATAAACTTGAATTTTTTAATAATTACAATTTGTAAAAATAATAAAACTTGAATTTGTAAAAATAAAATATTAGGAAACTACAAATTGTAAAACAGAAAAATAAACTTGAAACTAGTCTAAATAAATAAACTTGAATTACAAATGTAAAATAAACTTAATTACAAATTGTAAAAATAATTACAAATAAACTTGAATTGTAAAAAAATAAATATTAGGAAATTACAATTTGTAAAAATAAATAAACTTGAATTGTAAAAATAATCTCTAAACAAATATAAACTTTAATTTCAAATTGTAATTTTATAGTATTTGTTATATGGCTGTTACAAGTAAGTTTTTCAAGTTCAATCTCAAGCCTAATTATATTTTAAGTTTCTGTTTGTTTGTATATACATTGGCAAGTGACCGCATTCATTTTACTTGCAATTCCATTGTTAATCTGTACAAGACTTGTATTTAGTCGAGTAAGTTATTCGCTGAATACCACCTTTTTTTATTACTTTTTTTAGTGGTTTTGTAAAACAATGGAGACCGAAACACAGTTGCAAACAAAAATAACAAATTTGGTACACGAAACTTTTAGGTAAAAAATCATAAAAATTTTATTAACTTTCATAAACATAAAAATAAACTTGGGGAAATCATAAGAAAAATAAACTTGAATTTATTGTAGAAAATAAACTTGGAACTTGAATTGTAAAAAAATTACAATTGTAAAAATAAATAAAATAAACTTGAATTGTATTTATGTACAGTTAAACTTTGTTAATAAAATAAACTTTAAATTCATGTTTATTTTATTGCTATAAAACAAGCTTAAATTACAAAAATAAGTTTTACAATTTGTAAAACGAGTTGTAAAACTTATTTTAATTCAAGTTTATTTACTCCTATAAAATAAACTTGAATAAAAAAATAAACTTGAATTTAAAAATAAACTTTTAAAAAATTACAAACTTTGTCAAGTTTTATTTAAAGTTGTATTCGCACTGTTATTGCTTTTGGAGCCCAACGACAAAGCATTGGAAAGTTAATTACAACTTGTAAAACTTTTATTTTACAATTTTAAAAATAGATATGAACGTCTAAGTTTGGAGCACAAAAAGATTACTGAAGAGCGTCTCCGGGCCTCTTCAGTTTACAATTCACTCGCCCAAGTACTCTTCACAGAATTAATATTCACTGCCGCCCTGTGTTTTGGAGTTTGGAGGTCTGGAAATGAGAATCCTGGGCGTTTAGGGGCTGTGAGTTAATTTTAATTTAAATTTTCTCCTATAATCAACACTCTCTCTTTAAAGTTGGCAATAAATATGTTATTTTTGTGTGCTCAATCTGTCAGTATTGGATTCCATTTAAACGGCGTTTCTACAGCAAGACGAAGTGCGAAAGAAATGCAGACCATACTTAAGGAAGCCCCAATGATTGAGAGAGATATACCAACAAAGAGGAGCACACTTTTGGTTGGAGAATAAATCTAAAATTAATTTATTTTAATGTCTATTAAAATCAGAAAAGGTTAACGAGAAGGATCGTCCCTGCAAAAATGGCCCCAATTGAAAAACTACAACCCAAAGAAAATACAAATCAAACTATTGGGAGGGGAGCGATTAGTTTTAAAGATGTGCATTTTAGGTAGGTAACTTTTTACAATTCAAGTTTATTTTTTGCTTTAAAATAAACTTGAATAAAAAAATAAACTTGAATTACAAATTGTAATTAAAACAAGCTGTAAAACTCATCTTAATTCAAGTTTATTATGCTGTAAAATAAACTTTAATTACAACTGAATTATAAACTTAATTGTAAAAGAAATTGTAAAACTTATCTCAGGTTTATTTTTACAAATCAAGTTTATTTTTATCATAAAATAAACTTGAATAAAAAATAAACTTGAATTACAAATTGTAAGAAACTTAATTGCAAATCGAGTTGTAAAACTTATTTTAATTCAAGTTTACTTTACAATCCAAGTTTATTTTTGCAAATTTAAGTTTTTTTATTTTTTACAATTTATAATCCTTCTTATAATAATTTCCAACTTTAGCTATCCTTCTCGACCGGACGTTGAGGTCATCAAAGGGCTTAGGTTTGTAAATAATTCACAATTTGTAAAAATAAATTCAAAACATCTTTTCAGCTTTGAAGTGGCTGCTGGCGAGGTAAAAATTAGTGCCCGGCAAAATCGATTTTGCCGGACCCGGATCCGGATTCCGGATTTGCAACTTGAGCCGGACCGGATCCGGCCGGATTTTTCCGGATAAATCCGGTCCGGTTTTAATCCGGCAAAAATAATTTCCGGAGTCCGGCAGAAATTATCCGGATTCCGGACCGGACTCCGGTTTTTTCCGGATTTTTCAATAAAAATTTTTTTTTAATTTTTGTGCTAAATGTAGTAATACGTGTGTCGTTTAAGTGTTAAAATGTTGCTAGGGGGATATCTAAGGAGTTTGGAGGCTATGAAGGATATTTTGTGGATTTTTCTATGTTAAAAGTTTGAAAAATAAAGTAAATAATTCGTGATTTTGAAATTTGCTCCTACTTTCGTACAGGCCTTTCTTTACCTCGTACTCGTACCTGCCAATTTTTGAGCATTTTGGAGTCCAAGGAGCAATATTTCCTCCAAAGATTTCCTCCGATATTTCCTCCAAGGATCCTCTTAATCCCAAATTCCTTACATGCGCCGCATGCGAAAATGTTGAGAATTTAAAGGTTTTAATTCAGATTTCTTCCATTTTTTGCGCCGCAGGCGAAGATTTTGAATATTTTTGAAGGTATGAAGCCAGATTTCTTCCAGTTTTCACAGACGGAGGCGAAAATTTCGAGAATTTTAAAAGGCCTCAGGAGAAAAAATTCTATTGTTAGGGCCGCAGGCAAAATTTTTTTGAAGTTTAGATGGTTATGAAGCTTAGAGTCTCCATACCAACCCTATTTTCGGCCTAGTACTGAAACCCAGTTGTGGTATATACAATGGGTCTCCAATTTTGTAAGGCCAACAAAGAAGAATTATCCTTTTTCAGCGCCGCAGGCGAAAATTTTTTGAATTTCATATAGACAAAAGTCAAAAATCCTCATTTTTTATAAAAAATACAAGAAAAAATGGGAAAATTCCAGAACTGTATAAAATCCCAAATCCGGTGCTCAAAATTTGCCGGACCCGGATCCGGATTCCGGATTTGCAACTTGAGCCGGACCGGATCCGGCCGGATTTTTCCGGATAAATCCGGTCCGGTTTTAATCCGGAAATTTCAAAAAAACCCGGATTTGGGACCCGGACTCCGGAAAAATCCGGCCGGATCCGGTCCGGCGCCGGGCACTAGTAAAAATAAAACTCACACTGAAACATTCCCTTTTTGCTGGGGATGAAACGGACTGGGCAGATTTAGGGCACTGAACCGGCCTTTCCGCAATTCTCAAATTTTCAAAAAAAATTTATTTAGCATTTAGCAATAGTGGGAGCTAGCGGTTCTGGAAAGTCGACAATAACAGCATTAATTTTGCGTTTTTATGATCCCTGTAGTGGAAGTGTCAGTATGGATGGTGTTAATTTAAGAGATATGGATCCAGGTAACTTGACACTTCTTCACATTTCTTCACATATTTCACCAATTCCATATTTTGCCAATAAGGCTAAAAACCCTTGTTTTGCCACCAGGCTTGTTGACAAAATGAGAGTTTTTAGCCTTATTGGCAAAATATGTTATTGGCGAAATGTGTTGTCACGATTTCAATTTTAGATATCGTTCGAGCTCAAATTGGCCTAGTCAGGTCTGACCACTCCTTTCAACTCTTTCTCATTCTAAACAGTCAATCAATAGTCAGGAACCCGTTCTCTTTGATGGAACAATTGCAGACAACATTAGATACGGACTTTTGGGGGCTTCCCAAGGCGATGTGAATGACGCAGCTAGACGGGCAGAAAGTTGGTCATTTATTAGTGCTCTCCCAGATGGAATGCGAACTCGAGTAGGTGATCGTGGAGTTCAACTAAGTGGTGGACAGAAGCAAAGAGTGGCTATTTGTCGAGCTGTTATTCGTAATCCGTAAGATTGGACAAATTGTCCCAAAGTGGACATTTGATCCCAAACTTTTATTTTTGCAGTTCTTTAATGATTTTTGATGAAGCTACTTCCGCGTTGGATACAAAACATGAAGGAGAGGTTCAAAAGGCTATTGATGCAGCGATTAGAGGTGTTAGTACAATTACTATTGCACACAGATTGAGCACAATAAGGAAGGCTGTAAGTTGAATTTCTTTATAATTTGAAGCGGGGTTGTTCACGACAGGTTGATTTTTGCATATGGGGGCTCAGATGCTCTTATTCTCTATTTGAGTCGCCATAGGTAAAGAATAACAGTCGAACAATCCTATTTTGGGTAGTTGTGCAGTTTACACCCCATAAGCCCCGCCCATTCTTTCATCCTTTTTGCTCTCCCTCCTTAAAACGACCATTTTGGTCTATTTTCATAGACATTTTCTTATAAAGTAAAGGAAAATAGGGCATAGAGGTGTGGTGGGGCATATGGGGGGTAAACTACACAAGTACCCTATTCCTATTTTGAAGAATTTTAAATAAAATCAAATCTGTAGGATCGCATTATAGTGCTGGACGAAGGAAGAATAGTTGAACAAGGCAGTCCTCAAGAGTTGCTCTCAAAGTATTTTTTATTTCAAAATTCTTTTTAAATTTAATTTAGTCCTAACGGCCAATTTACTCGAATGTTTCTTGATCAAAAATTGGCTACATTGGTAGAACCTAAAAGGCCTCCTCCTCCCGCTCAGGATCGCTTGACTGAATTAAAATCGATTACCGGAACCAGAAGGGATTCAACTTTAGGAGGAAAGTTTAGTATTGGACCTGCTGACCAGCCTGGATTTATGGTTTATTTTTTTTAATTTTAATAGTAAAGGGAAAACTTTGGGGAATGTTATCGTTTACTGACCTCCTTTTTTCTTCTCCGAACAGAATGATCAGACTTTCGTTTTTTCCTCCCATAACAGAATAAAAATTAGTTTATTGGCAGAATACAAAATGGGGGAATGGGAAACGGAAAGAAAGTCTGACCATTCTGTAAATTGATAGGAATTAAACTTGGGAAGAAAAAAGGGGGCCCGTAAGCGTCAATTTAACCCAACTTTGTAGGGGTGTTTTCACAACCGGTTAATTTTTCTTATGATGGTTCAACTGCTCTTATTCCTCTATTTTAGCCGCCTCAAGGGAAAAATTTCTGGCCGTGAAGAATCCTAAAAATTTGTTTTAAAGGACTCGTTGTTGGCTAAACGCCAGGCTTGGACTCGATCTTCAGTTGGAGCAAACAAAAAAATGAGTATTGGAAAATCCTATTCAGTTTTGAGCATGGATCGAGAAAAATTAAAAGCTTTGCCAGTTCTGTCCAAGAAAAGGTCAATGCTTCGTTCTAAACCAAACGTTATGGAAGTTGCTCCGGAGGTTGAGGAAGAAGTTAAAAGTTATACGGAAGAGGATTTTTCGGTATTTTTTAAATTGATAAATGTGGAGGGTTGGTCTTCGATCCTTAAACAAATCTTTATGCTTGACCCAGGAATGTCACGGGTTATCCAAACACACGGGTTTTCCTTTCTTTGATCCGATACCCGGCCCGAGTAGCCAATCCGGAGAAATTTTTGAAAGCCTGACCCGAACCCTGAACCTGACTTATTTTCGGGCCGTGACTTTCCTGACCCCGATCCCCTGACAGCCCTTCCCCCGACCCCTAAAAAAATTTTTGCTGACGGGACAGGGATCAACCCTATAGAAAATTCAAAAAAAAATTTTAATTAATTTTTAAAGTTGCCTGGAAAACACACAAATTTGAGAGCAGTTTGGCGCCTAATTCGTGATTTTAAAGGAGGGCATGTTCACTTGGCGTTGGCTATTCCTATTACAGTTTTGAGGGGAGCGCTGTTTTTATTAGTCTGTTTTGAGGTTGCCTCACTTCTTGAGGTTTCTTTTTTTGTTTCTAGTTTAAAATTAGGTTACCTATTTTCCAGATTTCTATAGTCCCCGCAGAACAACTTTCTGAAAAAGTTTTTATTGTTGCCTGTATTTACGTTGCGGTTTGTTTTTCTTAAAATTTTTTAAAATTTTTTTTTTTAAAGATTATTATTGTCAAAACAATGTTCGAAGCTGTTGGGGTTTGTTCAAAAAAATTATTTTTTTTAATAAAAATTTTTTTTTGAAAATTTTTTAAAATTTTTTAATTAAAAAAATTTTTTTTGAAAATTTAAAAAATTATTTTTAGAGGCTCTCCGTTGCTCTTTATGGCCATGGCTTTTGTACTCATATGCGTCTTCAAATGTTCAGACAACTATTGCGCCATGGAGTTGCTTATTTTGATGAAGATAGTTAGTCAAATTTATTTTTGAATTTTTTTGTTTTTTTTATTTTAAAGAGAATACTCCTGGTCGACTTGTTCACAGATTAATTTCAGACACTGCAAGTTTAAACAGGGTATTTAGTTTATATGATTAATTGAAAGAAATTTGGGTACATCAAAAAATGGTTATTACTATAAAAGGTTTAGGATTTATATGTAAAATGAAGCAAAGATCGTTCTTTCAGTAGGCCACCCCTGACTTTAATTCAAAAAGAGGATAAGAGGGGGTTATTGCTGGGATAAGAAGGAGATTGGGATAACAGAAAGGTTGTTTACCCAAAATTATGACCCGATAGAAACTCGATCCTCGACTTTTTTTTCTCTCGACTTATGACATCCCATTCAACCACTAGGATTTGATTCCTCCTCGATTCAATAATTTTTCCTAAAACTATCATAAGCTTTTCTAATCCTTTTTACATTTTCTCAATTTATTTTTAGATTCTCGGTTCAAAATTGGATATGTTATTACCTTCACTTGTTTGTGCTTTTGTTTCTATAACTATTGCATTGTTTTTAAATTGGAAGGTTTTTTTAAATAAATAATTTTATTTTAATTTTCTGTCTTGTTTAGTTAGCCTTACTCTGTGGTTTTCAATTCCCAGCATTCTTTTTTGTACGTATTGTGGAAGTGCGTGAAACTAGTAAACGACAACGACAAATGGCTGAAGAGGAGAAAAAGGCTGCCACAGTTCGTGTTTTTTTTTTAATTTTAACTTTTTTGGGTAAGGGGGATAGGGGTGGATATGGGGGAGAGGGAGATAACAAAGAGGTTGGAGGAGGAAGGAGAGTTGGATACAAGGAGATTGGAGTAGATTAGGATAGGCAAGGATAAATAAAGTTATAAATGAAGAAGTTAAGGGAGGTAATCAAGTAGTAAACTGGGGGTTGGAGGAAGACTTGGAGGGAGGGGGGATTTAGAGGGAGGAAGACTTGGGGGGAGAGGGGATTTGTAGGGAGACTTGGGGGAATGTTGGGTTGAGTGAGGAAGACTTGGGGGGAGAGGGGATTTGGATGGAGACTTGGGGGAGAGGGGGATTTGGAGGAAGACTTGGGGGGTTAGTCAAAAATTTGAAACTTAAGGGTAAGTCAGAACGTCTAGTTCATCTAATATCCCCCAGAAAAGGTCTGTTTCCACTAAAAAATTCAAAAAAAAATTTTTCCTTTAAAAAAGTATACAAGTATATTCCTCACCAACATGCCAACAATCAAAGCTTATTCTCTCCAATCACACTTTCATCGAATTTTTTGTGATGCCCTCAGACCTCTTAAAAAATCTATGAGACGTCAATCAATCGTTTCAGCTTTTGTTTTTGCTTGTCAATTTTCTTTTACTTATATTCTTTGGTTTGATTCTTTTAATTTTTCAAAAAAATATTTTTAATTTTTTTACAGTGCCATTACTTTACATATTGGGGAAATGATGATGTTGGCAAATGAAATTGGGTTAGTTTTTATATTTGTTCTGTTTGTATTTTGTTTTGTGCGTGTTTTGGGTGTTTTTGTTTTATTCATGTTTTGTTTAATGTGTTTTTGTTGTGTTGTTTGTGTTTTATTTGTTTGTATTTTGTTTTGAGTGTGTTTTGGTGTTTTTGTTATGTTCTCATGTTTTGATTTATTTTTTTATGTTTTCGTTGTTTTGTTTTATTCATGTTTTGTTTAATGTGTTTTTGTTGTGTTGTTTGTGTTTTATTTGTTTGTATTTTGTTTTGAGTGTGTTTTGGTGTTTTTGTTATGTTCTCATGTTTTGATTTATTTTTTTATGTTTTCGTTGTTTTTGTTTTATTCATGTTTTGTTTAATGTGTTTTTGTTGTGTTGTTTGTGTTTTATTTGTTTGTATTTTGTTTTGAGTGTGTTTTGGTGTTTTTGTTATGTTCTCATGTTTTGATTTATTTTTTTATGTTTTCGTTGTTTTTGTTTTATTCATGTTTTGTTTAATGTGTTTTTGTTGTGTTGTTTGTGTTTTATTTGTTTGTTTTTGTTTTGAGTGTGTTTTGGTTGTTTTTGTTTAATTCATGTTTTGTTTATGTTTGTTTTGTTTATGTTCCGTTTGTATTGTTTTATTTATTTCTGTTGTGTTTTTAGTGTTTATTTATTTGTTTTGTTTTGAATGTGTTTTGGTGTTTTTGTTTAATGTTTTGTTTATGCTCTGTTTGTTTTGTTTTATGTATTTCTGTTGTGTTTTTATTGTTTTATTTGTTTGTATTTTGTTTTATGTGTGTTTTGGTTGTTTTTGTTGTGTTTTCACATCTTGTTTGTTTTGTTTTATTTGTTTTCCTGTGTTTCGGTTGTTTTTGTGTTTATCATGTTTTGTTTTATTATTGATTGAAAAACGTTTACATGTTTTTGGGGAAAATGTTAGATGTTGGTGGATATTTATGTTTCCGGAAAATCTTTGCATGTTTTTTTACAGAAATGTTTATATATTTCTTTAACTGTTTGCGAATTTCTTTCTTTTTTACTTCATTGTTGGATGTGTTTTATTTGTTTTCAATGTTTGCTTGTATTTTTTCATGTTTTTTGTTTTTTAATATTTTCTTTTTTTCAGTCCTTTTGATTACCTCAGAGTTGTTTTATTAACCCAGGTTTTTTATTAATTATTTTCCAGATCTTTAAAAAATTTTTCTTTAGTTTGGTGCAAATTATCTTTCTTTGTTGGTTGCTTCAGTTTCCGATTTAAAAAAGGCTAGGACTGCTGCTGAGGGAATTCTTAATGTTTTGATTGAACCTGCAGCGGATATGGACAACTTGAGCGATGAAGGATTCCGTCCGGTTAATTTAAAAAAAATTTTTAATATTTTAATTTTTCCGGAAATGTTTACAATTTTTTGAAATATTGTTTATACTTTTCTGGAACATTATTTGTATGGTTCCGGAAAATAATTAGTAATCTTTCCGGAATTTATTTGCGGAAAATGTTTGTGAATCAATTTTCGGGATATCTTTTAAGTTTCCGGAAAATATTTGTATGTCTCCGGAATTTATTTATACTATACGGAAAACGTTTGTAAATTTCAGTAATACTTCCGGATTTTTTTCTTTTTAAAAATTTTTTTTTCTTTTTTTTCTTCCGGATTTTTTTCTTTTTAAACCTGTTACATTCCGGAAAATACAAGTTTCCTAGAAATACAACTCTTTCCGGAAAATTTTTAATATTTCCGGAATTTATTTGCGGAAAATGTTTGTCAATTTCCGGAATATTATTTATAAGTTTCCGGAAAATATTAAAATCCGGAATATTATTTTCCGGATTTTTCTCTTTAAAAATATTTATGGTACATTTCTGAAAATACAACTCTTTCCGGAAAATATAACTCATCTCCACTTATAACTTTTCACTTATTATTTTTTTCAGAAATTCGAAGGCCGTCTTCGTTTACATCGTGTTGAATTTCGCTACCCTTCTAGACCAATCGTTCCAATTCTCAAAAATATTAGTTTTGAAGTAAAATCAGGGGAAACTTTGGCAATTGTTGGCCCTTCAGGTTGTGGAAAAAGTACTTTAATGGCTTTAATGCAAAGAATGTATTCTCCAACAAGAGGGCAAGTATTGCTCGATGGATATAATTTACGTCAAATAAATGCTCAATATCTTCATAGAGTTATTGTTTCTGTTGGGCAAGAACCTACTTTATTTTCTTTTACAATAAGGGAAAATGTGAGGAGTTCATTATAAATTATATTTGAAGCTCGTTAAAAGATACCCCCAAAAATTTGGATTTGTACTCGATTTAAGGCATGTTTAGTGACTACTGGTTTGGGGAATTCCCAAAGCGAAGCTCCTCTATTTAGGATAATCCCATTATAGGGCACGAGATTTCAGCCCTGTTAATAGGTGTCCTCGGTATAAGATACCTAAAATTGGATGGGAACCTCTATTTATAAGACATTTATTTAATTGATATATTGGTTTGGGGACTGCCTAAGTGATACTTTAAATTTAAGATACACCTTATTATAAGAAACGAGACTTTTTCAGCTCATAAGGGGTATATAAATTAAGAGGGGCTTGACTATATTTTAGAATAAATTTTTTTAAAGATTGCTTTTGGTCTCCCAGATGATGAGGCAGGTTTAGATAGAGTTCAAGAAGCTGCTAAACTTGCAGATATTCGTAAATAAAAAATATTTTTTGAATAAAATTAATTCAACATTATTTTTAGATGATTTTATTGAATCATTACCAAAAGGATATGAAACAGAAGTTGGCGAATTTGGTGGTCAATTAAGTGGGGGACAAAAACAGAGAATAGCGATTGCACGTGCTATAATAAGAAAACCTGTAATTTTACTTTTGGATGAAGCTACGGCTGCTTTAGATTCTGCTAGTGAAAGGGTGCTAAATTTAAAATATTTAGTTTAATTAAAAAATTTTTTTTGAAGGCTGTACAAAGTGCGCTGGATAGAGCTAGTCAACATTGTACATGTATTCAAGGTGGGTATATGTTTTTGTGTTTTGTTTGTAGTTAAATGTGTTTTTCCGGAAAGAAAATAATATTTGTTTTGTGTTTTTCCGGAATATGTTTGGAATATGTTTTAATAATAATTTTCCGGAAAAAGTTTTATTTGTATATTCCGGAAACAATAACTTTCCGGAAAAATGGGTTTTTATTGGTCTTTAATTTTTCCGGAATTTGTTAACTTTTTTCCGGAAAAATATTTATTATTCCAGAAACAATAATTTTCCGGAAAAATGTATTTTTATTTGGCTTGAATTTTTCCGGAATTTTCTATTTGGAGGTTGTTTTATTTTTTCCGGAAAACTATTTAGGTATTTATTATTCCGGAAATAAATATTTACCTTTTCCGGTAAAAACAATTTATTTATTATATTTGTTCTTGAGTTTTTCCTGATTTTATTTTAATTATTTTCCTGAAAATTTTTTTATATTTATATTCCGGAAATTTTTATATTTTGGGAAAAGGTGTTTTTGCTTCTTTGTTTAATATCCTTTATAAAAATATACTTATTTTTGCTTAAGTTTCACACCGCCTTTCATCCATCCGATCGGCTGACCGAATTATTGTTTTAGTTGAGGGCCGTATTCATGAACAAGGCAATTATTTTTATTCTTTTAAAAGGGGATAACAAAAAAAATAAATTTAGGCACCCATCAAGAATTAATGGCTAATAAAGGTCTTTATTATGAAATGAATCAGATAGACCAAGCATCTTAAAAATATTTCTATTTTTTTTTAATTTTTTAATTTTTTATTCCTTTTGATTCGATTTTTAAAAAAATTTTTAAATTTTTTATTTAATAAGTTTTGGCAAAAAATTTTTTTCTGAGGGAGAGAGGCTAATGTTCCTTTCCCCCCATACCTCCTCTAAACCTACTATACTACTACTACAAATCTTATCCCTGAAACGTTCTCTCCCTTTCTTTCTTTATTCTTCCATGCATATCCTTTTTGGTATATTATTCATTCATCCGGAATGAAGCAGAAACTTTTTAAAAGAAAATATACCTCTTTTTTTAATAGCAAAAAACCTTTCCGGTAGATGGCGGTTAGTTTGTGGGAGACACAAAAAAAAGGGAGAAAAGTGGCCAAGATAAATGGAGTAATATGAAAAGTGAGGTAAACTAAGGAGAGAGAGAAGGGGGGAATTTAAAGGGGAAATATAGCCCCATTATTGTTAAAAAAGGATGTGCGCAATTCCGTGGAAAAAAAATTTATTTTGACAGTTGACAAGCTTTTGGGATTTATGAAAACTATCAAAGAACCCTTTATTTTTCATCTCTGAGTTATTCGGGTTTCGCGCAAAATTTTTTAACCTTTTTAAAATTCTCTCTCCTATATTTTTTACACTTTTTATGCCCTCATTTTTTGCTTCTATAGAAAATGGCCATATATAAAAGTGTGTGGAGTGCCATATAAGTATAGGTCTATCTGTCTGTTTTTTGTCGTTTTTGTTGTTAGCCATGCGGGAATTGCTCTAGAAAAAATCGATTTCAAATACTGGCTGGCTCTAGTTGGTGTGTGCCACAAAGGGAGAGAGGGGGGGGGATTATAGTGCCAAAAAGGAAGAAGCAATGTTTGAAGGGGGGACGAAACGAGAGGGCAAAGCAAAACGAGAGGCGGAAGTGTTTTGTGATGGAATACTATAGTAGCTAGTAGTTTTATAGAGGAGAGGTTGTGTTTGTTTGGTGGGTAAAAAAAAGGGGGGAGGCTGGTTGGTGGTTGAGAGGAGAGGAGAAGAAAATGTTCACCCCTTTCTTTCATTTCTCCGTCATTTTCGCCCCCCAATCCTTTTTTTAATTTTTAAGCTTTTTTTTCTTTCTCTAATATTAGCTCCAAATTTTGCCTGCAGCAAAATTTAGCATTAAAATTGGTAATTATCCATTTTTAGTCTTTAATGCTTCTTTGCCTATCTTTTTCGCTTTAAAAATGTTTTCCCCAAAAATGTTTTCCTTGAAAATATTTCTGATGTTTGTATTTTCCCTTAAAAATGTTTGTGTGAATGTTTGAAACAAATAATATGAATATTTTCTCATGTTTTTGTTTCTTGTGTTTTGTTTTTGTTATGTTTAGAATTTTGTATTTCTCATGTTTTTCCAAGTATTTTCTCACAAACACCATTAGGGAATTGTTTTCCGAACAAATTTTAATAAAAACATTTTCCGGAAATGTTTTAATGTTCTTCCGGAAAATGATGTTTTTGTTTTATTTTTATAGTTCTCCGTAAAATGTTTGTCGATTATTTTTTTAAACATTCCGGAATTGTTTTCCAACAAACATTAAAACATTTCCGGGGAATGTTTTTGCTAAAATTTGTTTACGGAAAATGTGTTTCTACTTTAATTTGTTCGGAATGCTAACTTTGTTTTGATTTTATGTGTTTCCTGAAAATGTTTATAAAATTATTTGTTTATTTTATTTTTATATTTTGTGTTTTCTTTGTGTGTTTTTATGTGTTTTCCTTTGTGTTTTTAATTTTTCTAGTTGACTTAACTATACTTTTTTAATTCTTCCAATATTCATCCCAAAATTAATAACGTCTCTCTCGTCTCCCTAAAAGTTGGGGTAAAATAAATTTTTATGGTCCATAGGAAATTTAATCAAGAATGCCTTTTTCTGTGAACGTGTAAGAAACGGAAAAACGACAACAGCTAACCCAAAGGGCAACAACAAAAAAAAACAAACTTTGTAAATTCTATAAAAAGGTTATAGAGAAAAAGGCAAAAATGACTGGGGTATTTTTAAATAAAATTGGCAGATGAACATTCTTTTTATAATTTTTTTTCTATTTTTCCGTTTATTCCATTCGTTTGTCTATTTTTTTAATATTTAATATTTATGGGCATTTGCTTTTTAATAAAAAAATAATATTTTAATATTTCCTTTTTAACTCACCTTAAGGGCATTAAATCATCCTTTTGTTTGCTCTTTTTTAAAATCCATTATATCCTTCCTATTTTTATTGGGTTTTTATTTACCTTAGAAACATAGTTGCCTATTTCAAAGCCTTTTTATTATTTATATCTGATATTTAAACATTCCGGAAAATTGTATTTATTTTCCGGAAAATTGTATTTTCGATTACTTTATTCCAGATTGTATATTTAACACTTCAATTCCGGAAAGTTTATTCCGGTTAATATTTTATTTGTACCGGAAAGTATAGCCTTTTCCGGAATGTTTTGTATTTTCCGGTTGTTTTTCTTTTTATATTATTTGTTCCCGAAAATGTTGTCTTTTCCGGTTTATTCTTTTTTATTTGTCCCTGTTTTCCGGAATTTTGCACAATTAATTAATTAATTTTTCAAATAAAGCAATAATTATGCTCTAATAAACCTCTATTTAATATTCACCTAAAAATGAAACGACATCGACACACCCAAATTATTTTTATGTAAATTGTGTTTGCAAGACTTTCCATAATAATGGTGCCTGTATCATCTCTACCATCCCCATTTTCCCCATCTCCACAACAAGGAGGAGATTCTCTCGATATTGGAGCCCCAGATTTGTCACATTTAAGTGAAGAAGAACGCCAAATAATTTTACAAGTATTGCAAAGACAAAAAGATGAGGAAAGAAAAGAAGAAGAAATTGCTCAAAAAGGAAATCAAGAACTTTGGGATATTGAACGACAAATTCAAGAACGTAAAGAAAATGCTCAAAAATTAATTGGGACACAAGATGATGCTATTTGCCAAATTTGTCAAAAAACTAAATTTGCTGATGGGATTGGGCATAAGGTGAAAAATAGGGGAAAATTTTTTATTGGAGTTTTAATAAAAAATATTTTTTTATTTTTTCCAGTGTTTTTATTGTCAATTGCGATCTTGTGCTCGTTGTGGAGGCAAAACTACAAGCAAAAATAAGAATATTTGGGCTTGTTCTCTATGTCAGAAAAGGCAACAAATTCTGGCTAGAACAGGGAAATGGTTCCAACAACAACAACAAACACATTTAAATGACAATGTTTTTCAAGAACAAACAACACAACAACATCAATTACCACAAAAGTCTTCAGATTTTTCAATTTCCGAACATACAAAAACAACACAACAAAATGAAAAATTACAAAGAAAACAAAGTTTGTCGTCACAACAACAAAAACGAAATTCTCTAACTCGCCAAAACACATTAAAAAGACAACAAACAATAGAGCAGACAGACGACAAAAATATGAAACAACAACCTATAATAAATGGAACAACAGAAGAATTACCAAAAACATCTAATGAAACATCTAAATGGAACGGTCAGACACGCAGAAGCATTAAACAACAAAGAGAACACAACAACAACAAGAGTTTTAAACAACAAAGTTTTAATGTTCAGAATTCTTTAGACGAGGAAAACAACAACAACATCAGAGAAAAAGAAAATGTTAGAAAAACATTACAAAAACAAGTTTCAAACAAAGTTGGAAACGCTCTAACTAGGCAACAAACACAACAACAACAACAGCATAACTTACAACAACAACAAAGGTATTGTTTTTATGTTTGTTTTAATTTTTGTTTTTGTTTTATTTTTGTGTTTTTATTTGTTTTGTATTTTCAAAAAGGCTTCCATTGTTTTTGTTTGTTTTGGTGTTTGTTTGTTGTGATTGTAATGTTTTTGTGTTTTGTATATTTTGTTTGTTTGTATTAAAGTTTTTGTATATTTGTTGTATTTTTTCTTTGCTTTTCTTCAAGTTTTTGTATTTTCTGTTGCGTTTCTAAGTTTTGTGTTTTCTGTTTTTATCTTTTACAACTCCAATGTTTGTTTGAATTAAAGTTTGTGTTTATTTTTCTGTGTTTTTTTCTATTTTAATGTTTTGTATTTTTCTCTAATTCTATAAAATCCTAATTCCAGTCTTTCCCAACAACCCACAACATCACCTATACAACTACAACAACGGCCTTCAACTTCCGGCCAAGCACGTTTAAACGAGTCAGCCTTAACCAATCAACAACAAATTTCGTTGGACTTTGCTTCCTCAGATCATCCCCAATCGTTAAAACAGTCTCCACGAATTATGCGGACTGAAGGTGATTAAAAAAATTTTTTTTGAACATTTATATCTAAAATTAGCCTAAAATTATCAAAAACCGGAAATTAGGATATTCTCTCATTTAGGATATTTTCTTTTAAATTTGCATTTTTTAGTTTTTTTTTTCTTGCCATTTTCAATTAGCCTTTTTTCTTTTATTAGTCTTGACATTTTTTTCTTTCTTTATTTTTAGGCCAAATAACAACAGCTAACGACAATAATATTTTAGCTTCAGCATTACCTAACCAAAATAGCGGCGCTTCTTCTATTCGACAACAACAACCTTCTTCACCTTCTTCCAAAATATCCACCAATTTAATTCCAAATAATAATGACAGCCCCAATAATTCTTTACCTTTGTTAAAAACACGTCGAAACAAAATGACAATAACAAATAGACAACAACAACAACAAATACATTCTTCTTGCCCTTCCTCTTCTGACGAACAAATTATTAGTTCTCCAAAACAAAAACAAATTGATAGGCAAATAAAACAACAAATAAAACACCAACAAACATTACAACAACAACAACATTGTTTGCCACAAAGTACTTCACTTCAACTTGAACAGACAAACTTTAAAAAAGAAGAGCCTGACTTTTCGGAAAAAGGTAAAACACACTTTTGTGTTTTGAATTAAACATTTGTTTTTAAAAAATACAATAAAAACACGACAAAAACAACAAAACATTAAAAATATGTTTGTTTAAAAACATTTGTTTTTATGTGTTTTAAATGTTGAAATGTTTGTAAAACATTCACCTATAAAAATCAAATGAAATACAAAACAAACAAAACATTTAAAATATTAAACAAACATTTGTTTTTGTGTTTTTGTATTTTTACACGTTAATAACTGTTTGTTTTAATCAAAACATTCTTTTGTAAAAAATACAAATAAAACACATTAAAACTTGAAACACAAACTTAAACCAATGCTAAAAACACATTTTTGTATTTTATATTTTTGTATTTTTCAAAACATTAAGAAATGTTGCGGTATATCTATGAAAACGCTCATCCAAATGCCAGGAGAAACACAGTATCTACTCAAAAAGGTGGGTTGGATGTTTCTGTGTTTTCTTGTATTTTTCACAAACACATAAACATTAAAATTTTTAAATACTCTTCAAAACATTAACAGTTTCTTTTCTAAACATTTTTAGTTTCAAATAAACAATCTTTGTTTCAAGCCAAGTAAAGGAAAATTCCAGATTTGACCCGAGACCTTTTTTAGGCTTTCATCTCTTTCTTCCCCCACACAAGTTCAATTAAGCGCGAATAATCCACAAAGCTTTAAGTAAAAAAAGAAAAAATAAGATAAGAAGTAGTTCTATAATATAAGCTTTTAAGGAATAAAAATGTGTGGGTCGTCGACTAAAGAAAAATACAAGTAAAAAATAGAGGCGCTTTACATTAAGTAACGGCATTTCTATTCAATTGAAAACAAAAAAAAATTAATGAAAAAATGCCCACATATTTTTATGTTCATTCATTGACTGAATTTTACAAAAATATTAAATACTTTTATTTTTAAAAAGTCGAAATTTCGTATTTAAGAAATTTCGCAAAATTTCAAAAAGTCGAATTTCGAAATGTCAATTTTTCGAAATGTCAAAAATCCCAAAAAAATATTTTTTCAGGTAATACTTCTACTTTACCTCTATTTGGCCAAAGACATGCAACGATGAGTACTGGCTCCATGTCTGCTATACATTCAAAAACAGTTGTCCCAGATAATGTTGTTTTGGCTAATCGAATTAGAAGCTATCTTTCTGTTTGTGATTTTTAAAAATCAAAAGAAAACTTTCCCCCCTTAAAGAATCCATCAGTTTCGTGGAAACCGTCAACAGATCAACGCAAATTAATTGGGCATTTATTGTTAAATAGACTTGTTCCTGCAACCTCAACTTGCAGCAATATTCTTGATTTTGGGCTTAAAGTTGTTGGTTGTAGGGATCCGATGAGTGGAAGGCTTGGAGCTTTTGTTACTCGTGTTAGGCCTGGTTCCATTGCTGATACTGTGGGGCAGCTAAGAGCTGGTAGGGACTTTTTAAATATTCCTGTCAAAATGGAAATTTAAAAAATTTAGGTGATGAAGTGCTAGAATGGAATGGCCATCAACTTCAGAACGCAAGCCCAGAGGTTTCTCACCCTCCAAAAATTATTATAAAATCCCCCTTAATTTTCCAGACAGTTTACACAATAGTTCAAACCAGTAAAGCAGACACACAATTAGAATTAATTGTTTCACGCCCACTAACCGGTGATGGAGATGATTTTTTAAATTTGGGTAGAAGAAGATTATTAGAACAACAACAACAATTTTTAATAAATAAAAATATTCCACACTCACAATCTTTAATTGCTGCTACGCCTTTTATTAGTGGTGGTGCTTCTATGCAACAACAACAAAAACATTGTTTTTATTCGCGGGTCCCCTCTCCTTTTGTGCTACAACAACAACCCTATAATGATGCTTTAACGGGCTTTTGTAAGTTTATTCAAACATTAAAACCAGAATACTAAATTAAAAACACAGGAAAAATAAACAATAAATTAAAAACATGGAAATGAGTAAAACATGTTAAAAATAAAACCAGAATAAAACATAAACAAGCGAAAATACACGAAACAGAAAACAGAACAAATAGACAAAATAGAACAAATAAACATGTTCGAAAAACACGTGAAAACACAAATAAACAAAACCAGAATTAGAAAAATACAAAAACAAAACACAACAAAAACACAACAAAACAAATCAAAAACACACAAAACATAGTAATACAACTAAAACAAAAACACAATATCAAACAAAACATTAAAAACATTTAAATCCAAAAACATTGTGTTTTTAATTTATTATTTGTTTTGTTTAATTTTTCTGTGTTTTACTTTAAATTTGTTTAATTAAAACATGTTTTAGTTGATTCTACTCCCTTTTGTTTTTCTCCTTCCCAATTTAATTCTGATGTTTCTGGAATATGTGGTCGATTAGAGGTATGTTTTGTTTAAATTCTGATTTTAATAAAAACAATGTTTAGATGGCTCTTTTATATTTACCACAAAAACGCGAATTAATTATTTCTCTAAGTCGTGCCTATGATTTATTACCACGTCCAAATGAAAATGATAGAAATCCTTATATTAAATTATTTTTGTTGCCGGATAGAAGGTAAGAAGAAGAATTAATTTAAATTTAATTATTTTTAAATTTAAATTTTAATTATTTTTTTAAATTTAAAGTGAAAGAAGTCGAAGGCAAAGTAAAGTGATTACAGGGACGCAAAGTCCGGTGTGGGAGGAACACTTTTTTTATGAAGATTTGGATGAGAATGAATTGGCTAATCGTGTTTTGGAGGTGACAGTGAAAAATAAATTTCTAAGAAAAATATTTCTTCACAGGTCACTCTTTGGGATTATGACGCTTTCGAATCACACTCGTTCTTGGGAGAGGCTCTAATTGATTTGAGTCAAGCTCCATTAAATAATCAACCACATGTTTATACTTTGCTTGATATGGATGATGATAATCCTATTAGAGTGGTACGTAATTTAATTATGGGGTTGCCTAATAAAAAAAATTTTTTATAGAGACTTCGATACCAGCAAAGAAGGTATTCTTCCTCATTAACCCCTCCAGCCGGCCAACAACGTAGTCGTTCACAAATGAATTTTCCTTATCGAACACTTCCCCAAAATGCTTCTGCTTCATTTGGCCCTTCGGATAGAGGGAATATTTCTAATAGAGAATGGGGGAGCAATAATAAAGCAACTAATTCACTTTCTGTTCATGATCTGCCGGTAAGTTTTTGTGTTTTCTGGTCCTTCGAGTCTGATCTGGGGTCCGGAAAAGGATTTCAAACCTTATTTTCCGAAAAGCCGGGGCTCTTTATCATACAAAGAGACTAAGCAGCAATATACAGTTGCACAAGGAACAAAATATTCGACAAGCCAGACTTTGCTTCAAGTTTAAACTTCTTTTTTTAGCTTCATTCTTCACGTTCTCGTCATCGTTCTTATAATTCTGATTTTCCTATACATTCAGAAGCCTTTAGGAGAGGCAGGCATAATTATTATGGAGATGATGAAGATTTTTGGGATGAAGGAAGAAATTTTGGGAGAAATACAAAACATCGAAAAAATATTTGTTTATCAGATCAAGAGCAAGAATGGGAAATTGGAAGAAGGCGTAAAGAAAGAGAACATAGTAGAGAACATAGGCGTAGAGATAGAGAACATAGACATCATCAACATCGTCATGGAGATAGACAACAACACAACAATGTTAGGGATAGAAGGCCTCAATCAGCTACAGCGCTGAGAAATAGTAAGTTGAGAAGATTGGGAAGCTGAAGCAAAAATAAGGTGGAAGCTTGTTTTTGCTTCACTTTTTGTTGGTGCTTCAGTTGTTTTTTTTTGCTTCAGTTTTTTAATTCCTGCTTCACTTTTATATTTTAGCATTTTATATTTTTAGTAGTTGAATGGGAACAGCGTCATTCTTCGGGAGTTAATAATAGTCAAGATTCTGCTTTCATTGAAGAAAGGGAAGGATATCAAGATTTGAAGCAAAGCAATAGTAATAGTCGTAAAACAACACGGCAACAAGAATTAAAAGAACAAGAAAGTGGCTTAAGTCTGATCGGAGGAGGAGGTGGTGAATATGGCTCTGATTGTTCTGCAGAAACTTTAAGTGTTAATTCTGCCCAGAGTATGCAAAATAGGTAGTTTTCCGGATTAGTTTGATTGTTGAAGCAAATTAATTTATTTTTCCGGATTTTTCTATTGCTATGATATATTTTTCCGGATTCTTTTATATTTTTATTATTAATTTTCCGGATCATGTTTTTCCGGTTTCCCTTAATTTTTCCGTAATTTTCCGGAGAGTGTTTTTCTGTCATTCAAATATTTTTTCCTGATAATGTTTTCCGGTTCTATATTTTTTCGAAGTGTGTTTCTTTCTTTTATTTTTTCCGGATTGTGTTTTTCGGTTTCTTATATATTCTTTCCGGAATTTTTCTTTCCCTTTCCGTTTTTGCTTCTAAACTTTTAATAAAATTTTGCTTCAAATTTAATAAATTTTCTTCTCAGAGCTTTACTTCGACAACAACAACAAATCCAAAGAATTCAACAACAACAATTAAAACAACAAAGTCAAAGTTCAAACGAAGATACAAAAAATTATGGAAATGGTGGGGATATTATAGATTATGAAGAAGATGAGCGATTTATTGAACAACAACAGCAACAACAATTAGGAAATTTAGCTTCATTGACGGCCAAGGAAATGAAGGATAGAAAAAAGTCTTTAATGACAAGATTAATACCTGGAAGGAATGGACCTAATGGTAATCTTTCATCTCTATCGTGAAATTAGAAACATGAAATATAATTGTGTTTCGAATTTCGCGAAACACGAAATTGTGTACGAAACACGAAATTGTATTTCGCGTTTTGCATTTCGCGACATCTCAAAAAATTTTTTTAGACGCAAATAAAAGGCTAGGGTTTGCACGTTCTGAAGAGGTTGGTATTCCTGGAGAAGGTGGAGGGGCAACAACAACAGTCTCGACAACAACATCAAATACAGCATTAGCCCCTCCTGAACTTATTAAGCAAAATAGTAAAGAATCTACTGACAGTTCTGACAAGTAAATAATTTTGAAAGACTCAGCAAAATATAAAAAAATTTCAGTTGGCTGCCTATTTTGCCTGATCGACCACTCGGTTCATTTATGGAAAATCTTGGCCCTGGGCAAGTTGTCGGACGCCAAGCACTTGGTGCTATACCTATGGGGGAATTGTTGATTGGTTTATCTATTGAACAGGGAACTGGATTGGTTTTGGATATTAGGGAGGCTAGAGAATTGAAGATTGGACCTAGAGGTGCTCCTGGTGAGTGCTTTTTTTTTGAATTTTTTTTTCGACAAAAACTGATTTCCTCTTTAATTTTAATTTCTTATAAACAGCCACTTAAGTTTGGCCGTTTATCGACTGGCCGTAAATAAAATCTTTTGTTAATGACTGATTTTTAGGAAGGGAGCCATCCTTCAATATAGAGTCTATTTTAGACTAAAAATTTCTTTTTCAACAGCTTCCTACGTCAAAGCCTATTTAATGGAAGGAAAAAATTGTGTAGCAAAAGCAAAAACACAGCCTTCAAGAACACGTTCTGCCTCTCCCAGCTTTCGCCAAAAATTAATTTTCAATGAAAATTTGAGAAATAAAATGCTTCAAATAACTGTAATTGGGGATTTTGGACGTTTAGAAAGGAAAATATTTATGGGAGTAATTCAAATTGCTTTGGAAGAATTACAATTGGGGGGAGGAAATATTGTTGGGTGGTATAAATTATTTGATAGTGATAGTTTAAATGGAGCAGCAAGTTGTCAGCAACAACCTGTGAGAAAAGAAAGCGGAGTATCTTCTACTTAATTATTCTCTCAATTAAAATATTGTCTGATTTATTCTGATTTTTTTAAATTTTATTTCTGATTTTATATTAATAAAATTCTGATTTTTTTGATTTTTTAAAAATAATTTGCATATTTCTGCATTCTGCAAAAATTTTTTGCGATTTTTTTAAAATAATTTCCATTTTGTACATGACAAAAAATTGTGGCAGTTTGTCATATTTTACACTGTTTGGGATTTTGTCCATTTTACATTAGGTGGCATTTTGTCGTATTTTACGCAGTGTGACATTATGTTGTATCTCATACGGTTGGGCGTTTTGTAAAGTTCACACTGTGACATTTTGACGGTTTTTCACTACGTGGTATTCTGTCGGATTATCATTTGTTTATTTTTAGCCTTTAGGTGTTTTGAAATTTTTTTATTTGATATTTTTATTTCGTAAATTTTGAGATGTAAAATATCAAAAAGTGAATATACGAGAGGTCGTTTTTCACTTTTCTTTGATTTTTTCTTAAATTTTCAGAATTTTTGTAAAATTTTTTTCCTTTTTAGAAATGCCTTGTAGTAATACCAGAGAAAATGAGCTTTGGCAGCAATGTATAAAATGGATAAAATCAACAGGAGTGCTTTCCCCTGAAGCTGAATTTGACAAATTATCCGATTTTGCCTTTATTTTGAGAGATGGAATTCTTTTGTGTAATTTGGCTATTAAATTGTGTCCAAACTGTATTTATTCACATGAAATATTGTCTCAATATCAACAATCACATGTATTTTTTAATTAAAATTTTGGGGGTTTTTTGGGATTAATAAAGGCTTTAGGTCGGGTTTAAGGAGGATAAGAATACTTGCTAAATTTGTGTATTTTTCTCTATAGGGAACTGAAGCTGGGTTAAGGTTGTTTATATGACTGTAGCCATAACATAGAGCCATATACTTTAATTTCTGGGGGGTTTTCTGGACTTGAGGAAAGGTCTCTGTGGTTCAGGTAAACTGATCATACTTGGAGTGAAGCAATCTGATTCGTTCCAGACCTGAACCCCAAACCTGACCTCAACTTGGAGATTTTTAGAGTTAAACTGCCTGGCTCCACTGGGTACGCCCTTGCTAACCCAGTCTAACATCTAGCTAGTCTTTCTTATTTTTAAGTTTTGGGATCAAATGTCTATTTTTAGTGAGAATAAATTTTCCCTAACTTCAACCCTTTTTAATTTTTATTTTTTTTCAGTTTGTTTGCTCAAAAAATATTGCATTATTTCTTAAAGCCTGCCGTGATCATTTTTCAATAAATGAGGTTTTTAGTGAAGATGATTTGTTGGAATTGCAAAACTTCCCTGCGGTTCTTAGACTTTTGTCGCAACTTTCTAGAAGTCAAAAATCGAGGCAGTTGGGATTAAAGTTTGTTTTTTATTTTTGTTTTTAAAAATTTTTCGAATTTTATAAGAGCTTTAAAAAATTTTGTTTTCTGAAGCGTGAAGCATGCTTTAGATTTTTTTGCCTTAGAATTTTTTCTGTAACGTGTTTCTATTGTATTTTTTGAAGCATGTTTCATTGCTCCTTAAAATTTATCAGTATGCTCTGGAAGCATGCTTCACCGAAAATTTTTTTCTGAAGCATGTTTCAGATTTTTTCCTTGCTTCAGAAGCATGATTAAGAAATTTTGAATCCTTTTACGTAGACTTCAGACATGACTGCGAAATTTTGAAGCAATGAAGCATGTTTCAGACTTTTTTCTTCTGAAACCTGAAGTATTGAAGCATGCTTCTGAAATATTTTTTGAAGCAAAATTTCAAGTAAAAATTTAAAATATAATTTCAGGCCTTTCCCAGAAGAAACCATTCTTCCTTCAAAATTACCAAATCGAGAAGAATCCGATGATGATATTTATTTAAATTTGAGAGAACAATATGAACAACAACAGCATCAACAATATACAGAATTTGATAATTATTCAGTAATTAATAAACAAAGGGAAGAAGAAGAGGAAAGGACTGGACAAGAAATATATGAATCTATATGTTCTCAAAAAATACCGAGAAATAGATGTTTGCCGTTGGTATGAGGGTTTTTTTAAATTTTTTCGGAGTTTTTTGAGGGGTTTTTATGTGTGGGACCTTGAGATTCTTTTAAAGTCAGGGGTCTGAACTAATTTTTGAATTCAATAGCATTGGACAGATACTAGTGGGTATTTGCTCAAATAGAAGATCGCTAAGGAGAGTTAAAATTGTTTGAAAGAGGGTAAAGAAAAGCAGAGTTTTTGGCTCTGACTGATGTCATTCGATCTTGGTTGGACCAAATGTCCACTTTTTCGAAAAAAAAGTCCACTTTTTTGAAAAAAAAGTCCGCAAAAATGTCTACCTGAGGCATTTACCCCCAAACATTTTAAACCCACAAACCTTTAAACCCCTCAAAATTTAAAATTTATCTATGTGTTATTGAACCAACTGTCCATTTTTAAAAAAGAATCTGCAAAAATTGTTCGCAAAATTTTTTTATTTTCTAGAACTACTTAGAATTTACCCCAACCAACAACCGGGATCACTGCCTAAAAGAATTGTTAGATACAGAAATTAGCTATTTGGATGGAATACAAACAATAATCGATAGATTTTACAATCCTTTACGTTTCCACCTTCAAAGCAGCGATTTTTTGACAATATTTATAAATATTTTTGAAATTTTGGGGTTACACAGAAAATTTTTGCCTGAATTGACTGAAGCTATATTACATAGCCTTGGATTGGTAAAAGAAGGTGGAGAAGAAGTTTTGGATAAGAATTGGGTTGCTCAAGTGTTTTTCAAGTTTGTTTTTGAATTTTTAAATTATGTAAAATTTTGTCCGCAAAAATTTTGCGGATTTTTTTGTTTTAATTTAAAAAATTCTTTGTGGATTTTTCAAAAAATTTTTTTTGAAAATTAAATAAAAAAATTTCTTTTTAAAGATATAAAATGAATTTTACAATTTATGGCTTATTTTGTTCACAATTGGGATCGTCTTCTCGTAGAATTGAAGAGTTGGAAAGAGTTGATTTTAATTATAAAAGAATTGTTGAGGTTTTTTCTTAAATTTCATTAAGGATATTTGTAAAGTTAAAAACAATTAAACTATCTTTCTAGTTTAACAAACAAACTTTAAAAAAAGAGCGGAAACGTTCGGTCGGTAATGCGATAATTTTTCTGGGCAATGAGCAACCTTGAATCGAAGAGTTTTTAGGATTTTAAGTCCCTTCCAATTTTTGATATTTTCTGATATTGGGTTTATTGTTAATAATATTTGTTAGGGATGGTGATATACGGATTGTAGAAAATTCTGGAATTTTGGTTTATGAGCCGGGTAATGTAGAGGGATTATATGAGGGAGAAGTTGGGGTTTGAAATAAAATTTATGACATCTCTTGCTACTGACGTAAACTTTTCTTTTTTAAAATGAAAAAAATTTATTTTAAAGGAATTAGGCAAAAATCTTCAATTTAAATTGCGTGATTTTTTAATTTTGCCATTTCAAAGAATTACAAAATATCATTTAATTTTGGAGGTTTTTTTTAAATTTTTATTTAAAAAATTAATTTTTTTTTTCTTTAAAGAATTTATTCAAAAACACTAACGATTTGACTGAAAAATCTTTTTTAAACGAAGCCTATGAAGCAATGAAGGATGTGGCTGTATATGTGAATGAAATGAAAAGAGATCAGGAAATTATTGGGTGCATTAATACTATTGAAAGGAGTATTTGTGATTTGGATGTGGTTTGGATTTTTTTAATTTTAAATATTTTGCGAATAATAGTTGCGGATTGTCCGCATTTATTTTAAAAATTTTTTGTGGATTTGTCTGCAAAAATTTTTTTACATGGATTGTGCAAATTTTATCAAATAAAAATTTTGCGGACAATATTTGTGGACAGTCCGCAATTTAAAAATTTTTTTAACTTTTCGTGTGAGGCTCTGGTCCGCAATTTTTGTTCGTAAAATACCAAATTTTTTTAACTTTATCAAATTGAGAATTAAATATGACAATAGGAAAATTAATTTTTCGCTGGTTTGGTTCGAACCCTCAACTCACTTTTAGTTGATTGCCCAATCCGTACTAGCTTAGCCATCGAATTTTTAATCTGCCTACATTTGGTCTTTTTTCACAAAAAATCTTAAAACATTTTTGCGGACAAAATCTGCGTTTGTGCGCAAAAAGTTTTTTATTTTTTAGAATTTGTTGCATTATGGACGTTTTATGTTTGATGGAACATTAAAAATTGCAATTACAGAAAATGGAACATCCTCCAAAGCAAAACAAAGAAGTGTTTTTCTGTTTGAGAGTATGATACTTTTTGCTAAAAGAGAGGTTTTTTTAATTAATTTTTTTAAAGTTCAAATTCCTCTTCTAGGGTTGAAACTTCATTCCCTTCTCATTTTAGAGTTTTTAAAAATTTGTTAAGGCCATTGAAGGGATTGAGACTGCCTAAACGATACCCCTTCCCATTTAAGAGATAACCCTCAATATAATACTAGATAGAAGATTTTCTGAGCCCAGGAGGATATTTTATAGTGAGGTTTGGCTTATTAAGGTTGTCCTTTGTGTGGGATAAACTTCATAAAAGAATATTTTCCAATTAAAAAACCTCACATTATACGAGACGAGATTTTGGGATTTTCTATTTTAAAGGGGTATCTTATTCTGAAATTTGTCCACAAAAATATTTTTATCCGCAAATAATGTCCGCAAAATTTCAAAAAAATTTTTTTTCACTTTCTAGGCAGGAACATACAAATCCAAAAATTTTTATTTTCTTTCTGATTTTGATTTAATTGAATCTAACGACTTGTCCTCCACAACAACTTTAAATAAATATAATTCAATATCTCGAAAATTAACGAGCAATTTATTTGATTTAAATAATTATAACAATTCTTTTTTAATTGAAAAAAGAAAATTAAATAATAAAAGAAGAAATTCGTCGAATTTCTTTGGAGGAATTGGTAATGAAGCTAGTATAAATTCGACTAATTTATTAATTCAATTTATTTTTAAAAATTTGAATGATATGAATAATTGGAAACAAATGATTAAAAAAGCAATGTAAATTTATATTTTTTTGATTAATTTTGGGGGGTGTTCGCAAAAAAATTTGTTTTGTCCGCAAAAGTAATATTTTCTAGGCAACAAATTTATCTGTTGACAAAATGATTTTTTGTCTGTAAATTATGAGTTAATACAAAATATTTATTTTGTACAAATTCACTATTTTTAAATGATTATTCTTGCGGACAAAAATTGCGGATTTTGTTAAGTGTCCGCAAAATTTTTAATTTGTCCGTAAGTTTTGTCCACAATATATTTTTTAACTAGAAAGTTTCTTTATGGATCATAGTTTTACTCAACTTATGATCTTATTAAAATTTTTCCGATTCAATTCACTCCTCTAAATAAAGATTATTCTCGAGGACAAAAATATGCGGATTTTTAATTGTCCGCAATTTGAATTAAAATTTTGTAAAATTTTTTCAGAGAAATTAGCAACCCAAAAGAAGCTTCAGCATTAGGCCATTCTTTACTTTACAAAACTTATTCTTCTGTAACTATATGTTCTGTATGCTCTAAGCTTTTGAGAGGAAAATTTTTTCAGGGATATCACTGCTCAGGTTTTTTTTTAATTTTTTCTTTGTTAATTTTTACAAATTTTTTAAAAATTATTTGAAAGTCTTAGAGCTCTGAGACTTGAAAATAATTTTAAAAAATTAATTTTAAAATAAAAAAATTTTTTTTAAATTTGGGTAAAGACTCATAAGGGTCAATTTCTCCAATTTCGGCCAAATCTTAATAAAATTTATACGTATTGACCCTATGAGTTTTGAAAAAAACCGTTTGAATTTTGACCCAAATTAATAAATTGATCCTATGTTTGTTGGCTCAATTAAAAAAATTGACCCTTATGAGTCCTTACCCAAATTTAAAAAATTTTTTTTAAATTAATTTTCTTTTCAAAATTTCCAGGTTGTAATAAAGATTTTCATTTGGAATGTACAAAAAAATGTGAATGTTTAGCAAAAATAATAATTAGACAACAAGAAGTGTCCCCAACAATTTCTCGTTTATCTTCAATATTTCCCCAAACATTTAATTTAAATAATAATTCAAATTTAAATATAAATCAACAATTACAAAATATAAATAACACAATTCTGTCGTTAAATTTTACAAATGGACATGGAGGTTATGGAGGAGGGGGAAGGACTTTGCTTAATTTGGATTTTGTGGGTTTTTTTAAATTCTTTTGGAAAAAAACTTGCGTACTTTTTTTTATTCTTCCCCAAGTCAATAAAAATCTCTAGCATTCCCTGTCTAAAATGCCATCTTAAAATTCTTTTAAAAATTCTTAAAAAAATTTTTTTTCTTTTAGAAAAAACGTTATAGCCGATCCTCTAATTGTTCATTATCTGAAGTTATAACTGTAGACGATAACGAGACACCAACACATTTATTACCTTCTCCAATGGCTTCTAATTCAATTTATTCCAAAAAAGTGCCAATGATTGTTAGCAGGTTTGGATTTTTTTAATTTCTTAAATAAAATATTTGCGGACAGCAATTGCGGACAAAAATTGGTAAAATTCGGATTAACTTATTTTAGGGGTTTTTGGATAAAAAAATTTTTTACTTGAATTTTTAATTGAAAAAGAAGTATTTTTTAACAGAAAAACTATGAATAACACTAAAAATATTTATTTCCCCCGACGGGGTTCGAACCTTTAACCCCTTTGTTATGGGAATTTTTTATTACCCAACTTAACCATTGAAAAAAATTTTTATGTCCAAAAAAAATTTTTTGTCCGCAAAAATTTTAACAGAAAACTAAAAATAACACTAAAAATAATTATTTTCCCTGACGGGGTTCGAACCTTTGACCCCCTTACTATGGTAATTTTTTATTACCCAACTTAACCATCGAAAAGAAATTTTTTTGTCCGCAAAAATTTTTGCGGACATTTTTTAATTAAAAATTATTTTTCTATATTTTCAGTAGAATAATAGAAGCAGTAGATATTCCTATAGAAAGACAAAATATTCCAGAAGAATATCCTTGGTATTTTGGTGAAATTGGGCGTAAAATAGCCAATAATTTATTGGAGGGAACAGAAAAAGGAACATTTTTAATTCGTTGGAATACAAATTATCAACAATATGTATTGTCTTTACAAATTGGGAATTTATTGAAACATATAAAAATTGTATTTGATGAAGAAAATAATAAGTAAGTTTGGGGGAAAATTTTGGGGAAAAATTTTTTGCGGACAAGAATTGCGGACTGTCCACAAAATTTTTTTTAATTTTTCGGGAAAATTTTTAAAAAATTAAAAAAAATTTTTTTTTTGAAAATAAGTTTTTTTTTCTAGGTATTTCTTACATGAAGAGAGATTATTTGATTCTGTTGTGGTAAATATTATTTTTTAATTAAATTTTAAGACAATAATATTTCTGATTTAGACGGGATTGCTTTTTTTCTTGTTACCCAATCCTTCTAATTTTTATTAAAATCAGAATTCTGATTTTTGGAATATTCAAGTTTAAAGACGGAAAATTCTGTTTTCTGAATATTCTGAATTTAATTCATTAATATCAGAATATTCTGAATTGATCAGAATTTGTTTTTCTGATTTATTCTGATTGTAATCAGAATACTGATTTTTCTTTTTTCTGATTTCCAGTTCTGATTTATTTCAGAAATTTTTTTAATTATTCTGATTTTATTTTTTCTAATCAGAATTTTTTCTATTTTTAACCAGAATTTAAGTTAAATTTTCAGAATTTTCTCCACTAATTTTCTCTTTTATTTTCAAGGATTTAGTCAATTTTTATCGAAGCAACAGCATTAAAGAAGGCTTCGAAATTGACGTAATATTAAAATCTACCCCATTAAAAAGTGCTTTATTTATTGCTCAACGTTCTTTTAGTCGTCCAGATACTTCAAAATATTTGACTTTAATTCCTGGCGATTTAATTGAAGTTTTGGATACTATTGGGGAGGATAAGGGATGGTGGAAAGGGTCGATTAATGGAGGCCCTGTAAGTTGGAATTTTATTTTTTAATAGGTGTAGAAATCTCTTTATAAGTCTCTTTACGCCCACGCCAAATCTCTTTACGCCCACGCCAACGCCGATTTTTCAAAATTTTAAAACGTTAAAAAATTGGTCAAAAAGCTAACGCCAAATACGTTCACACATCTCTGTAAGATACCCCCAAAATTATATAAATCTCTATTTAAGATATACTTTCTATATCCGAAAAATTCCGGATATCGGATCCGGATATCCAAAATTTCCGATCCGGATTTAGGAGTATTTTCCCCTCCCATAAGACGCGGAATTCTCAGCCACATGAGGATATCTTATAGAGATTTTACTTTTATTTTTTTTTAAATTTTTTTCTTTTTTTAAGTCAGCCTACTTCCCCTTTTCTTATGTTAAACCAGAACAAAATTACCTAGAAGGAGAAGCTTTAGAAGGTCATAGAGTTCAGCAACTACAACAACGTCAACAACAACAACTCTTATTATTTCCTCCACATCATCATCAACGTCAACATTCTTCAAATAATCAACAACAACAAATTCCTTTAAATTTTGAAGAAGAATTGGAGGAACGTTGTAACAATAATCGGTGTGAGGAGTAAATAATATGATAGTTTTGTCCAATCCCCGTCGCGAATCCATCCTATCGTTGCGAAGCTGACCACCCTTTTTAATGATATTTTAGATTTTGCCTATTTCAATTTGTATCAAAAAACCATACCTAGCAGGGATTGATTGGTTGACAATGGGTTTAGAAAAAAGTCGGGTTTCCAAAATTTTCATAGAATCGGTTTCGTGGCGAAAAAAAGTTCGGGATAGGATATTGGGTTTCGAATAACCCGGCCCATCCCTGATTAAAAAAATTTTTTTGCCGAATGCTTTTGAGTGCTCTTTGCGACAAAATGTGTGTGGGGTTTCGCAGCGGTGGATTTAGCTTGTTTCATTATTCTGAGGGGTTTTTTATATTAAAAAAAAGATTCTTTTATATTTTTAATTAGAAAAAATATATATTTTAAAAACAGGCCATTATTTTTAATCTTAAAAAAATTTTTTAAATTTAATCTCTTAAATATCATGTGCATTTTTTTCTATGCCTTATTCGCGCCTTGCTTTTTTTTTTTGTAAAGCCTTGACTTAAAAAAAGAATTTTTTCCTTAAAATATTTTTATATCTGCCTATAAAATAATGTGAAAATTATTATATTAATTTAAAATCTCTCTTATCTTATCCTTCCTTTCGGTTATAATTCAAAAAAATTCTCTCAGATATCCCTCCCTTTGTGGGGGAACTTGTTATTTTCCTCCCGGTTCCTTCTAATTTTTAGTAGGGTTGGAGGCCGTTCGGTTCGGAAGATTGAGCCGGGCATCGAATTTTGGCCCTAAAAACTCTCGATAACCCCAACCCTATTCTTTAGCCTTTTTTATAATTAAAAAAATTTTCCCTCAAGTCCTCCTTCAACTAATTTTGCTATGTTGTGATAAGTTAGAGAGAGATTTTAAATGTACTATTTTGTTTGTTTAGTCAATCCCTTATATAAATATAGTAGAGACCGGACTGAAGAGAAGAAGCTCATACGAGAATCGTTATCTCCATCTCTATCGACGTTGATTTTTCTTGCCGATTTTTTCCCGGTCCGGTCCCTACTTTATTAGTTAACTGCTAATATTTTTAGCTAAATTTTTTTAAATTGCCCACATCTCATTCCATTTATTTTTAAATTTTTTTGGATGAAAGATTTGATATATAAATTTTTTAAATTAAAATTTTGTTTGTTTGTTTAGATGGGGAGAAGTATTTGCGGATAATAGTTGCGGACAACCTGGTACTGCTAGCTTTAAATAGTATTGATGTAAATATATTAGACTTAACCCAGTAGACATTCTTCCCAATTTCAATGGGGTTCGGTTTCGTCCTCAATTTTTTTTTGTCCGCAAGGGTTGTCCGCAAAAATATTTTTGTCCGCAACTTCTCGGTAATTTAGGTTTAAAAAAATTTCAAAAAATTTTTTATTCAACAAAAAACAAAAATTCAAATAGTATTTAAATAAAAAAATAGGCAGCATAATAAGGAAAAAGGTCAGTTAACAAAAAATATTTAATTGAAGGAAATTGAAAATAAAAAAATTCAAAAATATTGTGAATAAAAGATAATAAAAATAATTTATTTTTACTATTCCCTCGTTGATTTTTAATATTTAAATTATCCGGCAAACATTTTTTTGTTGTTAAATCAACAAATAAATACCCTTCATTTTTTATTTTGCAAAATTTGTCGGTTGAACCGTCGTCCCCGTCAAATTGAAATAATGGAGGGGAAGAAGAGTCTTCCAAGTGTTCTTTTAATGTTGAAGTCATCCGCCAGTTTGAGATTATACTTAAAAAATACCTAATTTTATTACGGTTTAGTTCCATTTTGTCGAGTTTACCCTATGTACCGTTTTGTCGAGTTTTACCCTTTGTACCGTTTTGTCGAATTTTACCCTACGTACCATTTTTTCGATTTTTGCCCTATGTACGGATTTGTCGATTTTTACCTTTTGTACCGTTTTGTCGCATTTTACTCTAAGTACCAATTTACCTATAATTTATCTGACCACATTCAACGCCAAATGCTTTCTGAATACATAACCGATTCATTACATTATTGTCCTTTAATTTAAAATTTTTTTAAATTTCTATTGAAGACTTACAGTAGCAAAATTATTTAATAAAAATTCTGCCGCGGATTCAAAAAATCTTTTAGTAGAATTTGCTGAACGAACAAAAAAGTATCCTCCAGCTATCTTTAAAATAAAGAAAATTTTAGGCGTGTGAGAAACATTTGCGGACAAAATTTGAGGACATTCACTATATGGACATTCACAAATGTCGATGTGCGCAAATGTCGTAGTCCCCCTAATGTCGATGTTTCCAACTGACTGTGTTCGCAACTGTATATGTTCTCAAACGTTGTTTCCTCCCCAATGTCTATGTTCGCATCTGTCTATGTTCGCAAACGTCGTTCCCTCCCTAATGTCGATTTTCCCAATTGACTATGTTCTCAACTGTGGTGTTCGCAAATGTCCAATTTTAAATTTAAATTCTTTACCATATACCGTAGTAATCCTTCAGAGCCTTCACTGTCAAAAATAATTCCAGCATTAATAAATTCCGGACTTTCCATATCGATAATTTCAAAAAGATTTTCTTTCCAAATTGTGTCTGCTTGAACCATCCAAAATTGATCAGTAACCTCAGTTAGAAGAGAAACCAATTTAGCCCGAAAATATTGAAAGACTTGGTAACGACCATCACCCGACGAGAATTTTTCTTCCTTTAAAAGAGAAGAGAGTAACTTTTTGTGGAATTTTACTCTATGTTCCATTTTGTCTAAATTTACCCTATGTACCATTTTGTCGGACTTTACACTAAGTTCCATTTTGTCAATTTTTCCTATGTTCCGTTTTATGGAATTTTTATTTAAAAATTTATTTACCAAAGCAGGAATATTCCAATACACAATCCCCCCAATATCTGTAAATGATTCCTTCAAAATTTGATGAGAATAAGAGTCAAAAACAACAGCAACGATATGGTCAACAGCACCGGGAAATTTACGAAGATTGCAGAGAAAGTTGAGAGAAATGTTTAAAGCATACTGTAAATTAAATAATTAATTTTAAAATTGGTACTTTATGGATATGTCACCCCCCCTCCTATTTTAGTCTCAGAGTTTTCCTTATGCGTAGGAAATGGTCAGAGATTATTCTCTTCTACTTGTCAATCATTTTTTTCTTCTTCAAGTATTTTGCTTGTTTATTTTGCCTTTTCACATATTTTGTACTTACATTTCACTCATTTCGTTTCTACATTTACCACATTTCACTTGTTTTGCTTAAAAAAGAAAAATGATTGACATGGAGAAGAAAATAATCTCTGACCATTTTCTACGTTTAAGGAAAACTCTGAGACTCAAAATAGGAGGGGGGTGACATATCCATAAAGTACCTTAAAATTATTTAAACGACAAATAGACAACTGTCAAATGGTCTAACTGACAAAAGATCTATGGACAAAATGTCCATGGACAAAAGGTCAATGGACACAATGTCTATAAACAAAAAGGCCTATGGACGAAATGCCCCCAAGGGTCTCCTTGTCTTAGTTGATATCCTTTGCCATTAACAAATAAGCCTTTAATTTTACCTTATTAAGTAAGAGAATTGCTGGTGTTTTACTATCATTCATATTGTTTAAAGTCTGAAAATGAGAGATTTTATTGAAATGATGTTTAAAAATCTCCCTTACCTTCCTAAATTGTTCTCTATAATCATTTAATTCGTTTTGATTATTAAATAAACTTTTACTCTGTTCGGTAAGAAAATTTTGTATTTTCGAAACCCTTCGCATTTTTGTGTAGAAAAATATCGAAATAAGTAAAATGGCTAAATGTATAAAACGAAATCGAAGCTGGCGCATCATTAGACTACTAAAAATATAAAAAGATAATAAATAAAGAGGAGGTTGTTTTCTGAAGAGAGAAAAAAATATTTTTCCGGAATGTTTGAATTATTAATTAGAGAAAAAACATTTAGAATTTGTTTTGTTCGTATAGAAAGAAAAAAGAGAGTTTTCCGTATAGAACAATGTTTGAGTGAGATAAACAAATGTTTTTCCGGATTATGTTACTGTGTTGTGTTAGAGAAGGAATAAAAAAAGTTTTCCGGAAAATGTTTATGTTTAGCACGAGAGATGTTTTTCCGGAAAAGATTTATGTTTGAATTTATATGTTTTTCCGGATTGTTTGTTTGTTTTGTTAGAGAAAAATGTTTTTCCGGAAAATGTTTCAGTTTTCTGTTTAAACATAAGATGTATGTTTTTCCGGAATGGACTAGACTGGTTAGAAATGTTTTTCAGGATCGTGTTTTTGTTGTGTTAGTGAAATAAACAAATGTTTTTCCGGATTATGTTTCTGTGTTGTGTTTAGACATATGTTTTTCCGGAATGGACTAAACTGGTTAGAAATGTTTTTCCGGATCGTGTTTCTGTTGTGTTAGAGAAATAAACAAATGTTTTTCCGGAATGTTTCTGTGTTTCAGTTAGTACTCTCCAGCTAACAATATTAAACAAATAAAATCAATTAACTTTCCGGATTAAACAAAAATTAAGTAACTACAAACAAGTAAATATAGGGATGTTTTTAACTTGTTTATCGGCTTGTTTAATCTCTCCGTTTCTAGATCCTTTTCTCTTGATTTGTGTTCGTCTGTTTTCTTCTTCATTTTCTTTCATGTTCTTTCATCATTTAAAAATTAAGATACGAGAAAAATTCAAAAAATGATTTTAAAATTTATTTTCCTCTTTTCTATAAATTTATTAATTAACCCCTCTCCAATAGAAGGTGCAAAATTAGGGAAAAATATTAAAATTGAAAATAAAACATCAAATTTTGCCAGTCTTGACTTGACTAAAAGACCTTTAAATTTTTATATAATAGCTAATGGAAAACATGCAGCGGTTTTGAATAAGAGTTTGAATTTGAATGGATCTGAAGTTGATTATAGTTAATAAGATTTTTGGTAAATTGAACTTCGTTCCTACAATAATAAATTCCAAAAATTCCAAAAAATTTGTTATAGGGATAGAAAGCTCTACTCTCCCAAAATTAAGGTACGCACAGCACAGTACCGGATCATTGGTTATAAAAATCAGACGGGTACACGGGTACTTATAGCCATAGAGTCAATGTTTGTGCAACTTTTTACGTCTGACCATTTTATTATTAGGGAAACGAATTTCAATTTTAGCGAGTTCCTTATTCTTTAAAATCCCCCTTTTAATTTAACAGAAATATCTCATCCTCCCTTTCTCATTAAAAATAGAGGTTCCGTCATTATACTGGATAATGGTTAGTGATTTATTAAAACAATCTCTAATCCCTCGATTATTTAAAAGAAAATCCCACTTCTTTTAATGTTGGTTATCCCTCACTTATACAAATGCTGGCAGCTAGTGGACACTCTACTTTGGCTATAGAAGGTGGAAATTTTGAAGAAATTGAAAAAGTAGTCAAGTGGGAGGAGCTTCATGAAATTTTACTTTTGGGGGTTGGAAAGAAAGGAACTCAATTAATTTTGGATTTGATTGAAAAGTAGGTTGATTGGGAGGCTTTTGGTATAAGCTGATAGAGAATTAAATTTCCTACATTATTTAATAGGAAAACAATAATTATAGAAAAAGTTATGTTCGAGTAACCCGAAAAAGTTTGATAATTTATCTAAAAATGTTAGTTTTAAGGATCTAACTTTTCTAACTAGAAATCTAAATTATTTATTTTAAGTCAATTTTTGTAGCAAATTTAATTATCTATCGTATGATAATAAATTATGGAAAATTTCTCAATCCCTTCGGAAGTTATGGTGGTTGGAGCAAGCATGGTCACTCTCTATAACTTTTACCAATTTTATGACTTTCCAGATTAATCCAAATTTTTTATTTTGGGTCTATCTTATAGTTCATTTAATTCTCTATCGAATGGTATATAATATATAAAAATCGGTCAATCCATTCAAGAGTTATGGTGGTTGGACCAATAGTGGTCACTCAATAGAAACCAGAAGAAGTTGAGGACACTAAGTTTATCCGACATTTGCGAACATCAAGCATAAGGCGACATTTGCGAACACCCACTAAAGCAAATTATCTTTTGATTAATTTCAGAGTTCCGAGAATCAAAGAAGAATTAAATTCAGTATTACTAATTAATCCTCCAAAGACATTATCAAATAAAATTGAGGAATATTCAAAAGAAAATGGAGATAGAATTTATTGGATTTTGTTAAAAAAAGAAGTTGATTGGTTTAATAAGGATAATTTAAAAGAAATTAATTTTGAATGGAATCCGGAAAAGAAGGAAAGTATAGAAAAGTTGGCACAAATCAGTGTTAATTTACTTGATTTTGTCCATCCACGTTGATTTAATTGAATTTTTAAAAATTTAAAAATAAATATTTTAATGGGGTAACCAGACGTTAATTATACTTAAGTCAATTGATAAAAGTCACTGAATCTTTCGGGGATGTTAAAGAAAAATCTCGGCCAGTACTTTTTAAATGCAGTTTTTAATGCTCTTTTGAATGACATATAGTTTTCCAAGGTTGCATCAGAATTCAGCGAGAAATGGCGCTTTAAATGAGCCAACGTTTAAAAATACGTGTGGTTAAGTTCAGGCATTGAAACTTTTGGATAAATTGTGCCATCCAGTTCTGTGCTACAATTTTAATTACGGTTTATAATGCTCTTTCGGAATTCGAATCGGATGTGAATTCAGCGAGAAACACCTCTCTAAAGGTTTCAAATACCAAAAAATATTCCTTATTCCCGATATTGTATCTCTCGGGATGCTTACAGGGGGTTTAGAAGAGCTCATGATGCTCTTTCAAAAGATCATAAACTTTTTATTTAATTTTTAAATCCAAAAATTTTTTATAATTCAAATTAATTTTCCACAATTTGTGTTTTTATTTTGTTTATCACGGAATCTTTTTCTTTAACATATCTTTCGTAATCATCAATTAATTGGTTAGGAAGTCGTCCTTTCCATCTTCCCAAGTAAGCTTCAATACCTCCAGATTGTTCTTTTAGCTTTAAAAGGGAGATATTTACGTGGAATCTGAGGTCAACTATTTAAAACGACATTTGGGGACATTAGTATAAGCGACATTTCTTACACTTCCCATAAACGACAATTGACACCGATTAGATCCACATTTTAAATCACGAATGATATCCTACAATTTTTTTGTCTCATTGTCCCCAAATGCCGTTTAACCATTTTTTCAAACCTTTCTTAAATGTGAAGTTCTGACTGGGCAATTACAGTAGTGTTTTTCAATGCCTTTAAAGTAAAAGAATGTCTCTTTTTAAAATCTAAAACAACCTGGGAATCCCTCATCTCCAACAGGCCCGACAGGTCCTGTCTGACCATCCGGTCCATTCTCTCCGGGCAATCCTTGCCTTTAAATTTAAGAAATTTTCATAATTTTCGATATTTTACATACCATCCAGCCTCACCAGGAGGACCATTTTCTCCTTTTACTCCTTCATCTCCAGGCAATCCGGATGGGCCTGCTTGCCCTATTGGTCCTTTCTGGCCTTGAGGTCCTTTTGAATATTTAATTCCTGGCACTCCAGGAAATCCTTTAAAAGCGATTTAAAAGAGTCGATCCTCACTATAAGATACAACTATAGGCACTCGTTATCTTTAGTTCGAAGGGAACATCTCCAGTTAAGAGAACATTTATAATCCGAAAAGAACATTCATTGTTCGAAGGGAACATCTTATAGTCTGAAGGGAACATCGACGGTCCGTAGTGAACATCTTATAGTGAGTTCTGATGTATCATTCCCCCCTCCCCCCCCCCCCCCCCTTCACTCCTCTTTATTACCAGGCTCTCCATCCATTCCATTAACTCCATCCAATCCTTTATCTCCAACAAGTCCAGGCTTTCCAGGCAGTGCCTTTTTAGCTTTTCCGGGCTTTAAAAATTATATTCAAATTTATTTTTATTTTTAAAAAACCAATCCAGGTATTCCAGCTTCTCCTTTAATTCCAGGAACACCTATTTCTCCTGGAAGACCAGGTGGACCAGCTGGGCATTTAATACAGCCAGAATCTTTTAGGTTATTTTCTTGCTCTTCTGTCGACTGTCCCGGTTTTCCTGGCTCTCCATTCTGACCAGGTACTGCAAAATGAAGGAATTCGAATGGTCAATCATAAAAAGGGTCAACTTAGCTTACCCCCATCAATCCCCGCCAATCCTTTTTCTCCAGGAGGCCCTTTTTCACATTTCAGTGCCACGGAAAATACTTTCTCCTTCGGCTTTTTCTCTTGTATTCCTTGAATAGTTCCATAAGAAAATGTCCTAGCCCTTGGAGCAATAAAATTCGAACTGATTTGATTGCCCTCCAATTGCTCCCGTAAATTTGAATGTTGTCTGAGTCGTTGACGGCCTTTGAAAGATTCTGAAAAAATTTTTTATAAAATTATAGTCCGAAGGGAACAGTCTGAATGGAACAAGTATAGTGTGAAGGGAACATCCATAGCCTGAAGTGAACATTCATAGTCCGAAAGGAACATCCGTAGTCTGAAGGGAATATCTATAGTGTGAAGGGAACATCAATTCTGATGAGTACATCTATTCCGAAGGGAACTTCTAGTCGGAAGGGGGCATCCCGTAGGGAATATCCATTTATATTTTATCAAAAAAATATTATTAAACTTCTTTCTAAAAAGTCGAGAAATCGTTTGCTTTCACTCCCATTTAGAGGCGATTCTCGTTCAGTTCTCCTTTTAAGTTGCAACAGTCTTGAGTAAGTATTTTTTCCATTATTAAAAGATCCACGGATATAGATTAATTGGTGCCATATTTCTTTTGCCATTTGCTTTAAAATAAAAAAATACAGAGAAACATTAGGATTTATTTAGAAGTCAGTATTTGATGCCTATCCCTTCCCGTTAACCTCTAATATTTTAATAATTAATATCTTTCGAATGGATCAACTAATCCTCGTGTTTTTAATATTTTTGGATAGAGGATTAAATGTTCTAGAAAAAGTTAAAAAATTAGAATTTTTGAAAAGTTAGTAGAAAAGTTATGGCCAAAAAATTATAAAAATGGGCCTTTTTATGCGTTCTTTTGGTCATAACTTTTTTGTCTAGTGACCTAAAATTATGAAATTTTCTAAATTTGTAGCTAATTTAATTCTCTATCAATTGATACCAAAAGTATTTCAGTCGGTTCAGTCTTTCGTTAGTTATACGTCTTAGACTGGATAGAGGTTGATGGTTGCAGACATTTGCGGATAACATATGCGGACAAGGCTTAATCTAGCAAACTTTAAAAAAGTTCAGTGTTTCTTGTCGAGTACTATCACTTAAGCAATTTGATTACTCATTTTTGATGGTACATCACGGTAAAAACTCGTTCCTACATATGTCGTAGATGTCCGCAAATGTTGTCCGCAAATATTTTTGTCCGCAATTTCTCCCCTCCTCTATATAAAATAAAATTTAAAAAATATTCTCTCTTACATTAAAAACTTTTCTTTCATTATTAGCAATTTCATTTAATTCATCCAATTCAGATATTAATATTGGTATAATTAAAGACAAAATACAAAAAGCAATAGCTGTAAGGGCTAAAGAAAGGATATAGAGACGTTGAATATTTAAATCCTCTTTGGTGGGGGAATTATTTGATGAAGGCTTATTAATACTTTTTTGTATTCCTATAAGCTTTTGGAAGGAAGAAATTAATTTTAACATTTTTCTGAAAAAAATAAAATTTTTTAATAGAAAAAATATTTGCGGATGATTTTTGCGGACAAAACAGACAAACTCCTATTTAAATTAAACGAATATCAGAATTAAAAATCAGAACAAACAAAAATAAAAATCGGAATAAAAACCAGAAAAAGATCAGAACAGAATCAGGATTAATATTAGAAATATAAAAAAACAAAATAAAAATGTTTCTCAACCCAGAGGATTCAAACCCACGTAAAATGGGACTTGTAGTCGGCAACGTTACCACTACACCACAGGCGAACTAAATTTAACAAAATTAAATCCCGTATTAGCTTCTCTTACTTAATCAGAAAAATCAGAATTTAACGTCAGAAAATCAGAACAATTTTAAATAAAAAAATAAATTTAAATAAATTCCTCTATATAATTAATTATATCCGGATTATAAATAAAAGCGGTATATTTACTTTAAAAGAAAATAAAAGTGAAAATGTTCTTTTAAAAGCATTATTGGTGTGCGGAATTTTTTTCAATTTACTTATCGGAGATCAAGATCAACAAAAAAATAAAAAAATATTTTTAAATATCCTTTTATGAAATAATATAATTAATCAAAATTTTAATATTTTTGCGGACATAATAGACCCCTAAATATGTATAAAAAAATAAAAATGTCCGCAAATGTTGTCCGCAAAAATTTTTTGTCCGCAAAAAATTTTGCGGACAAAAATTTTTTTTATTTTTCTCAAGATTAATTAACATTTATTAATTCCAATTAAATATTCTTTTATTCGTTCAGCCTCCCTTTGTCCACTTTCAAAAGCTCCAATAGTTGTTTGGAATATTTGACTGTGTGTCCCCTCTCCAGCAAACAATAATTTTAATTTTTGATCCTTTTTTGAATAAATTGGTTCTGCCAATATGGAGAAAGGGTCATCAGAAATTAAACTTGATTGAGGTGTTATATATGTATATGAACCAAGAAAGTTTTGGTCATTTAGCCATTTTGTGCTTAAATTTATTGTTAAATAAATCACTCCCTCCCGAGGTCAGTTTTTGGACCATAACTTTTTTGCTTATCGTCCGATCAGAATAATTCTTGTACCATTCGAAAGCTCTGGATATCCTGATTCTTTTTCCTAACAGGACTATTCCTGTCAGAAAATCCAATAAAAAGTTATAGCCAGATAAGTGCCGACAATCGTGATTTTTTAGCATTATCAGGCTATAACTATTTTAAATTACAACTGATAAGGAAGGTCCCATTGAGGAAAAGAATTAGCAATTCAAGAGCTTTCTATTATTACAAAATTTTAATCAAAACTATCGGCCAATAAAAAAGTTATGGATCAAAAACAGCATCGGTCTTCCAAAAATTACCGAATTATTTTAACTGGAGGTCGAATATTTCTATCTTGTAATACTTCTCTCAGATGCTTTGTTATTAAATCGGATAACATTGAATCGGTTAAAGCATTTACTAGTCGAGGACCATTACCGGAAAGCCAGAGAACAAGAATCTTAAATAAAATGTAAAATACAGAACACCTATAGGATCAACAATAATCAGACAAATCAGAATAAATTCTGGCAAAAGCAGAATAAACGACTATACAAGGGCAGGTCAAAAAATCAGAACAGAATCGGAACAACCCGGAATAAATTGGTGTACCCTCCAGACTGGGGGTGTTCCCTTCGGATCATAGATGTTCTCCTCAGACTATTGATGTTCCCTTCTGACATGAACGTTCCCTTCGGACTATGAATCTGCTCTTCGGACTGTAGATGTTCCTTTCAGACTACGGATGTTCCCTTCGGACTATAGATGTTCCCTTCGGATTACAAATGTTCCTCTCGGACTATGGATTTTCCAGATAATTTCTGAATGTATCCATCACTCAATATTAATTTTTAATCCTCACCCTATTCTTTGCCCAAGGATGTGGTTGTAATGTGTGAAGACTGTCTCTAATCCTTCCTTCCTCCTCCTCTTCACAATTACAATTCAAAGCTATTAAAGACGTCATATTTTCAGGCCAAAAGGGTTTATCATAGACCAGAAAAACTTTTTCCATACTTCCAAAGCCTATAGCTTCAATTATTTTTAATTTATGTTTTGGAAGTTGAGGGAGGAACATTGTTGAAGAAAATTGTTTTAAATGTCCGATGGGTACTGTAATCTTAAAAGAAAAAATTTTTGAAAATATTTCAGAATTTATTACAATAACAAAGTCAAAATGTGTAGATAACCATTCTTCTTCCATTAAATTCTGATCATTATTTGTTTTTTGCAACTTCAAACGAACATGTTTGCCTAAAAACAGAAGCAAAAATAAAATCAGAAAAACAAGTAGTAATTAGTTTGTTTTAATTTAATTCTGATTTTAAAATTAAGTTTTAACTATGTTCTGATTTTAAAATTCTGTTTTAATTATATTCTGATCTTAAATTTCTGATTTAATTCTGATTTTAAAATTCCAAGTTCTGATTATGTTTTTATTTAATTCTGATAATATTCTGATTTCTAACTCTGATTTTAAAATTCTGTTTTAATTGTGTTCTGATCTTGTTTTAATTTAATTCTGATTTTTTTCTGAAAGTTCTGATTTTAAAAGTAAGTTTTAATTGTGTTCTGATTTTAAATTTCTGGTTTAATTCTGATTTTTAATTTTTCGATTTTAATTCTGATTTTAAAATTCTAGGTTCTGATTATGTTTTAATTTAATTCTGATAATATTCTGATTTTTAATTCTGATCTTAAAATTCTGTTTTAATTGTGTTCTGATTTTGTTATAATTTAATTCTGATTTTTCTGTCTTATTTTCTGATTTTAATTTTGTTAGATATTCTGATTTAAATTCTGGTTTTAAAATTCTGATTTTATTCCTAATTCTGATTTTAATTCTGATTCCCTGTCTAATTTAATTCTGAAAAATATTCTGATTTTTAATTCTGATTTTGTTCCCCTACATTCTGGTTTTATTCCAAAACCAGAACAAACACTAACTCTTGATATTCTGAAAGTTGATCTTATGGATACACTTTAAATAAAATTAATTATTCCCTTTCCCCTCTTCACCTCTATAATCAATCTGTACAACACGTGAATTTAAATTTAATTTATTGACAGGCACGTTCTCGACCAATTCAGCCAAAATAGGGGCATAACCACGTGAATTTAAGGTAAATGAACTGAAAGGGAAAGATTTACTTCCATCTTTCCATTTAACATAATTGTGAAGGGCCAATTTGTCTATCGGGGCAGACCATTCTCCTTCATAATATCCACGGTAAATTTTGGCGAGACTGTCATATTGAAGTTTATCTTCTTTTGAGGCGTTCATCTTCTGAAAAACACAGACTAAGATTTTTGCGGACTGACATTTGCGGATAAAATAGGAATACTGACTCAAATGTCAGATTATAGGTAATGTTCGCAAATGTCGCATTATAGCTAATGTTCGCAAATGTCGCATTATACCTAATGTTCACAAATGTCGAACTCACCCTCAAAAATTCTTCATAATCTCTATCAAAAACTTGAGCGACTGTTTTGCTCCAAATCTCACGATTATCCATAGCCATTTCTGCATATTTCAATTCAAGAAAAGAGCTAAACTCTGCAAATTTGTTTAATTTGTCTTGAGAAATTTGACAATTTGGAGAAGAAACAAATTGTGCATCTTCAGAGATCAGAGCAGAATCGTCCACTTCTCCTGTAATTAACTAAAAAAGAGTGGGAAAAAATTTTAAAAGACGGAAAAAAATTTTTTGAAAGAATTTTTAAAGACTAAAATTTATCGAAAAAAATATTTCAATAAAATAAAAATTAATTTCCACCAGTGGGACTCGAACCATCAACCTATTATGGGCTAGTACCGCGCTCTTACCCCTTACACCACAACAACTCTTACAGGATTTGATTAATTTAACATTAAATAGGCTTTCAAAATAATTACCCCAAGTCTGCTGGCAGCTTTATAAATTGCATTATCTTTCCCATTAATAAATTCAGCGCCTTGCTGAAGAAATATTCCTTCTTAAATTAAAAAATATTCTAAAATTATTATAAAAATATTTTTACCAAATTCCAAGGGATAAACTCTTCCACCAACTCTATTTGAAGCTTCAAATATTTGGACATTGTGTAGACCAATTGATGATAGGTGATTAAAGGCTGATAGACCTTTGAAAGTAAACAAATGATAGCTGAAATCAACTCGAAGGGGAGGGGACTATACTCTTTGAGGTATCCCCTCTATGGGATAATTCAGAAATTGGGATACCTAAGGTTGGGATAAGAGGGAGATTGGGGCAAATAAGGAGGGATAACTGCCAGAGCTTGAGGACAGGTAGGGGTTGAAGGGATAGCTAGTATGCTCGGATTAAACCGGGATAGTCCGCAGAAATCAATCCGCAAATTTCAATACTCTACCAGAAAATCCAGCGCCAATAATAGCAATAGATACATTCAACAAAGAACAATTTTCGTTTAAATCGTTAAAAACCTCCGGCCCTGTCAGGAAACCTTCATCAGCAATTGTCTAATAATTATTTTATTTAATTTTATTTAATTTTCCCTTACCAATAAATTTATTACTGTTATTAATTGAAGGAAAAAACGCATGCACCGCAGTACAAATATTAAAAATGAATGGGGAGATGGGAAGGGAAGGAGAGAATTAAGTATATGGAACGATAATTAATTACTAAATATGGGACGTATTAAATATTAAGTCTGGGGAGGCAAAAGTTTTTAAAAAATCAATTTGGGGATTTGTCCGCAAATGTTGTCCGCAAAAATAAAAAAATGTCCGCAACAAACCAACCACAAGTCAGTCTAGGCCGCATAACTAAAGAAAGACTGAACCGATTGGAATAATTTTGATGTCATTCGATAGAGAATTGAATTGGCGACAAATTAGGAAAATTTCAAAATTTTGGGTCAACAGACAAAAAAGTTATGGCCAAAAAACACACAAAAAGGGTCATATTTTCAAGTATTTTTGACCATAACTTTTTTAATGATTTTCCAAAAATTCTAATTTTTAATCATTTGATAGAGGATTTAATTCTCTATCAAAAATATCTAAAACACAAAAATAGGTCAGTCCAATCGAGAGATATATTAACTAGAACCACCTGATAATAAGAAGGAACAAAACACACCCAAATGCACTCAAATAACTTGAAGAAACTTTTTTTGTTTACTTAATTACCCGTGTAAATTGTTCAAATTTATTTTCTCAACGAAAAAAAAATGAAATTTAATGTCAACATTCGAGATATTTACAATTAAATTAATTAACTTGTGTTTGTCTGTCAAAAAATGTTCAAATAATAAATTAAAGTGGAAAAATTAAATGAAAATAATGTTCTAATAAATAAAAAAATTTTAAGAAATTTTTCAAATTAAAATTTATAAGAAAAAAACAAATTTTAATTCAAATAAAAATTATTTGCTGTGAGTGGGATTCGAACCCACGACCTATTTTGTGCTAAAACCAAGCCCCTTCCGACTACACCAAAGAGAACATTTTTCTGAAATTTTTAATTTTTTCGGCATTTTTTGACAAAAAGAAATAATAAAAAATTATTTTTTATAAATATGGAAAATCAGAAAAAAATTTTTAATCAAAAAATCAAAATTTTTAGACTAAAGCGCAAGTATTGCTCCTTCTCGTATTCTTCCCAGAACCTCCCTCAACAGAAATAAATTTACAGGGTAATAACCCGTTGTTTCTAAGTATTGAACGAATTTTTGGAGTAGATAAAGCATACAATAAAGGGTTAAATGTTGAGCAGGAATAATTTAACCATAAACACAAACGAAAAACTCGATCAGAAATTAAATGGGGAAGAAATAGGCGAAGAGGCCAAACAATTAGAAACGGAAACCTTTAAAGAAATGTGTTTTAAATTTAAATAAAATCAGAATTTTTTTGTTTCAGTGTTTACTTTTCTATTTAATATTTTTCAAAATTTTAATTTTAAGGAAAATACAAATTCTTAAAAATATAAAAACACAAATTCTGATTTTTGTATTTCTGATTTTAATATTTTCAGAATTTGTGTTTCAGATTTTTCAGAATTTTTTTCAGAATTTGTATTTTATTTATTCTGAAATTGTGTATTTTTTCAATTTAATATTGTTTTCAGAATTTTGAAGAAAACACAAATTCTGATTTTTGTATTTCTGATATTAATCAGAATTTGTGCTTTTGTTAATTAATATATCAGAATTTGTATTTTTTCAGAAAAATTGTGTTTTTCATTTAATATTTTTCAGAATTTTTAATTCTGCTCTTTATCAGAATTGTGTTTTCTTTGTGTTTTCTTTATAATTCTGTTTTTAAACTTACCAACAAAGCAGAAAACAGCACAAAATTAAGGCAACTGCTTTCGCTGCCTTTACTTGTTGTGTAACCCCCTCCCTTTGCAATATCAAAGCAATATTTTCAGAAAATGTAATTATTGAAAAACGGGCAGAAGAAAGGCGTCTTTGTTGCAAAGGTTTGTTTAAAAGGGATGATTGTTTGAATAAATTGGAAGAAGAATCTTCTTCTTCCTCTTCATTTTCTTCCTCAGAAATTGAAAATGTGGGGGCTATTGAACAGAGGGAGTCTTTTTGTTGTTTTTCTTTGTTCTGAAAAAATTTTTATTAAAATATTTTGATGCGAAGAGTAACATACAAACCACTAGTCAGTGACTAGTCTCCAAGAGTCAGTCTAAACCCCATAACTAACGAAAAACTGAACCGATTTAAATAGTTTTGGTATCATTCGATAGAGAATAAAATTTGCTACAAATTTGGTAAATTTCAAAATTTTAGGTCAATAGACAAAAAAGTTAAGGCCAAAAAATACATAAAAAGGGGCATTTTTTCTGGTTTTTTGACCAGAACTTTTTTAATAATTTTTCAGAAATTCTGATTTTTCAATGTTCTATAGTTCATTCAATTCTCTATCCAAAAATATCAAAAACACAAAATAGGCCCTCCCATACAAAAAATTTATTTACCAATTCAGTGTCTCCTTCATCTACAATCACAGTCAGTGTTGTCTTCACTTTATCCCCTTCATTTTTCTTTTGAACAGAAATTGATGATTTACGCCATTGGGGAAGAGAAACTTTTCTGAGAACATTTTTATCAACAGAAATTATTTTTGAAGTAGCACAAACTGAAAATTTTTAAATTTAAATATTTTAAATTTTGCGGACAATAGCGAAAAAAATTCAAAATTTTTCAAAAATTTTTGTCCGCAAATATTTTTGCGGACAAAAAAAAATTTTTTTCAAAAACCTGAGGCTCTTTTGCCAATAATTTTATTATTATTAATTTCATTTCTTTCATTTTTATTAAAATCATTTTCGTATTGAAAATTGCTTCGAGTTGGAGATAATAATGGTTGTGGTTGTTGAACAGTAATAGAAGGAGTAGGAGGTTGAGGCCCCAAATGTGGAAGAGACGAGTGTTCTCTCAAAAATTTTAAATGGCGATGAACAACAAAAGAAATTCGAAGAAATAAACAAATCTTTAAAAAAATTAAATTAATTTTTTAAAATTAAAAATACCAGAAAAATTGCTGGTAAATATAAAGCAGGCAGCGCTACCCAAAAAACTTGTGTTGCAACTTGACGAGAAGGAAAACAATGAAAGTCTGGGGGTAATTGTTGTTCTTCTGGTTGGAATATTCTTTGAGTTCTGAAATTTAATTTATTAATTCTGATATTTATTCTGATTTTTTAAAAACTTAAATTCTGGTTTAAAAAATTTAATTCTGATTTTTATAACCTAATTCTGAAATTAATTCTGATATTTTAAAATTAATTCTGAAATTTATTCTGGTTTTTAAAACTTAAATTCTGATTTTTTTAATTAATTCTGAAATTTTAAGGTCAATTCTGATATTTATTCTGGTTTTTAAAAATTAATTCTGGTTTATAAAATTAATTCTGATACTAATTCTGATATAAAAAATTTTAATTCTGATTTCTAAAACTCAATTCTGAAATTAATTCTGATTTTCAAAATTATTTCTGGTTTATAAAAATAATTTTGATACTAATTCTGGTTTAAAAATTTTAATTCTGATTTTTAAAAAATTTATTCTGAAACTAATTCTGATTTTAAAAATAAATTCTGGTTTTTAAAATCTAGTTCTGATATGTATTAATTCTGATTATTTAAAATTCTGATATTTTTTCTGATTTTTAAATTAAAAAATTCTGATTACGGAAAGACTAGAAGAAAATAAACAGGCATCCAAACAATTAAAGGCAATAACCAAACAAACAACATTAATCTTTTTGCCCGCCGTCTGCTGCTTGTAAACACACGTAAAGGTTGTTCTAAATTCCAAACACGGTCTAGAGCAATTGCGCAAATGGAATATAAAGATTCTGTACAGAATAAAACGTCGGCTAATTGCCAAAATTGACAGAGCCAGGGAGGGAAGGTTATTCTGAAAAGTAAATTCTGAATTTTAAGAAATATTTCTGAAATCATTCTGATAATAATTCTGATTTTTAAAATAAGTTCTGAACTTATTCTGATTTTTTAAAATAAATTCTGATATTAATTCTGATTTTTTAAAGTAAATTCTGGTTTTATTCTGATATTTTCTAAAATAAATTCTGTTCATATTCTGATATTTGTTCTGATTTTTAAATGAATTCTGGTCTTAGTCTAATAATAATTCTGATTTTTGAATTTTATTCTGATTTTATTCTGATCAGTATTATTTCTGATTTTTACAAGTTAATTCTGACTTATTCTGATACTAAGTAATTCTGATTTTATTAATTTAATTCTGATTTTCTATTTTTATTTAATTCTGATTTTAATTTGAAACTCACCCCCATTCATAAAACAGCATTAAAGGCATCACAACACCCCCAACACCCAAATCAGCCAAACACAAACTTATAACGTACAAATTTGTAGTTCTCGAAGACCTTTGTAAAGGCCTACATAATATTAAAAGAATAAAAGTGATCAAATTTGCACAAATACAAAAACAAGTAAATAAAGCTAAAATTATTAATCCAGCCAGTTGGAAATTTAAAAAATTTGGATTTTTTGAAATTTCTTCTGTTTTTGATGGTAGTGGTTGTAGTGGTGGTAGGACGTCAAATAGACGCATAATTTTTAATATTTTTTAAAACTTGAAAAAAAAAATAATTTTTTTAATTTTTTGGACTACATAATAGTCAGTGGATCCATTAGACCCCATTATGATACCACTCAAAACCCTGTATCTCACAATGAGTATGCAACTTAATTCAAAGTCAGCTTCCCCCACTCAGTACCCCCCCCCCCACAAAATAACGCCCCAAATTTTAAATAAAGTATTTTAAGCGAAGTGTATCCAATTTTTGGGGTATCTTATAATGAGGTCTATTATAATGGAAAAATAATTTTTTGGACGTTTTGAAAAATGATATATTGAGGAAAAAAATATTTTTAGGCATGGGGGGCAACAACACAGGCGCCCTGAAGAGAGACATACAATACCAACAGACAGAAAAGTTCTGAGCTCTAATTAGGGTATTAAATGTTGGTCTCAAAAAAAACTTGAAAAAATCTATTTAATAGCGATACTTAACATTAACATTAATAAATAAAACACCTAAGTTTAATAAAATTAAAGAGAAAATTAATTAAAAGGCTATTCAAAAAGGGAGAGAAAATGCCACAAAAATAAAATATCTAATAAAGTTTCTTTTTCTTTTAAAAAAATACTTGGCAAATTAAATAAAAGAATTTTTGTTTTCTTAGAAAAATAAATATAAATTTACCTTATTCACATGAAAATGTTAAAATACAAAAATTAAAAAAAAATAAAATGTTAAATTAGAAAAAAAATTTTTTTTTATTTTTGGAAGAAAAAATAAAAATTCTTTGGGAGAAAATAAAAATTCTTGGGAGAGAAAAAAATTAAAAAAAATTAATTTAAATATTGCTATTTTTAATTAAAAATAAAAAAAAATTTTTAAGGGAAAATAAGCTTAATTTAGGTTATATTTTATCACAAATTTAATTTTTTTCACACATTTTGACAAAAATAAATATTTAAAAAATTTTGAGGAATTTTTCTGAAATTTTGTAGTAAATCTCGGATTTTCTAAAAATTAAAAAAATTTTCAAAAAAAATTTGCGGACCTACAATAATTTGCGGACAAACATTTGCGGATCGGCATTTGCGGACTTATCAGCTTCCTATAAGCATTATAAAGGTTTAGGCTATTGTATAGAAGTGATCTTATGGCCGTTTTCTCTATTTTACTAAACCTAAGTTTTGTCCGCAAATGTTGTCTGCAAATATTGTCCGCAAATATTTGCGGACAAAAATTAAAATGCTTTTTTCTTTCACTCAAAATTCTGACCTAATGGAAGGGGGGGGGGGGAAGTTGGGCAGTGTAAATTTTAAAAATTATGGAACCAAAAAATGAGAGGAAAATATTCATTTTGGTCTAAAAATATTAAAAATAATAAATTTGAAAAATAAAAACAAAAATTAACCAAAAAATTTAAAAATAATTTAAAGAAATGTTTTTTGACTATCGGATTTTCCCTCCTTTTAAAAGTTCCCTCCTTTAATTTATTAAAATTGACGTTAAAAATAAAATCGGATTTAAAAAATAAATATTTAAATAACGTCAATCTTAAAAATTAATTTTTTTTTAATTTAAAAAAAATAGAGAGAGGGGAAAATTAATTTAGGGGGAAGAGATTTAAAAGTCTGTACTAGGAACAGAAACAAAAATATTCTTTAAAAAATATTTTTTAATAAAATATTTTTTTCAAAATTAAAGAAAAATGTCATTCACATTTAGTCATTCCTCCTCTTTTTTAAAAATAATTTTTTTTAAAAAAAAGTGTTCTTTTAAGAATTACGCAAAATTAAAGAATTAATGCTTGAAGAATTAACTAGACAAACAGACAAACAAATTTTTGCAAAAATAAAAGAGTAAAAAAATTAAGTGAATGACTGACAGCTTAAATAAAGGTTTTGCAAGGGTAGAGGAAAGTATTTTGAATTTTCAAAAAAAAATCTTATAATTTTTTGCAGGCTAAAATGATACCCTTCTTGAAAAATTTACAAATTTTCAAAAACTCAAAAACTGTTGTGTTTGGTTAAGTGGTATAAGTTGCGGACAATTTTTTGAGAACTTTTTTTCCGACTTTTCAACCAATTTTTCTCCCCTCTTGGCAGTCAATTAAGTTAAAAAAATATTTTTCTAGCTATTGAAATAAGTGGAAAAATCCGCAAAAATATCCGTTAATCCGCAACTTTAGTCACTCGTGGTGTAGTGGTTAACGCGCTCGACTTGCTCTTGGTGGGGACACGGGTTCGATGCCTGGTGGCAAATATTGACCCTATAACTGACTTTAAATAATTTTTATGATGTATTATCCAAATATATTTACAAACAAAATTTTAAAAAAATTAAAAAGAAATTTTTAAAAATTTCAAAAAAAAATTTTTTTTTCAACTTTTCAAGTCGTTATTTGAGGATTTAACTGTCCTCAGACACGTGTAAATAAATCCTGTAGCACACCCTTCCTCATCTCTACCGGAAACTTCATAGGTACATTTACAAGATTTATCAGAAGCTATTCCTTTAATTTTGGGGAATTTTTGAAGTTTTTCCAAGAAAAATTTTTTAACCTGGAAAATCTAAGGGGCATGTCTGGTCATTATTTTCACTCGGTATGCCATCCACTGCTGCATCCAGCACGCGACAGTTGAATGTTGGGCCTTTTTAGTTAAAATATAACCAGATTTTAGTCCTTTCAATGTTGTCCGCAAATATTTGCGGACAAAAAATTTTTGTCCGCAAATATTTGCGGACAAAGAAATTTTTCGAAAATTTCCCGAAAAATTTTCAGAGGCAGTCTGGGGTTATAAAAACCTTAAAAATTACCATACCTGTATGTCGATGAGTCCCAGAATTGAAAAAAGTGGGTTTAACTACACCCTTCTTTCTTGCAGTTGTTGGTACTTTTGTTGTTGTTTTAATTGTTGTTGGAATTTTAATGGTTGTTGTAAATTGAATTGAAGACTGGAGAATGTTTGGAAGTTGTTTTGGGGTAGAAATAGGCTCTTCTCCTTCGTCTGAATTATTTTGGAAAGGCAAAATTAATTGGTGGTCAGGTTGGCGGGAATGTTCTCTGCAACAATAACCCTCTAATCTACAAAGAAAAATCCACCAACCTAGCCCAACTCCGAATTGCCAATCTATCATCAGCTTCATTATTCTCCCAAGAACGGGGCCAAGCAAATCCACTGCCTGTTTTTGACGGATCAACATTTTTAGAATCAACAGCGGGTTCAATAGCGATGACATTTGAACGAACCTCCACAACAACTTTATTGTTCTCTGAGGGAAACACGCTGAAAAAACATAAATTAAACAATAAACAAAGAAAAAAACATACCCCTTCAAATTTGCATTTTTGAGTAATTTACGCAATCTTTCAATTAAATGTTCTTTTTCTTCCTTTTCTATAATTAATTTGTTTGGAGAGAATGTAGTAGTTGTTGTTGTTCGTGTTGTTGTTTCTTCTTTCTCTTTCTCTAACTGTGTTGTTTTTGTTGGTGTTTTGTTTAGAGAAAGTGTTGTAGTCGTTGTTGTTTGTGTTGATGTTTTTGTTGTTGTTTGTGTTGATGTTTTTGTTGTTTCTTCTGTTTTCTCTTTCTCTAACTGTTTTGTTTTTATGTTTATTTGTTGTTGTTCTTCTCTATTTAATGTTGTTGCCTTGTTTGTAGAGAATGTTGTTGTTTGTGTTGTTTCCGGTGTTTTCTCCTTCTCTGCCTTTGTTTTGTTTGTTTGTTGTTCTCTTTCTTTGTTTGTTTTTGTTGTCTCTAAACTTTTTGTATTTAAATTTGTTTCATTTAGCATTATTCTTGGCGTTGTGGTTTTTATTGTTTCCTCGCTAATTTTTTTTATTCGTTCTTCTTTTCTTTCCATTTTGTCATTTATTACACTTTTTTCTATTTTATTGTTTACTTCCGGTGATATTGTTGTTGTTTGTTTTTGTCTTTGTGTGGCCGCTGTTGGGGGTTTTGTGTACAACCAGGCCCATGAATGACTAAAAGGTCGAGTTCTGGGCAGTGGAGTGCTCCATAAGGCTTTTCTGCGTGTTACGATGGGAAGCTGGGAAAAAGTTTTTTTTCAGAATTTATTCTGATTTTGTTCTGATTTTATTCTGGTTTTATTCTGAATGTTTTCTGATTTGTTCTGATTCATTTCTGGTTTAGTTCTGATTTTGTTCTGGTTTTCAGAATTTATTCTGATTTTGTTCTGAATTAATTCTGATTCTATTCTGATTTTATTTCTGATTTTCTGATCTCGTTCTGATTTTATTCTGATTTTTAAACTCTCAATCTACCTGTGTCCATCCCAAATTTTTTCCCAATTTGTGCACTTCAAATTCTGGTAGTTGTGCCAAATGTTCGTCATAAACATCACCATGTTCTACATTTCCTCGTAAATCTTCCTCAAAATCCCTGCTGTAATCCGTTTCTTCTGCTAATTGTAATTGCGCCTCATCCATTAAAATGTTTCCCTCTAATTTTAAAAAAATTCTGATTTTTTTATAACTTTGTTCTGATTTTTTAAATTTAATTAGGTATGTTTTTTCTGATCATGTTCTGATTTCTCAGAATCTGTTTCTGATTTTGTTCTGGTTTTTAAAAATTTAATTCTGATTGTTCTGATTTTTCTTTTCCAGAATTGTTCTGATTTTTTCTGATTTTTCAAAATTATTCTGATTTTTAGAAATACAAATGAACTTACTTCCAAATCTAAACCTTTCAAATTCTTTGGCAAACATATTGGTTACCAACAACAAAAATACAAGGAGGATCATTTGGCATAATAAAATTATTACTATTTTATCTACAATTTGAAGTGAATTTATGGAAATTCACACAAGGTCAGTTCAAGTTTTTTATTTGTTAATTTAGAAGAATAAATTCTGATTTCTGAATTTTATTTTGATTTTCTCTGAATTTTTTCTGATTTTTTCAGAATTTATTTTTCTGATTTCTGAATGTTATTCTGATTTTACTATATTAATGACAAGCGGTCATGTCCCTAAAACGCGGGAAAAATAGGGCAAAAAATTATTAAAAATTGATTTTAATTAAAAACATTTAAATAATTAACAAAAAATTATTTTATTAATTTGACGGGTGAATGCTTGTCCCATTTTCTATAAAAATTAAAAAAGAGAAAAGGCCACATATATTTTTGGATCGGAACGATAAGCGCTTTTCCTAAACATTTTTAGACCTTTTAAAAGAAAAACAAGTTTTATTAAGCGAAAAAAAATTTTTTTAACGGGGTGATCAATTTAATAAAAAAGGTGTCATATTTAACCTTTTATGCGCGTTAATGAGGAATGTTTTATTACAGGAGAAAGGTTAATGAGAGTGTTTTTACTTGTGTTTTTGTTCTGATTGTTTTTGAGTTAATTCTGATTTTAATTTTTGTGTTTTTGTTTTCATGTGTTTTCTACGTAATTCTGATTTTTGTGTTTTTGTTTATTAATTCTGGTTTTTATTAAATTCTGATTTCATAATTCTGATTTAAAATTCTGATTTTGTATTTTATAATTCTGATTTTTGTATTTTTGTTTTTAAATTCTGGTTTTTATTAAATTCTGATTTCATAATTCTGTTTTTTTAATTCTGATTCTATTCAAATTCTGATTAATTCTGATTTCATGTGTTTTTATTCCTAATTCTGATTTTAAATTCTGGTGTCTGTATTTCTCTTTTTAATTCTGATTTTATTAAAATTCTGATTGTGTTTCTCCTTTCTTTTATTTTTTAATTATTCTTTTTCAGAATTCATTCTCAACATTCTGATTTTATTATGGATTATTTTACATTTTCTCTCTTAATTTACAACGCTATTTTTATTCAAATATGATAAAAATTATAGAACAACACAAAAATGTATTTATGCAAATCACAAATCAATTGTCGGTTATCTTCTTATAACTAGGTATGTTTATTTTAAAAATTAAATTTCTATTTTAAATTTAATAAATAATGCGACTTTCTTTTCTGGCTATTTTAATAATTATTTTAGTATTTATACATTATTCTTATATTTATTCTGTGCCTCAATGTCAATGTAGGTTAAGAAATGAAAAATCAGAATTTAAAAAAAATAAAAAATCAGAATTAAAAAAATCAGGACTAAAAAATAAGAAAAATCAGAAACAGAAATCAGAAAATAAAAAATCAAAAATAAAAAATCAGAACAAATCAGAATCGAAAATCAGAAAAATCCCACAAATGCCTATCCGCAAAAAAAAAGTCCGCAAATTTTCTCTTACAAAAACTTACAATTTACCACATAAAATTTTAATTTTTTAAGTTGGCGAATGCTCTTCGTGGGATATTTTATTGCTTCCTTTATTAACCGACAAATTTACCCAAGTTAGCCTTCTCAAAGCAATTGTTCGTTCAATGTTGTGTGGCTGCCGTTGGTATTTTGATGAACAAATCAAGATTGAATTGGCAACTAAAAATGGGTCTTTTGTACATATTAAAGATCCAATTTCTTTTCCTGAATTTGAACAAGTAAATTTTAAAATAATTTAGAGGGTTTTTTGTTATTTACATATTTGCGGACAAAATTGAGTCCGAAAATATTGAAAAATTGCTTTTGTCCGCAAATATTTTTCCGCAAAAAATTTTGTCCGCAAATATTTTTCCGCAAAAAATTTTGTCCGCGAATATTTGTCCGCAAATTTTTTGTCCGCAAAAATATTTTTTCCGCAACTCTCTGTCCTTTTTATTAAAATAATTTATTCAGTTGGATCAATTCAAATTTACACAAACTGAACGTCATTCTAACAAAAGTTATTGGAAGATTTGTGTTGATAAAGCTGTGGCCAATATTGAAGGTTTTAAAAACAATTCTAATTTAACAACAGCAAAAATAGAAGAAAGGAAGAGAGGACGTTTTGTATTTGTAATTACTGATTTTGAGAGGAGTCGAAATGGAAGTGAGGTTTATTTAGAAATATTTTTCTTTCAAAGTCCGCAAATTCCGTCCGCAAGTTTTAATATTTATTTTAAATATTAAAAAAGGCCTCCAAAAACGATGTTTTCGGAGGCATAAAATTTTTCTTGGAGGTATTTCAAAAAATAATGATGTGATTTTTAGGTCAGAAATTTTCTCAAAATAGTAGGAAAACAGGAATGAATAAACATGAAAATAGGAATAGACAGGGTAAACCTATTGACATAATTGAAAACGACTCATGCTTCTCATAGACCCTGGAAATTACAGAAAAGCTAGAAAAAAGCTATAAATCACACCCTAATGACAAAACAAAAAATTTAACTTGCGGATAGAATTTGCAGATTTTGGAAGTATAAAGAACAAAAACCAAATTTCTATTTTTTCCAGACGAGAGAGATTTTCTACAAGATATTGACCATCAATTAGCAGAGAATGGTGTTTTCTTTCGATATGTTCAGCTGAAATTTGATGACCATAAACAGACTCAAATTACAACTGGCGGAGGAAAGTCGTCAACGGTTTTTTTTTTTAAATTCTTTTGGCATTTCTTTAATTTATTTTTTAAAGATAAATGAACGAATCCGTAACATTAGTTCAAACATAATTCGTGTAGCTATTGTGGAACAAGGCTCAGATTTTGATGCTTTTGTAATTGTTCGTCCTTGCCCTCAACTGAATGATGCTGAAAAGATTCGTGAATATTCGTGAGCTTTTTTTTAATTTTTTTGATGGGCTGTCGTCTCTCAATCTGGGATGTCCTCAACTGTTATTTTTTCCTGTTTGTGGATTTTTTCTTATTTTTTTTTTGCAATTTTTTGCGGATTTTCCGTTATTTGCGGATTTTGCCCATTTTTGCGTATTTTTTCTATTTTTTAGTACCTCTCGCCTTTCAAACGCGCCTGATTTTTTGTTTTTAACCCCCTACCTTTTAGTTATGTCCAGCACTTTTACTATGAGAATTGGCTTCTTAGAAGTAAGTTCTCAAAAATTCTTAAAAATTCATTTCCCCTCTCATATTTTTCGATCCTCGAGGTGCTGTAATTGGCTTTGCACTTTGTCTATTTGCCATTCTTTGCGCTATTTCCTCCTATTTATTTCATATTTGGGAACAGGCTAGAATTCGAAAGAAAACAATTGCTTCTCAACAGCCGGGGCATGATATTTGAGGAATTTAAAAAATTTTCCCAAAAATTTTTTTGAAAATTCTTTTGAGCATTCTTTAATTTAAAAAGAAAATTTTTTCAATAAAATTTCTAATTTCTGACCTATTTTTTAAAAATTTTGGGTAATAATTCTATTAACCTCTAACCAATATTTGCGGACATGTCCGCAAATCTCGCTTTAAGCTCATTCCTAATTTTATTTAATTTTTCAGACAGTTTTCTTTTGAATTTTTGTGTTTCTAAGAAATTCTTGGCAACACTCATTTAAATTTTTTACTTGCGTGATCATTCAAATAATTTTTAGAAAGGCCTTTTCTATTCCAATTATAATGTTTACCCCCTAAATTTCCTGTTGAACAATTTTTATTAATTTCCCCGTCTAAACACATTTAAATAATTGTTGCTATGCCAACTTGAGTATTTTTATGAAAAAAAGGTAAAAAATTGTGAGCATTAAATATATATTTAATACAAAAATTCCAAAGACCGTTAATTATTTTTTTCACGTAAATAAAAAAGGTGTGCCAAAGGGGGGAAGGAATATGTGGTGTAAATAGGTTCCTTTAAGTATTAGCTTTAATAAAATAAATTAATTTTTTATAATTATTATATTTTTTGGTTGCGATCAGAATTTTTCTTTTTTAATGGTATATTTGCGGACAAAAAAATTTTTGCGGACATATCTTTAAAATTTGTTTAACCACGTAGTGTGTGGAGCTTCCTAAGCGATACACCCTTCATTTAAGATACCCCTTATTATAAGGTAATATTTTTAAGCCCCAAGGGGGTATCTAAAAGTGAAGGTTCAATTCTATTAATCCCAAATGCTTAGACTAAGGTCAAGGCCCGATCAAGACCCAATGATCGTTCATTTCTATTTAAATGGCATTTTAGTTTTGTCCGCAAAAATTGTCCGCAAATGTTGTTATGCCAAGAGATCTTTTCTCCTCTATTTTTTAACTCCAATTTTTTATCACGCTATAAAACCAACCATTACGCCTGTACTTATTGTTAGGTAACCAACATTTAAGTCAAGCGCAAATCTTATTTTTTTAAATAATTAGCTAATAAGGAACGGTTGCTATTGGTGGCACAACGAAAAAAATTTTTTTGTATTCTTATTTTATTTAAAATATACACACAAAACTAAATTTACTTTTGAATTATTTATCTTAAATTTTTTAAAAAAATATATTTTTAATAAATATTACACGTGGGAAGCAAAATTTTTTTAAAAATTTTTAGAAAATTTTTTTGGCGTTTTGACAATTTTTGTTTTTTTGGCACAATTTGATTATTTCAAAAAAAATATTTTTTAGAATAGGCTACAATCTATTTTTGTAAAAATTCCCGCGTTATAACAAAATATTTTTGGAATAAATTTAATTTTTTTACGTAAAATATTTTTCTTTGAAAGAAATTTTTCTCCCATATTATTAATAAAATTAGGGTAAAAGCTACATAAATAGACGGATTAAATTAATTTTAAAAAATGACAACAGTTTTGGGGGTTTTATTGTTTGGGTTTTTTTTGACAATTCAATTTTCTGGCTTCCAAAAATTTGCGGATTGACTTTGCGGACAAGCTAGATCTAAAGAATTTTTTATATTTATTTTCGAAGCCTATAACCTTCGAATATTAAAAAAAAAAATTTTTGCCAAAATAAAAAAAATTAAGCTGCCAGAAGACCAATTAAAATTCCTCTCTCCCCTATTTAGCAGTCAGTCCGCAATTATCCGTCCGCAGATATTCTTAAAAATTTTTTGTAAAAATTTTTTTTTATAACAGATTTATATTTTATTTAACTCTAATTAATAATAATTTTCTTTTCTTCTTGGCTAGTAATTTTTCAAAAAGAGAAAAAAAAATTTTCCCTAAAAATTTGGTTCAAGTTGATGCAGTCAGATAGTAACAAAAACAACAAAAAATGGGTTCTAGTTTGTGCAAAGGAGAAAAAGTTTATGATGAACAAATGGACAAAGTAGTAAATAAATTAAAAATAAATTTAAAAAGAAATTAATTTTTAAAAAAGAATCGCCAGATAGAAATAGAATTGCAAAGGGAAAAATTGGAGGAACGCAAAATTGTAAAAATACTTTTGTTGGGAAGTGGGGATTCTGGAAAATCTACAATTGTAAAACAAATGAGGTGGGGAATTGTAATAAAATGTGTTTTGTGTTTTCCGGAATAAATCAGAATTCATTTTTGTATTTTTGATCAGAATAATTTAATGTGAACGAAATCAGAATATTTGTATTTTTCGAACCAGAATATATTTGTATTTTCTGGGACCAGAATATATTTGTATTTTTTAATCAGAATTTTTGTGATATTTGTGTTTCATCAGAATATTTTATTTAAAACCAGAATGTATTTTCCGGAATGATCAGAATTTATTTTTGTATTTTCGGGAACCAGAACATTTGTATTTTTTAAAATCAGAATTTTCAGAATTTTTGTGTTTCATCAGAATATTTTATTTAAAACCAGAATGTATTTTCCGGAATGATCAGAATTTATTTTTGTATTTTCGGGAACCAGAACATTTGTATTTTTTAAAATCAGAATTTTTGTGTTTCATCAGAATAAACATTTAAAATCAGAATGTATTTTCCGGAAAGATCAGAATTTATTTTTATTTTCTAATCAGAATATTTGTATTTTTCGTAACCAGAATATTTGTATTTTCTTGTATTTTTAATCAGAATATTTTAACCTTGAATTTCTGTATTTTCCGGAATAATCAGAATTTCTGTTATAATTTTGTATTTTATTTTCTAATTACCCTATTTTCTCTATTTTTTAATCAGAATTTTTAATTTAAATATTTTTTCTTTATCGAACACAAATAAATAAAATGTGAAACAATAAAATAAAACTCCTGGATCCACAGGGATCACTTATGGAGAGGTATCATACAAAAAAAATCAAATACAATAAGACGGTTATTTTTTAAAAAAAATGTTAATTTAAAAATAATAAGCTAAAAAGAAATAAATATATATAAATGGACTCCACAGAAAAAAAAATATGAATGAATGTTTAAATGTTTAAAAAAAAATTTTTTTTTAGGTAAAAAAATATAAAAATATTGAATTAGAGTAAATTTTATTTAACTGTTAAGCAAATATTTAAATAAGAAAGTGAACATTTAGTTTAGGATAGGTATTATTGTTAATACACTCCATTAAATCATTACTCATATATTAGGATCTTCTGTAGTTAATATTTTGTCTATAAATTTTTTAAATTGCGGAATAGTATTTATTTTTTCAATTTCATTTTTTGGAAGTTTATTCCACCTATCTATGATTCTATGTGAAAAGAAATGATTATTCTTTGCTTGTTTTTTAAATAATTGATATTTATGTAGGCGCGGATTACTTCTGTTAGGTTTTGAAAACATTTGTTCTGGTTTTATTTTATAGAAACCCTTTACTATTTTAAAGGTTGTTATAAGATCTGTTCTTATACGACGGATATTAGTTGGAGGGAGATTGCATCTTTTTAGTCTTTCGTTATACCCTATTTTCTGGTATTTGTATTTATATCTTAGAATTCTCCTTGTAAAGCTTTTTTGTGGTCTTTCTAATTGTTTATTAAGATATTCTAATTTGGGGCTAAAATTTTCAGTGGAATATTCCATAATTGGTCTTATGTATGTTTTGAATGCCTTTACATATGTTTCTATTGGTAATGTTGTAGGTAGTGTTCTTAGAATATTGTTTAGTCTTATAAATGAGGATTTAGTAATTTTTGATATATGATGATCGAACTTTAGCTTGTTATCTATGTATACACCTAGGTCTCTTATGCAATTAACCTCTTCGATTTTTTCACCATTGATCTCGTAATTAAACCTAATTTTATTGTATATTTTTAAAACCTTTACTTTTTTGATAGAGAATTTAAGTTGATTTTTTTCTGCCCATTTACATGCATTGTCTATGGCCCCTTGTAACTCTATACAGTCCTTTTCTGTTTTAATTTCTGAATAAATTTTAAAATCGTCTGCATAAAGTTTTACTTTTACATTTTGTGGAATATATTGTGGAAGGTCATTTATATAGATTAGGAAAAGTAATGGACCTAATACTGTCCCTTGTGGGACTCCTGTTTTTGGCATAAATGGATTATTTTTTAAATTATATTTTTTCAGAATTCTGCATACTAACGGGTTCAATGAAGCAGAATTGATTAATTATAGGTCCAAAAAAATTTTTTTTAATTAATTTAAAAAATATTTTTAAAGGTATATGCTGCATACCAATTATATTGGCTCTTTTTATTACATCGCCAAAGGAATTAGTCTACTACAAATTGATGTGCCTTCTCAAGAGCGTGATTTAGTTAATAAATTTGAACATTCTTTTACCAAGTAAATTAATTTTTTTGGGTTTTTAAATTTTTTTTAGATTTTTGGACTATGATGACACGGAAATGATTAAATTGGTTAGTTTAATAAAGGGGGCTTCATCATTTAAAAATTCCGGGTCCTTTCATTTAGGCATACATAAATCCGCAAATATGGCTTTTTGCGGATTTAAAGGAAAAATCCGTACAAATAGTTTTACGTTGCGGACAAAATTTGCGGACTTCCTCACTCCTTTCGTCCGTTAAAATTTTTTTTCGGGACACTAAAAATTTTATTAAATTTTTAGATAAGCAAATTTCTCAGTTATTCTTGTGTTAATGCAGCATGTCAACATTTAACAGAATTTTATGTGCCAGACAATACTCCATAGTTTGAGAGAAAAATTAATTTTAAACAAATTTATTTTTAGTTTATTAGCCGAATCAAGCAGAATTCTCACTCCAGAGTATAGACCAACAGAAGCGGATGTAATACATGCAAGGGCATCGACAACGGGTGTTCATGAAGTTTGAAAATTTTTATTTTTTGTCCGCAAAAATTTGTCCGCAAATTTTTTGCGGACAAATTTTTTTTGAAATTCTTAAAAAATAATTTTATTTTCTCATAGATTTTCTTCAGTTTTCGCCGTTTTGGCATCAGGTTTTTAATAAAAATTTGAATTTAAATTTATTTACTTTATTTTTAAGGCTCATTGATGTTGGCGGCCAAAAAACAGAAAGGAGAAAATGGATTCATTGTTTTGGTATTATTTTTTACTTCGTAGTTTTAAACTACTGAGGAGTAGAGGCCCTATTTTTACGGACCTTTACTCATCACTTTAGTCTGTCAAAAAAAAAATTTTTTTTTAATTTTTTGCGGACAAAGTTTGCGGACTTTTGTGTTGCTGACAAAATTTGCGGATTTTTTAGAATAATATTTTTAGTCCACCTTATTATATTTTCAAATAAACGTCGAAAAATGAATGTTCTTTACAAGAATTACTTCTTTTACTTCTTTAATTTTAGATAATGTTTCTGCAATTTTGTATGTAATCTCCCTTTCCTGTTATGACCAATTTTTAGAAGAGGATCCATCAATAAATAGGTTTTTTTAATTTTTTTTGGATTTTTATAAGGTTTTTTCCTTTAGAATGGATGATTCTATCGAATTATTTAGAGCCATGTTTTACAATCAATTCCTTTTTAAAGTTTGTTTTTTTGCGGATTTTTTCTTAAAATTATTCCTTTTCAAAAAATTTATTTTCAGTGTTCTTTCATCCTTTTCCTCAACAAAAAAGATTTATTTGAGCATAAACTGCGTTATGTCCCTTTAAAAAAATTTTATCCGCTATTTGAAGGTAATTTTTTATCAATTTATTGAAGCAACGATATTTGCGGACAAATACTTGCGAACAATAACTATAAGCTTTTTACTCTTTGATGTCCAATAAGCCTCCTAATGAGTCAAAATGCTTATGTGTTGGTATTAAACATGTGAAACGAGACATTCTATCCCAATTTAATAAAATTCGATTTTGTCCGCAAGTTTTGTCCGCAAATGTCATTTTTCGATTTTTAACCAAAAAATGTATTTTATTTTTTTAAAGAATGCCTAGTAAATATCACAATAGATGATCAATATGGAGAAGCTGTTGAATTTATCAAAAAAATGTTTATGAATGTAAAATTTTTTAGTTTTATTTTAGAAAAATTTCCAAAATTTTTTAGGTGAAGGAGCCAGAAAGTAACAGGCATATTTATGCACACGTTACAAACGCTACGGATACAAAAAATATTGGTATTCATTTTTTTATTTTTATCTAGATTAGGTCTAATTTTTGATACCCCTTAAATTAGTTACTGGGTAGGGGAGCCTTTATTTGTGGGGCTACTGGGTACCGAAGGGAGTAGCAACTGTGTGTGGGTGAGGGGGGAGGAACAAACAACAAGCCCTCATTATAAAAGGCGATTTTTCCATCTCCAAGGGGGTATCTTAAAATGAGGTCTGGACTTATTTCAATCTTTCCCCAGAATTTGTGTTTGGTGCAACCTGTGATATTGTTTTACAAAAAAATTTAAGCAAAGCTGGAATGACTTGAGGGGAAAAAGTTTATATCTTATTTTTTACTTTATTTACAATTAATTTTTAAATTCTAATATTTTTTTATGCATAATACATAATAATTTTAAAAAATAATTCTTATTTTTTAAATAAATAATACATGGATATTTATAATGAATTTCAGCGTAGGAAATTTAGACAGATTTTACGAAATGGAAACTTTAGGGATGAGACGTTTGCTGAAGGTTGGTAAGATCAACGGGAGATAAAATGTTTATTGACTAAATGTACATTGACGAAATGTCAGTAGATGAAAAGCCCTTTGGACAAAAAGTTGATAGGCCAAAAGTCCGCTGACGAAAGGTCGGTGGGAAAAAAATTGACGAAATTTCTGTTGGCGAAAAGTGTTTTAAAAAGAGCGTGTAAAAATAAGAGACAGCTATAGAAAAAGACAATTTAAATGACTAAATAGTTAAAAGAAAGACGGTTAGCTTAAATTTTTCGTCATTTTTAAAGATTTTTTTACAATTTTTTAAAGTTTATGCATCAAAGAAATATTTTTAAAATACGTCCTCCAAATCATGAAGAATTAGCCAAAACATATCCTCAATTGAGAAGCAAATGTTTTGTGGGGGCAAATGGAAAGGTTTCTTTTGTTAAATTTTTTTTGGTCAGAATAAATTTTTAAAGGTCTGCATTGATTTCTCGTCTACAGAAGCTGTTCGTTCATTTACTGAAATATTGTTGCTTGAATATTTTGAATTAAATGTGTCTATTCCAAAAGGTGTGCTAGTTCCACGTGTTCCACAAAGATTAAATTATCTGTTGCTGGTTGAGGATTTGGTTAATTTGAATGGACTGGGGGAGGAGGAAATTGTGGGGATTGATATTGGTATTTTTTTTAAATCTTTTTGTTGAGATATTAAGCAATAGGGAGGGGGGGGGGATATGTAGGCAGCAAAACACGCTTATTGGTAAAGTGGCTTGCTTGGGTGTGTAATCTCTTGGGGGTCTCGGGTTCGAGTCCGGTTGTTGGTAAATGAATTATTTTTGCTTTTTAAATATTTCCGTTTGTAAGGTAAACAAATTTGTTGTATTTTAGAGAGGCTAGAAATTTTTTAGAATAGAATAGTTATCTGCCTGAACCCGTTTCATTTTTCCCGCGCCATTTTCCCAGGATCGACTGGGATCCAGTTCAAATCAAATTTTTTAAATAAATTTTCTTTTCTCTATAAACACTTCTTTTTAGGAACTGGTCCTCTTTGTATATTCTCTTTACTTAGTGCTTCTCTAAATAATTGGAAATTCGTTTCTACTGATATTTGTAATGAATCACTTCAAACAGCAAAGGAAAACTTGAAAAATAATTCTTTGGAATCCCTTGTTTATTTACTCAATATAGAAGACGGTTCTTTCTTCAAGGTTTTTTATTTGTAGTTTCTAATTTTATTTAATTGCTTTAGAAAATTTTTGAACTGCCCGAATACAATTCAACAATTTTTGCTTTTTCTGTTTGCAATCCCCCATTTTTTGATATTAACGAGGCTGAAAAGGTTTTTAGGTTTTATTTTGGATTTTTACTTGATTTTTAGTAATTTTTAGAAATTTGCCTCAATTGGAGATGTTTCTCTGCAAAATTTACCAAATAGAAGTAGAGGCCAACCACGCTCTGGAACAACTGCTATAGCTGAAGAAATTGCTTATAAGGTTATTATTAATTTTTTAGAGATTGTTTTTGAGAAAAATAAGTAGATTTATGCCCCAGATAAGTCAGACTATTTCGAAACCCGATTGGAAAAATTTTGAAGCTTCCACCCGATACTCGACTTCCTTCTCAACTCGCTCCATATGAGTGGGACTTGTGACTTTCCTGGCACTTATCCCGGTGAAGGAAATGAGAGAATTTTTCCTGGCTATATTCCTGATTTTTTCTTCACATTCCTAATCACAATTCCATGTTGGTTTTATTATTAAAAATATTTTGTTTTTCAGGGTGGCGAAATTAATTTTATTTGTCAAATGATAGACGAAAGTCGGCAACATCCATTAAAGACAAGGTTTATTTCAAAAATATTTTTTAAAAATTATTTTTTTTAATTTAAGAATCTACACAACAATGATTGGAAAAAGATCAACATTGAAGAAATTAAAATTTTATGTGGAAGAGAAGAAAATTTCAAATTATAAAATTTTTACCTTAACTCAAGGAAGAACATTTAGATGGGTTTTGGCTTGGTCATTTTTTGAAACTATTAATTTGGATTTGAATGAAAATAAATTTTAAAAAAAATTCTAAATTTTGGGTTTATTTTTAATTTGTTTCCTTCAATTTTATATTTTTTTAATTTTTCTTTTTTTTTTATAATTCGCCCTTGTAAGGGACGAATTGTCCTTTGAGAATGTATTCGACCTATGAAGGTGTTATGTGATTTTTCAGGTTTTTTAATGTTAGCCGGCTCATCCCTGGGCCCTAGGTTTTGTATGGATGAGTCTGGTTGCCCAAAACCTGGGCCCTTTTTTGACCCTCACTTTTATCGTAATAAGAGTTTCAAACCTTGTGAAACCAAATAACACCTTTGTAGGACGTATACATTCCCAAAAGGACTCGTATTCTAATCCAAATTTTTTCGTTTTTTTTCAGGAATTTAGAAGAAAATGTCCACAATCCCAGTTTTTGAAGGTTTTCAAATTTATCCAACTCAATCAAAAGAGTATTCAATTGAACAACTTTCTCAAAAACTCCCTCAACTTTTTTCTAATAAAAATGATCGAGTGGCTGAACAATTGGAGCTTATATGGTTTGGGTATGCTTTTTTTTACCACTCACCTTTTTCCTTTCCCAACATCAATCAACCTTAAAATTCGTACAGAATGGTCAGTCTTTTTTGGCTTTATCCTGGTGATCTTTTCTATTTTTAATACGCTTTCTCAGAGGTCACTTTTATTCTGGCATACCTGACTAATTTCCTTCCCATAACCGCAAAAACAGTTGATCCAAATTGATTTACTTTCCCTGAGCTATTCCAAAAATTTCTTAGTTTGACTTATTAGGCGAAATAAATCGTGAATATTTAAAAAAATTTTAAGATCTTTTATATCCTGGGAGAGGGTGCGATTGATTGATGATGAAAAGGGAAAAAGAAGCGTGGCTAGAAAAAGTATATACCCAAATCATTTAAGTTCCGAACAATTTTCAATGGAATCTCTAATTTCTGGAAAACAATTTTTACAATTTCCTTTAAAAGAATATTTGATAAATAATTTGAAGAAAATGGAGGAGGATGTTATTTTGGATATGGCAAAGTCTCTAATTGAAAGGATTGTTAAAAATGGTGATGTTAAAGAAGGAACGAATTTTGAAAGGGTATTTATCATTTTTGTTTTTTTAAGATTGGTATGGGAAATCACCAAAAAAATAGGTCGGAATGCCCCTCAATTCACGGCTTTCTTTTCTAAAGTTTGTAGAATTCATAGGGTTAGTTTTTTAACGTCTTCGGCTGTTCCGACCCACCTCTCGATAGATTCGAACAGATCGAGTGAAAAAACCCCCCACCGAGTATGGGGTTAGAGCCCCCAAAGAATATTTGTGTCGAGTACAAGTCAAGGAAAAACTGCTTGTATGAGGTCATTAAGACAAGAAAATTTTAAATTTTCTAACATTGATCAATGGCGTAGCTAGGGGTTCAATCTCAGATGTGGGCTAAAACCAACTCCAATTTTTAGATTTTAAAAGCTTATTCTTTAAAGATTTATTTTTTAAAGTTGCTTGACTTTACTTTGGTTTTTATGGATTGTTGTGCTGAAATAATTAATGGATCCATTTCTACTAAAATGATTGAATCTTTACAAGAATTATACAAGGAATTGGAAAATTTGGTTTTTTTTTAATTTTAAATAAAAAAATTTATTTAATTTTTAAAGTTAACAAATGCTGAAACTTCACAAAAAAATTCTTCAGAAATTTTGTTCAAATCGAAGATAATTCCAACGGCTCCTTTAACTGATTATTATATGGAAAGAATTGAATTGAGAAAAATATGAAGAATAAAGTTGTTTTTTTATTTGTTTTAATTTTTTTGGTGGTTATCCTTTCCCTGTTAGGTTTTGCGGATAAAAAAATTTTTGCGGACATACATGAACTTTTAAAATTTTTATTTAAAAATTTTGGATGGGTTCACTACGTTTCTAATTAATTTAAAAGCTATTGTCAATGGGTTTTCTAAACTAGGTCGTTCCGTTTATCACATAGTTTTTGTCCGCAAAATTGTTATTTAGGTAAGAGGGATAAATACATACCCTTCTTATCTTTTTTTTGTTTTAATAAAAATATTTTTTAAATTTTTGACATGAAGAAATTTATAAATTATTTGTTTTTCATATCAATAATTATTTTTAATTTCATTTTTATTTTTAATTTTTCAGTTCTTAGAAAAATGTTTTTATTGTTTTTGTTAGAACATTCTCCTCTTTTATTTATCTTCAAACTCATCAATGCTGACAACAACAAATTGCTTGATTTATCAACTTATAATGATTTACACAATGAAGGTTGTAATACTGATTTTAATTGTCCTAATGAAATGCGTTGTGAGGTTTGCTTTTGTTTTATTTTTGTGTGGATTATTTGGTTGATAGGCTTCTTAAGGGTGTGTTCCGGGTCCAATAAAATTTTACAAAAAAATTTTCTATGTCTGAAATTGTATTTTATATTTTAAGCGCAAAAATTAATAATTTTAACGTTATTTTTCCCTGTTGGGTATCGAACTTACGTCTCCTTCATCTTAAACTTCAAAATTATCCCGCTAAACCAAAAATGGTATTACTCCAATAACTCGAAGGAATTCGCTAACCTTGCTTTTTTTGCGTGAATAAAAATTGCGGACATGTCAGGAAATCCGAAAGTGGACTGTTTGTATTCACAAAATCAAATTCTCAATTTTTATAGTTTTCTGGGTTTTCCTTTAAAAATCCAAATAGAATTTTTATTAAAATTATTTTTTAGAAAGATACTCGAATTTGTATGTGTATTGAAGGCTTCATTTTCGCTAGCAATATTGCAATGTGTGAAGTATCAAAAAAATTTGACAAATTTTCAATTCAAGGCCCTTCTATAGTTTATTTAAACCAAACAGAAGTTTATTTTGATATTCATTTCCATCAATATGAGGATCGAATTCGAAGCAATTGGATATTTGAATGGACTATAAAAAGTGGGAAGGAATTTGCACAATTTTCTGGAATTAAAACAAGGACACTTAAAATGAAAATAGTCTGTTTAAAAAATTTTAATTAAAATTCTGGGGAAAAATTTTTTAATTGAAAGACTGGTGGGGACGCAATCTTTATCTGAAAAAATCGACGATCCACTCGAATTATTAGTGGAATTAACTTTTTGGTCTAGTTGGATAATTTGAGTTTCTGTTAGAGATGCCGTAGGTTTTAGAGGAGTCCACCATTCCGTTCGACATGCCCGACTTCCTCCGCAGCTGCACAAACTTTTTGCGCTGAGGCCTTATGTCTGGGGATGACATTTAGGCGGCTATTGAGGGTTGCATTACAGCCCTTTGCCATAACGGACCCTAAGATTTTTCATATAAATATTTAATTTTTTAATTAGTTAAAGGTTGGATTTATCAATTTTGACATTTCAATATCAAACTCTACAGTTTCTGGCTATAAACAACACAATTTAACAATTTATGATCATACTTTATTGCCTATTGCCAAAGTTGAAAACCTTAATGTTTCATTACCTTTAAATTTTGTGTGTTTGAATGCTGAAAAGTCAATAAATGCTAAATATTTTAAATGGATTCCTGAAGACAATTTGCCTGCTGAAATGGTTTTTTTGAAAAATTTTTAATTTTGAAATAAAGTCCGCAAAAATTTTACGGACGAACTTTTGCGGACAAAATTTAAATAATATTTTAAATAATAATAATTTAAATAATATTTTTTAAGCTTAGTGGAAGTTCATTAGACGACTCAAAACTTTTTCTATCAAACTTGGTTCCTGGTGTCTTTCAATTTAATTTGTCTATATGGAATGATCATTCACCTATTAATGATACAAAAAATGTTAAATTATTTGTTTTTGGAGGTTTGCTTTTTTTAATTTTTATGTTGATCTTGCTGATCTTGAATTTTCGTCTTAGAACCGAAAATTGATTTAATTTATGACCTTCCTTTATTTGCGACAAAAAATTGCAGACATTTTTTAGTTTCCCTAAGCTTCTCAACCACATTAAACCTTTATACACAATGGAGGCTCTATCAGAAATTTTTAGTTCGCAAAACCAATATAGTGGTGTAGTGATATTACATTATTGAGGTCAATTGGTCATACCACGACTGGTATGATCAATTTTCCTCTAAACTCTTTTTCAGATTAATATTAAAAATCTTTATTCTATTGATATGACTTCCCAACGAAAAGCAATCCTCATCCCAATTGAGGACCTTCCCACCGTAAAGGCAGTCCATCGCCGCCGACTGCGCCTAAAAAACTTAAGTTTTCAATGTAAGTTTATTTTCTGTTTCCTTTTTAGTGCTGCACCTGTCAACGATGCGCCGCAAGTGCTTGGTGGACAATACGTGCCAGTGGCTATGGTTAAGGATGGTCCGGCTGGACAATGTCAACAGCGACCAAAACCGCAGAAAAAGGGGTAATTGTTGTTATGCTAACTTTAGCTTGACTTTTAGGTGATTTTCAGTGACTTTAGCTTGACTTTTAGGTGACTATTAGCTTGACAATTAGGTGACTTAGGGTAGATAGTGCTAATAATTTACTTTTCAGGTTTACTTCTACTGGAATGAAGAAGGTTAAATGCTTGGCTCAAGCTCAGGCAGATGTTCTTGCAGGCAAGACTCTGCCTGCTGCTAAAGCTCCATCTCCCACGCCTCCGCATCAACCCGGAGTGCTTGATGAGAGTCGAGAGGGTGAAATATGAGTAAGTAGTTTATTATTTTTTCTTCATTTTTTATTTCATTTTAAGGCCCTATCAATTCCCTATAGCTGCAAACAAGAAGTCAACAGTAAGGCGATTCCGTGACTTTTGCTACGCGACTGCTGACCTTCCAAAGTAAAGAAGGACATGTGCGGCGTTTTTGCTGCCCAGGGAAGCAGCAAAGCAAAAGAAGAAGAACAAGCAAAGCCAAGGGCAGAAGGCCGCAAAAAATGCCAAATGGGCCGCCAGCCGGCAACAACACTTCAACAAGCAGATCTCGGATTGCGTCAATGCAATCATTGACTTTGTTGTTTAAAATGTGAGTTCTAACATTTTTGAATTCTGAGTAAGCTTAACTTTTATTTACAGATTGACCACCAAGCACTGCCAATTGAGGCTATGTTTAAGGAAATGTGCCAGCTGCCGCCACTCCTTTCTCCAATGTCTTCACCAGCTAGTTCGCCGCAGCCTGGTTGTTCATATGAGGCTGACTATGATGATATCATGGTGGAATTCTTCGATGTGTATCCAGAAATGATGGGGGAGGAATCGGATTAAATAATGATTTAATTTTTTTGTTGTTAATAAATTTTTTCGAAGTAAATTTTTTTGTTTGATAGATTGATTATTTAAGAATTGTTTCTGAAACTAAGTTGTAATACCTTTGTTGTTAAGTAAAGCTGAACTGAGCTATAGCTATTTCTTCGACTATGCAAATATGGCTGCCATTGAACCAATTGTAAAAAATAAAAAAATCAATCAACCAATCATTAGTTGTCCGGACACATTTGGTATTCATTATATTGAGCCACCCCTGCATAGCCTTAGATTAAATATCTATATGCTTTACAATACAGGATCTTTTAGTAGAATTTCAGATTGATAATGGCATTTGGAAATTCCAAAGCAATTTACAAGGCTTGTTGGATGCGTGGATAGGAGATGATGGACAAGGAGCAATATTTGGTATGAAAGATGTATAAGTTACGGTAGAATGAGTTAGGATAAGTAGGTATTGTAGTGGGGAATAGATAGAGGTATGATGGGTGATTAAGTAAATTAGGTAAGTAGAGTGAGGTAGGTAAATAGGTGAGTATAAACTTTTAATTTCAGGTCAAATTCCAAATCGAGTTCTTGATGTTTTTATTGAGTGGATGGATATTCGGACAAGCACACTTCGAGAAGCAAATTTCCGATTGTCTCAAAGCAATCGTTGACGCCGTTATCGTTAATGTATGTACTAACATATTTGCATTTCCAGGTTAGCTAAGCTGTATTCCTAGGCTAGTTTTACATTGTAGATTGAGATAGATTACTTGTATTTACAGGTTGAGCACAGGTCAGAATCATTTGACAAGATTCTGAATCAAATGTGCAATATTCAGCTATTGATGTGCAATATTCAGTCATTGAAATCCTTGTCCGCAAGGTTTTATCCCAAAATTCTGTCTGTAACTCTTTGCCGCAAATATCCGTGTGTGTCCACAAATATATTAACTCTATCAAAAATTTATAGGAATTGCTGAAGAAAATCTAATCGAATTAATCTCATCCTTTAATAATTTTACCTTTAAATATTTAACTGAATTGTCAAGTGAAATTGAACAAATATTGGAACAACAAGAGGATGAAGATTTAAACAATAACATTGTTTTGGTTAAATTTACAAAAATTTCTTCTTCTGAGGCAACTTTATTTGGAAATGTTTTTACTTCCTTTTATTTTTATGTTACAAAACAGTCAAAAAATGAAGGTTTTATTTTTTAATATTTTATTAAAAATGATTTAAAAATTATTTTCTGATGGTTAGTATCGAACCCACGTCTTTTTTAGAAAATTTTAAATTTATCCCACTTAACCAAAAGCAGTTTTTCCAAAAAGAATTAGCTTACTTTGCTTTTTTAACAAACCAAAAATTCTATTTTTTAAAGATATTCTTGATGGAGAACAAATTATTTCATTATTACAAACAAATTTGACTTTTCAAAAGTATTTTGGCATTATACAAATCAGTCCTTATTGTAAAAATTTTTCTAAATATTAAAATAAAACTTTAATAAAAATTTCAGATTGTAGAAAATGTTCAGGACATGGAAAATGTGATAATTTAACTAAAAGTTGTGTTTGTGATGATTTTTGGATGCCAAATATTTTTGTTAAAATAATGAATAATGGAAGGAATTTGGACTGTTGTAAGGTTTTTTAGAAATATTTTTTAGGGATTATTTTCAAAGCTAATTTAAATTAAATTTTTGGAATTTTGCGTTCCCCAATTTTTGGAGGAGACAGTTTTTCTATTTTTAAAGCGGTCCGATATTAATTCCAATTTTTTTGACGGTTCCGTTTCCAGATTGTTTTCGGAACATTGTTCTTTATTTATAAGCACCAAAACCGGCTTTTTAAGCAAACCTTTACTTTGTGGTTTTTTTCAAAAATGCAGGGATTGGGCTTTCAAAATATCACAACATAGGCTCAGATCTATCAAATTGTAAAAATTTAAATTTTTCATTTTTAGCATGGCCTTCAATAATAGTTTGGCTTTCATTATTTTTTGCAACATTTATTTTTATTAAATTTTTAATTTTTTATTGGAATAAAAATGAACTTAAAAGACTACAAAAATCAAAATTAATTAAAAAAATATTATTAAAACATGATGATAACCAAAAATGTTTTAAACAAAATGGAAGATTTAGTCCTGTCAAAATGTCAAAAAGAAGAAAAAATCGTGGAGGAGGTGGTGGGAATGTTGGTGATTGTTTAAATGAATTTAGAAGAATGTTTTTGGAATATTCTGGTATATTTTTTATATTTAAATTGTGGTTGAAAACCTCGTTATAAGGCCTCTCTAACTGAAAAATCTCTTACTTTATAGTGAGATTTTTCATTGAGAGGTTCTTAAATTGGGTATATCTCATAATCTTTCTTTCATTACCAATTGGCTAATTATCAACAAAATAATTTTTTTATTATTATTAGAACAATTTGGAATTTCAAATAATTTAAAAAATAAAAATGAATCAATTTGTCTAAAAGAATTTGATGATTCTTCTTCATCTGATTAATTTTTTTGTAGTAATTTATTTTTATTTTTTCTTAATGATCTCGTTAATTTATTTGGGTCTCATTTGGGTCAATATTTTTGGTCAAATTTTTTTTAATTTTTTAAAATATTTTTTGACCCAAATTTATTTTATTTTCTAACTGATCTCATGTTATTTTTAAAATTTTTGATTTTTAAATTTTCTGTTTTATTTTTGTTTTTTCATTGTTTGGAACATTAATTTATTTTTAAACGTATTGACTTTTTTATTTAATCAATTTTTCTAGTTATTAATTAATCAATAGACTATATATATTTATTTGTATAATGGAATATGCTCTACCAACGCCTGCAGACCATTGTCGTGTACAAATATTGGTTTTTTATTTAATTTTTTGAACATTAAAGTTTACTTTAAATCTGCAGGTAAAGCCCATTGGACAATTCCCCTCAGCAATATTTGACAGATTGCTCAAAAAATTGGAAAATAAATTATGCGGTGTAGAAGGTTTTTTTTGAACGTTTAAATAAGATTTTGAATGATTTTCAGTTTTGACGAGTAAAAGCATTAGAAGGCTAATCTTTCCTAAATTTATTCAACAAGTAAATCCCGATCTTGCCAAATTTGCAGAATTTCAAGTTTGTTTTCTATTTTGTTTATTCTCGAGGCGGAGTTTATGCTATCGAGTCTTACTATAAGATAACCTCGGGTTTGGTTAAATCTTGTGTCTTCGTATAATTCTGTTATTTTAAATTGGGGTTACTTGTTGGGTGAACAGATTTTTATGTGTATCACAAACAGGTCTATCTAACACACCAGTGGGTATCTTTTAGTGGGGGATACTGTAAATTCGTGGGTCCCATAAATTGAGTGTGAGTTGCCACCCAACTTTTAGATATGTATACGTATCTAAAAGAAGAGGATATCTTATAGTGAGGCCCGACTTTAATTAAATATTTTTACTTTTTTTAATTAAATACAGGCCTTTCGCAAAATTTTTGGATTGATTTGTATTGGACAATATAATGGATTTTATTTAAATTCTTCATTTGCTTCATCTCCAAATCTTTCACCAAATGAAAATAATTTTAATCAAGAAATTAGAAGATCTTCTGTTGCAAAAATGGCTTCTCTTGAACCCGATTGTAGTTTAAAAAATGAAGATGGAGAAGGAAACGATAAACAAACTAGTGACCCTGAGGCAAAACAAATGAATATTTTAAAACAAGAATATCAAAAATTGAAGGTTTTTTTAAATTTTCTTATTAAGAAGTTTTCTCTTGTGATTACGGGAATATTCTCGTTTATCACGACTGCAGGGCTGTGATAGGGCATGTCTGGTTAGCTCAGGTTTTTGGATTTAGAACGGTCACAGACACCGGGTTCAGTCGTTGTCAAAGAGCGATACCGGGCGCCCTATGACTTCTAAAGTGGGCGATGACTTTTTAAATGAGCGAATATCAGGCGCCCTGTTGGGTTTGATTCAGCATTTGAGAGGACGCACCAACTAGCCCACAAAAAGTCCGTTAACTTTTTTCCTCAAGAAAATTTTTTGTTTTTAAAAAAATATTTTTTTTGCAGCAAGAATTCAACGATCAATTAGTTGACTCACGATGTGTTCTTTTTGGATTTAGCTCGGTTTACCCTTCAAAACTTTTTCTTTTTCAAAAAATAATTTTGTTCAGAGTCAAAATTCAACAGAAATTCTTTCATTTCCTCGTTCTGATGATATTTCTTTACTTTATGATCAATTAGAAGCTTGTACAAGAGATTTACTTCGAAGTATTTATGTTGTTTTGGACAGTAAAAGATTGGATACTTCTTTTGAAAGAATGGATTCACCTCCTTATATTTTATTACAGGAAGAAGAAAAATATTTGATGGGGATTGATAATGTCAAAAGTAAAAATCATAAGTTAGTTTTTCTTTTCGTTTTTTGGTTGGTTGTTCGTTGAGAGGGTTTTGAATTGTTTGGGCGAGTGGTAACGAGATTTGTGATTTTCTTCATCCGTCACTTGGTTTTTTGCACGAACATATTTTTCTTGCGCTCGCTCCGACCTTTTTCAAATCTTAGCTTCGGGTCCTGTCGTTTCAAAATCTTTGCTCCGGCTCAAAGCCATACAACTTCGAAAGCAAAGATCTAAAATCTCGGGTCAAAGTCAAGATTTAAAAAAGGACGGATCCACAAAACGCCTAATACCCAACATTGTCTCTCACTTGAAAAATCACTTAAACATTTGAGACTTTAAATTGAGATTTCTTGATGTTTCCTTAAAAATTTCTTTAAAAATTTATTACTTTTCTAGGAAAAAATGTATTGGACGTTTACGCAAAAGGCTTGCCGACTATGCTTTTTTAACTGGATATTTTGAAGGGGCTCTTAATTCCTACCATTCTGCCATTGAATTGCTCAAATCTACGCAAGATATGCTTTGGCTTGCTGGTTTTTTTAAATTTTTTATTGAAAATTTTTTATTTTTTTAAGCCGCTGCGGAAGGTTGGTGCTGTGCAGCAATGATAATTAAATATTCTCAACATTTATCTCCTTATCAGAAGGACAACAATTTTAATAGGGAAGGTTTGAGGCATGACACAAAAATGGAAAACAGGTTTTCTTTTGGGGATTTTTTAATGGAAAAAATTTTTCCTCAAAGAATTTCATCAGCTACAACAACGTCCTCAAATTCTTCACAACACCATTCACGTTATCGTCGATCTGATGATGCAGCAAAAATAATTATTAGTCAAAGTGATACATGTGAATCTGATAATGAGAATAATAATGATACATCTAGCTCTACCTTTGTGGGATCAAAAACTTTTCCATTGGCGGAAGATCAAAAAGAGGAGGGTGACAAAATCGGTTTGGAATTATTTTTATTTTTCTATAAGACGGTTTTTAATTTTTGAGTCTTACATAATTTGAAAGATAGTTTACTCAGATATGTTCTGATTAGGGTTGGGTATGGTTATGAGAGCTGGCTCCTTATCTTTGGGTAAAATTTTTAGTTCCCGGAACAGGATCGAAACCACATCGCCCAACACGTTTCTTAAACACTTCTTTTATTTGGAAAAGTCCAAATATTGATCCAAATTTTAAATACTCTTTAAAATCTTTTTTTCTGTTTTTAAAGGTGATTCTAAACATCCAGATAAACAACAACAACAAAAATTGCTCAATAATTTACCATTAAAAAATAAAAATTTACAAATTTTATCCCCATTAAATTCTTCAACATTTCCATCACCATCAGGAATGTCTTCAGCATTTAAAAGTTCAAGTGTTCAAAATTTGTCAACAAATATCCCAAATTTAAATATTAATGGTAAAACTACAACAACACCTCCAACAACCACAGCAACAATTTCTTCAAAAAATCTTTTAATTAATCGAAATGAAATTTTTGAAAAATTTGGTCAATCATTAGAAAATTATGCACGTTATTCTTTTGCTGTATATATTGAATATGAATGTATGATGAGGGCTGTTCATTTACAAGTTGTTAATCATCAATATGTTGAAGTTGAGGTTAATTTTGGTTATTTTTGGGGATATAAGGTTGGGTATGTAAATTAATTTTATGGAAACTTTCGTATATTATGTGTGGTGTAATGGTTAGTGTTTTAGACTTCTCCGCTTTTCTGGTCAGGTTCGAGTCCGTTTAGCGTCTATGAGTTTTTCCTGATGTCTTTTTTCATGTTTTCTTCCTTTCATATATTTTTCTCTTATTTTTTTATTTTCAAAAATTTTTCCAGGCTTTTTTAAGAGAACAAACTTGTCGTTTTTTGGATGATAAATTTGTCACTTTTAATAATATTATGAAATCGTACATTTGTTTGTCAACAGCAGAAATTTATCGTAAAGTTAGTTTTTATTCTTTTATTAATTTAATTCATTTTTTACAGATTGGATTTAAAAGAAAATTTGCATTTTTTCTTCGTTTAGCAGTTTTCTTTCGTCTTTATATGGAAAATCAATCTGAGGCTGAATATAAAAAGGTTTTCTTTTTTTTGTCCGCAAATATTTGCGGACAACAAGAAAAATTTAAATTCTTTTTTAAAGGTTTATCCCTATTTAAATGAAAGTTTATCTGGTTATAAAATTGATTGGAGATTACTTTCTAATATTACAACAAGCAAAAAGAACAGTTTAAAAACACAATTTTTGACAAAATTGGGGTCGTCAGAAACATTTTCTCTTCAAATTAAAGCAGTTCATGAAGTTTTTACTGTTGCTATGAGGGCAGGATTTTATGATATTGCAACTAGACATTTGTGTTTTATGCTTGAGGTTTGTATTTTTTATTTACAAAATTTTTTTTGTCTGCAAAAAATTTGCGTTCACATTTTTTGTCCGCATAAATTTTGTTGTCCGCAAATGTTTTAAAAATTTTTGTGATTTTTAGGCATTTTTTGATCATCTAGACAAAGCCACCTCACTTGCCCTAGTTGAAGAATTAACCAAATTAAATTATCAAAACAAAAAAGGCCAACAAAACTTGCTGCATGATTTGGAAAAGCCTATAACTCTTGATTCTGTGCCATCAGTTTTATTACCTCCTTTGCAATTTACAAAATTTCCAATTATTAAGTGAGTAAATTTTTTAATATTTTCAATTAATTCTTTTAAAAGAAATATTTCTATTCTTCCACTTGCTGAACATTTATCTCCAAGTATTCATCCATCAACTTCAAACCAGTCAAGCATTTTTATTTATTCTCCATTCCAGCAAACATTTAAAGGTTTTCTTTTTTAATTTTTGAATACATTAGAACCTCACTATAAGTAGTTCAAACCAGGGATGGGAGACGGGTACTCTGAACTTTTTTCAACCCGAAATCTGATCCTTAGAAATTTTGAAAATCCGGAATCCGAGACTTGATCCGAAAATAAATGGCAAACGCGAACCATTGGTCAAGAAAACAAACAAAAAAACTAAACAAAACCAAAACCCGAACCCGTCTTTTTTAACCCGAAACCTGATCCGAAATATTTCACACCAAGTTCCATTCCTTATAGTGAGGTTTTATGTATTATATTTTTAAAAATTAAAAAAAAATTTTTTCAGAAGATATAATTTATTGGGTTGTTGGTTGCCATTGTGGAATCTCTATTCAAGTTGAAAATCCTCTTCCAATTGAATTAATTGTTGACAATTTAAAATTAATTACAGAAGGTTGTGATTTTGAGCCTCATTATCTACGTCTTAATCTTCCTTCGTGTTATGGTGGTGGTCCTTGCATTGATCAAACAACAAAGAATCTCGTTAAATTGATGGGAATACCTCGGTTTTTCTTTTATTTAAAAATTGTTTTTAAAAATTTTTCTGAAGATCTGTTGATTTTTTCTTATGGGCCCGTTGAAGAAATTTTGTTAGGGCTCCTTTGAAAAATATTTTTCCAACAGGACTATAAGAAAGAATTTTTTTCATTGTTCTCCTTTTAGAAATTTTTTCAACAGGACCCCTAGAAAATTTTTTCCTGGCGGCCTTGTGAAGAAAATTTTTCTGAAGGTCCTTTGAAAAATTTTAAGGGTCTTTGTTTAAAACATTCTTTAGCTTTTGAAAATTTTTTTTAGAATTTTTCCAAGGGTCCTCGTTAAAAAATATTTTTTAAAGGTCAACAGGAACGCTCAAAATTGTTGGTTATTCTTGTGAATTATTAGGTTGTCGTAATATTTGTAAATTTTCACAAGAAGAAATAACAACACCATCTACTTTACAATCATCAAAAAAATTTTATTCTGTTCGTATACTTCCAAATTTGCCTTTATTAAGAATAGAAACTTCACTTAAACGTTCACCAACACTTTATGAAAATCCAAATGAAGCAATAGCTGAATTGTGTGTTTTTTCTGGTCAAAGGTTTTTTTCGAAAAATTTTTTTCTTTAAATTTAATTTTTTAAAGTTTTCCTTGTAAATTGACTTTGTATAATTCGAGTTCTTCTGTTGGAATTCAAAGAATAAATATAAAAATACAACAACCACAGGTTTCTTTTTAAATAAAAGGTAGTGATCGAGCTAGGACAGAATTTCCGGACACGGTCGGGTTTTCCACACTGATGATTTTGCTTTAAATGTGTCGGGATTTTGATAAAAACCTGTTTTTTCGAATTTTTAGCCCGTAAAATCTTGGCCCGGGTCATGCAAGTTGAAGATATTGAACTTTAATAATAGGTTAATTGTGACACAACTAGGAACGACTTGCTAAAAAATTTTTCTCCTGCTGAAAGTGTCTCATTCCGCTCAGTGTCGTCGAGAAACCCCCGTCATTTCGAGCATTTTTTGGCTTCAATTTTATTCAAAAAGATTTTTTCTTTATAATTTTTTTTTAATTATTCTTTTAAGGTTGCTGCTGGAACTAAATTACTTAGGATAGATGATGAATTAAAAGAATCTTCAAATGAATTTGACTTTATTTTGAATAACTTAAAAGCTGGGGAAAGACGAGAAATTTTTGTTCTAATTTTTGGAATTGGTTTGTTTTTCATTAAATTTGACATTAATTTCGTGGCATTTTGACATTTAAAAATCAGCAAAAATTGTCGACGAAAATAAAAAAAATTTTCAAGATGCAGCAACATCAACACCATTAGACAATAATGAAGTACAAAAATCAGGAGGGAATTCAACAAACAAATTAGGCGTAGAACAAAAAGTATATATTCGTAGACCAACATCTTCAAATTTATCAACAACAATTATATCAGATGCAGATTTGCCTTTATATCAATTAAAAGAAAAGGAACAAAAACAACAACAAAATAAGCAATTAAAACAGCAAAAAATAATTCATTCAACAGTTTCAACTCCTTTATTAAAACAAACTTCAGATGATGATAATATTAGCTGTACAAGTTCAACAACAACAGGTTCAGCAACAACAATATCATCTCCTCAACAACAACAACATCATTATGATTTAATTCCTTATACGGGGGTTAGTTTTTTTGTATCGTGTACTTTAAAAAAATGTCCGCAAAAAGTGTCCGCAAAAATTTAAAAAATTTATGAGTACCTGACAGTTGCGGTTACACTCTATTTATAATTGCTTTTTAGTTTGGCAGGCAATTTTTCTCCAAATTTAAATGCTAAAATTGACGAATTTTCTACCCACAAATTTCAGTACTGGACATGAACTTGTCCATTTTTCCCAATTTTTAGGGATTTCATTAAAGTCCGCAAACATATCGACTATTTAAAAATGCTTAATATTTTTTTGTTTTATTTTTTAGCGTTTGTTAATGGCTGAATTAGCATTTACATACACTGCTGATTTGGAAACAGAAAATCAAGAGGTTTTTTTTTAATTTTTAAAGAAATTTTTCAAAACTTTTATTTTTAGGAATATATTCGCTTTGCAAAATTGCCATTAGCGATAACTATAGTCCCAGCAGTTTGTGTTTCTAATTGGCAAGTATTGGCAGGAGATGGGCCATTTAGTCGATATGTGGCTATTGATTTGTCTAATCAAACTGAAAATGAAGCACAATTAACTTTTGGTTTGAATAATAAAAAGACTACAATTGTTGTACAACCTAAAGAAATTTGCAGGTTTTTTTTAAATAATTTGGGGAGTTTTTTACGTAGGGAAGGGCTTGGTTACTCAAAATCCAATAATAAAAGCAGGGCATTTCTTCGATTCGAAATCCGAAACCAGACCTCGAAATTGTCGAAAATTCAGTTCAAAACTTGGCAGATTTCCCGGCCCATCTGTTACTTTCGGAAGTTCCTACAGTTCACAAATTTTGTCCTTAAACATTTTAAGGATTTATGATAAAATTGTATGACTTGCAAGGGAGTATTCAGGGATTAGATTTCAAATGGTTATAATGGGGGTTATGCCGGCCCTCCCCCTCTTCCCTACCCTTCCCTCCCTCCACAGCACTCTGGATATTGACTTGTGGATAAAATTTGCGGACCTTTAGGTCATTCTTATAATATAAAAATCAATTTTTAGGGTACCTCTTTTATGCCCTTGTTGTACCCAAATTAAATCAATATCTTTTCATCGTGTAACAAAATGTGCTTCTTATATAATGCAAATGCAAGAAATTGCCCTTCTTCGATCAAAAATTGAGAAGCATTTATTAAACCATTTGGAAATTAATTGGAGGATTGAACAATTAAATGTTTGTTTAATTTAATTTTTTAATTTCTGAATAAGAAAAAATTGTTTTGAGGTGTTGGGGTTCGAACCCCTTTCCTTTTAATGAGTTACTTTTTACCCTAGTCAATATGCTGAAGTAGAGGGTTATTTGATTGGTTATGTAAATTAATTTTTTGTGAAAAATTATAGACGCCGGTGGTGTATTGGTTAGCGTTGTCGGCTAATTAAATTTTTCAGTCGGGTTCGATCCCTGTTAGTGTAAATTAATTTTTCCGTCTGTCATTTTTTCTTAATTACTTTTTTTAGATTTTTTTTTGAAATTTTTTACTAGAAAATTTTTGTAGAGAATTTTTTAATTTAAAAAATTAGAAGAATTTTCTTTTTTTTAGTTGAATGGACAAGTACCTGTTGGCTCACTTTTATCATCAGTTTCATTTCTTCGTCAAATGGCATTGCCAACACTTACAATAGGTTTATTTTTTATCTTTAAATTTTTTTTTTAAATTTCCTCTCTTTTAGCACTACAAATTGATAATCAAAAATCAACAGCAACAACAAATAATGATTTTAATGTTGTTCAAGTTGGAGAAATTGTTTGTGTTTCAATTTCAATTTATTTTTCTATTGGAGGTTTTTTTAATTTTTTTTTGTTTGAATTTTTTTGGTGTTCTAAAAATGACGAGGAATTTTTTTGAGAATCTTTTGAGGGGTTTGGCATTTTTTTAACCATTTTTTGATTGGATGGTCAGACCTTCCTAGGAGACTTTAGAAATGATTTTTTGGTATTTTTCGGAAGAATTAAAATTTTTTAAAATTTCGTTTGGTATTTTTGGAGGCCGAAATTTTTTATTTTTCTCACTTCCATATAAACCAGGGATGTTACAGGTTTTGAGGGGTTTGACAGAAACGCGTCGAGTTTCCAAAATTCGGATTTGGTTTCGGGTAATCATCACCCTGATATTAACTTGTCCATTTAATATCTAGGTACATTAACTGGCGAATTATCACTTGGATGTTATCAAAATTTTCAAAACACCACCAACACCAATAATACTTCAATTGAACATCCAGACAAATTTTTTATTTTTGGTCCAAATTGTTTACCTATAGAAATTGAAGGAATAAAAAAACAAAGAGAAGAAGAGGAAGGGAAGGAAATTGTTGAGGGAGAAGGAAGGGAAGGGGAAGGAGGAGGTTATTTTTCAACAAAAATTTGTTTTGCTTTTTGTTTTGAAGGAATATATAAAATATTCCCAAAATTCGAAAAAATACAAATATTTGATGAAGAAAAAAATAATTTTGAAGAATCATTGTATACCCTAAATAATGAACAAGATATTTTTATGACGGCACTTTCATTTAGTGTAATTAATAAATAATTTTTGATAAAATTTTTATTTGAAATTTTTGTTATGTTTTAAAAAATCGATATATCGATTAGTATTGATTTTATCGATTAGTATCGATTTTTTGAAAAATTAAAATTTTTACAATTTTTAAAAAATCGATATATCGATTAGTATTGATTTTATCGATTAGTATCGATTTTTTGAAAAATTAAAATTTTTACAATTTTTAAAAAATCGATATATCGATTAGTATTGATTTTATCGATTAGTATCGATTTTTTGAAAAATTAAAATTTTTACAATTTTTAAAAAATCGATATATCGATTAGTATTGATTTTATCGATTAGTATCGATTTTTTGAAAAATTAAGAAATTTTTTATTTTGTGGGAAATTTTAAATTTTATTCAATTTAAAAATTTGCCAAAATTTGGCGTAATGTCACTTGTGCCAAATAAATGACAGTTTATCCCAAAAATTAATTCTGTTGAGTAATGGACACTTGAGTCTGACGACAAAAAATTGAAGAAATTAAATAGGACGGTTGGGTGCGGCAGTTGAGTGTGATGAGGGAAATTGGAAAATTTTTGTTTTCCAAAAAAAACGATACTAATCAATAAAATCGATATCAGTTGATAATTATTTTTTAAATGTTATTCTTTCCAAAAAGATCGATAAAATCAATACTAATCGATAATTTACATAAAGGAATTCTTAATTTTCACAAAAATCGGTTTTTAATTTGAGCCATTCCGCTCTCAAAATGAGCACCGAACTGGCCATAAATACTTATATTTATTTTTTTCTCTAATTACACTATTTCTTTTTTATAATTTCTCTAAGCAACAGGGAATCATCTACTCGAGATTAATTACGGAACATCCAAGTCAGGACGGTTGAGTCCCGTCTAGGTTTACAAAATAAAAACAAAACCAAAGTCTTTTAAAATAAAAACCCATCAAATTAAAAAAAAAAGAAAGAAAAAAAACCAAAAAAAAAAAAAAAGAAAAAAAAGCAAAAAAAAGGATTGTTGTAGAAGCACCACTTCGCTTGCAATCCATCGAAGTCCATCTTGTTGTTGCTTTTCTTTTGATGCTGTTGTTGGGAATTGTTCAAGTCTGAAAGAAAAAAAAAGAATTTTGCGTGGTTTTTAGACCTTATTTCAAGCTCATTATCTCCGTAAATTTACGATGCAATGGGTAGATTGGAGGGATTACACAAATTTTTCTCCTTACTTTTACCTAAAGTATAAAGAGCAAACTTCAATGAAAACAGTCTGTTATAAATAGAACAACGCTTCAAAAGTTCTTTGGAGAATACGAGTATGCCCTTAGACGATGTCGGGATAAATGTTGGATAAAAACTCAGTTGTATCAATAATTTCAGATCCCCAAACCATTCAGAAATCCATTCAAAACCCCCTAACTAAAAATAAATAAAACTACCATTGTCTCAATCACGCCTTCCTTCCCATCTCGAAAATCCACAGCCAAAAGCTGCCAATGCTCGACTGTTCGCGCCAGGAATGCCCAACCAATGAGTGTGTTCATCCGAGTTGAACATGTTAAAAAAATCTTTTTAAAAGAATTTTTAAACTCATTAAATAACCTTTCAAGCTGGGGTTTCAGGAGCATGTGTTGTATCCAAAGCAACATAAAAAAATTGCCCAAAGGCTCGTCGTCATCAATTGGGCTCAAATCTAAAAGAAAATAATTGTTTGATAAAAATTAAAAAAGAAAACAACCAGGAAGTATTGAACATACACCCTATTGTAATAAAATCCAGAACCGCTACCAACTTAACCAACTGTCATTACGAAAGGCCTTCAAATTTTTTCCCCATATACAAATGTGAATTTTGAATTTAGGGATCCAATTCGAGTCATTAAACTCAAAAGACCCGAAAAAGAATTAATAACCTTTCAAACTTCATAACTGCTCATCTACAAGCCAAACACACGCAAAATTGCAATTGTCGTTTTGTTGAAGCGAATGCTTGCCAGTTGTCCTCTGTGTTGTAGAATATTGTGGTTCAACGTTCAGCCATTTCCTAGAAAAACAAATTTTATTTCATCCAGACGAAAAAGAAAAACCTGAATGAATCCTCTCTTCTATATTTAAGTTTAGCAGCTGAATCCATTGACATTCTTGATGGAAGCCTAGCAAGCTCATCGTCCGCGAAATACCATTTTGGTTTCTTTCCAAGTTTCTGTCATCTTTCAAGTAAGATACATGCTGAAAGCTCTAAAAATGTTTAAAACCCCTTCCCTTTACCAGACAATTGCTAAACACTTCATAATCAAATTTGGAAAAGAGGATTTACAACGGATTAACTCAGGGATTGTTTGCGGACAAAACTTGCTTGTGTAAAAAACGGGCAAAAAACAAACCTTTAAATTTTTAAAAAGATTCCATGGACGTCCAAAGTGCTCTGATGATTTTGCTTCTTCTTTGTTTCTTGTTCTTCTTTTTGTTGACTTTTTGTTCTTTTTCTGTTGAGTTTTGTTCTTCTTTGTTCTCTTTGATTTGTTGTTCTTCTTTTTGTTGATTTTTGAGTTTGTTCTTCTTTCTGTGTTGCTGCTGAACAATTCTTAGAGGCATGGCACTAAATAATTTAAATGAGCTTGTTTAGGCACAGATATAAACTAACCATAAAGCTGAAGAGCAGTTATCAAAGTACCATAGAAGCAACAAGTCCCATGAAGACGCCGCAAATGCCAGACAGAACCCCACACAGAAGGAAGAACTCCAAACAGATGCCAGGAGAATTCCATACAACAGCCGTTAGAACTGAAACAAAGCCAGACTCCAAACAAATGCCAGAAGAACTCCTACAGATGCCGAAGCAAATGCTAGAACATTCCCCCGAACATCTGACGGAACGTTCGCACATTGTCGCAATTCTTTCGCACAGTTGCATGGTATTCCCCCGCACATTAGCCGGAACATTCCCCCACATAAACAGATGAAGAACTCCAAACACTGCCAGAAGAATATCATACATTGCCGTTAGAACTGCAACAAAGCCAGACTCCAAACAAATGCCAGAAGAACTCCTACAGATGCCGAAGCAAATGCTAGAACATTCCCCCGAACATCTGACGGAACGTTCGCACATTGTCACAATTCTTTCGCACAGATGCATGGTATTCCCCCGCACATTGCCGGAACATTCCTCCACGAAACTAAAACCCACGCAACACGCCTAAAGGACGCACGCAATATGCTAAAGGGGACTTGTGCTTTTGATGTTGGAGAAGAGAGCTCCACATCCGCCTCTACTGCTAAAAATATGATTTCATTTCAAAGTTAAAGAAAACTGAAACTAACGTTTTGAAACAAAACCAGATTGATAAAGTCCAGATGCAGCAGCTTCTTTGGTTGCAAAGCATGCAAAGCACTGAATGAAAAAATAAAGTAATGTTGTTGTATTAAAACACAGCAAGTTTTGTCCACAAAATGGGAAGAGAGGGAGGGGGCGGGAGTGAAAGGCAACTGAAATTGTGCCAAATACAAGCCAACAGTGTCTGAAGACCACCATCGTTCATCTAACAGTTCTAAAAAAAGAAAAATAAATAGGAGGCAAATTAATTAGTTGACTAGAAAATTGGGGCATTTTTCACCCGTGGCATAAATGGTAGAACGTTAGGCTCACTTGTTAAGAAAGGGAGTTCGAACTCCAATGGAAAACCGGAACAATAATCGAAAACCTTTCTCGTACCCAAATGAAAGCTTCAGGCACTAGATATGCCCTTCTTGAAAATTTCAGTCAAGAGAGTGTCCCGCTGAAATGATAGAACACACACAAAGGTAAAAAAAATCCCCAATATGATCTAACCAAATTAAAAGAAACTAACTTGTTCAACCTCAATAACCAGTCCCTTCTCTTTCAAAGCATTAGCCAAATTGCAATAAGCATCAAGAAAATTTTGTTGTAATTCTATCGCTCTTTTGTAAGTTTCAATAGCCAAATCCAATTGTCCTTGTTCATAATAAACACAAGCCATGTGCAACTGCATGATTGAGATTTAGGGCTGCTGCACGAAAATAGCAAGACACAGCTCTAAAAAATAAGAAAATAAAAATGAAACGGGGAGGAGGTAAAGAAAAAGAGCATGGTTTTGATGATAGAGGATCACTAATATCACTCCCTATAAGGAAGCATAGAAATGCCTGACGGGCCCAGTGTATCTACACCACGTTCCGGTATTACCAGTGTGTCGGCAACAGAAAGTCGGTTAACAAGGGTTCTAGGGTTCCCTTGGCATTTAATGAGTATAGCTAGACAATACTCAATATTTACAAAAACTATCGGTTAACAAGGTTTCGTGGTGCTGAGGGAGCATGGACTAACAAAAAAAAACTCTTACAAACCTGATGATCAACAGCCCCAACAGCATTTGAAGAGACAATTATGTTTTGACGGTTCAGGCTTTGTCCTTGCGTTGTTTCTTGTTGGATTTGAAGTTGGTAGATGATTTGATGAGAGCCTGATGTGTTGTTTTGTAGTACCTGAAAGACAAGTTTAGTAAAATCGAAGCATTTCACAAAAATCCAAACCTTATCAAATGCACTGGTTGAAAAATTGTAGTTGTTTAGAAGCATTGGAATATGTTGAGGCAATTGTGCCTTGGACATTGAAATGTTGAGCATGGACAATTAAAGTCCAAATGAATTACATTTTTTGTCTAAAAATAAAAATCTTGTTTACCCCCTCTTTGGAATAAAAAAGAAAATGTGAAGGAAAAGTTAAGGAAAACAATGAATGCTCAAAAAAGTATCCCTCTTCATTTATTGATCGTTGTTGCAAACTTTGCTCAGACAAACAAGAGCATGTACTGGTCAGAGAAAAAGAATCGATATTTTCCCTCACTCTCCCGTGGGAAAAACAAATTTGTCTTCTCTAACCAACGCATGGTTTTGTTGTCTGAGCAAATATCGACAAAATATGGCCGCCATTATTTCTCTTTCTTTTCCTTCACTATTTCTTCTTTGTTATTTCAAAATGTAAATTGTCAATAAAAGCCGTTTGAGTGCCAATTTGAGTGTGTGATCTCCTGCTTTATTTATTAATTAATCACATCATTTCTAAAATGTCAATTAGAATAAATTAAATAAATATTCAACAGATTTAAAAATCTATTCAAAACATTTAATAACAAAATCCCCTATCCTTTTATCACCCTATATTTTTAATTAAACATTACAAATTAAAATTACAAAACAGTCAGCGCGTCAAATAAGAGAAAAAATATTTCTTTCTTTATATCACATTTTTGTTTAGTTGTTGTTTTTATTCCAATTTTATTCAAGAATTCCAAGCATTTGCATATCTATTTCTCTAAAAAAAGGAAAAATAAAATTTTAAATCCTTTGGAAAAAAAAAACTTTTGCTCTACTCTAAAAAATACGTCTCCCAAGAGCTTTTATGCTTCCATCAATGTTGTATGCGTTCCAAAATAGCATAAGCAAACATTAGAAGTTGGAATGGGACAGGAACCGTCTTATGGGTCCCCGCTCTGGTATGTATGGGCCTAACGTAGAACCACAAAAAAAAAATTATTTTTTACCCCTTGGAATGGCCTAGAAGAAGTAGCAGCACTTGTTGGTTTACTACTTGTAGTTGCAGCAACATTGGGTTGTTGTTGATCAATATTAGGCATTGGAGGGAATTGCTGGTGATGTTGGAATGATGAGGAGAAGGAAAACATTTGTTGTTGTTGTTGTTCATCATCAAATATTGGGGTAGAACTTGTTGGGGTTGTTCTTTCTGGTTGTAAATTTGTTGTTGAAGTTGATATTATTGGAGGTGGAGGAGGCGCAATTTCTTCTATTGCTTGGCCAGATTTATCAACATATTTATTTTGTTGAGGATCCCATACAATCTGTGGGAAAAGAATTTTTTAATAGAAAAATAATTTTGGATTTTGGTTGAAGGATGATCCAAACCAATCCACCTGGTTCGGACCCAATAAAACGTTAAAAAAACCCGAAACTCCCAAAAAATTCAAAATCCACGCCTAAAGTGAACTGCCTCCAAACCCCTAGAAAATATTATTTTTAAAAAACCTCAGGATTTTTATCATCAGGTAATTTCATTGTATTATGTCCTTGAAGTTGTGTAATTTTAGAAAAAAGTCCACCAATCTTTCCAGAAAGAAAACCTCCACCTCCACTACTTCCTCCAGTAGTTGAAGAACTTCCAATATTTTCATTTTCACCTTTTATATTTTTTTCATTTTTTGTTTTTTGAAGAAGTGGAGGATGTTGTTGAACAATTTTTGTTGGTTGTGGAGGAAGTACATTTGACGAAGTTGAAGAATTTCTTCTTCTATTATTATTATTAAAAGGAGGAAGAGGAAATTCATGTTGGGGTAAAAAAGAAGAGTCTCCAACACCTCCACTTGGACGGCGAACTTTAAAGAAATTTTTAAAATGTGTGCGGACATATTGGGACAGACATATCGGGATTGTTGAGAGAAAAATAATCCCTGGTTCTAAAATGTAAAATTTATTTTCTTCAATAGGGCAATGTACTACAGCCTAATAAGAACCATTGGCTGTAAGCCTCAAAATCAATAGGGAAACAATTCGTACATTGAAATATCCCGATACGTCCGCATCAAAAATTTTTAAAAAATAAACTATAAAAGAAACCATTTTCTTCAAAAGATTCTCTTCCACCTCCACTATCTTCAGAATTAGAACGATTTGAACGTTCACTTGGCAATGAATTAACAACTTTAAGGATTGGTGGTTCTTCTGTTAATGGTTGCTGGTGTTGATAAGGTGGAATTGGTGGAAATTCTGGCGGATTTGCTACAAAATCTTGTGATGGGAAAGAAGCAATTCCTGCACATAATTCTTCATTATTTACAAAACTTTCCTGCGGACGATGAACAAAAGATTTGACTAAAATGATAAAAATTAACCTCAAAATTCGTTTAAAAATTAAAAAAAAACCTTGGGTAGGAGAAGCAACTTTTTGTTGTTGTTTCTCTTTTTTCTTCTTTTCCTCTTTTTTAATTTCTGGAAAATAATTTGGTGATGAAGAAGAAATTGTTTCGGATGCTACAAATGTTTCTCCAATTGATTGTGAAGAAAGATGAGGCAATTTTGGTGGTGCCCAAGCTTTATTAGGATTGTGGGGATGTTCTCGTCCTGGCTGTTCTAAAATTTAAAAAGATTAAAAACCAAGAGCTTCCTAATGGCATGAGAAACATTCGGATTAGAAGAAAATTTGAAAAGCTATAGCCAATAATGAAAAATCACAAAATACCGACTGCGCGCACTTATCCGGACATAACTTTTTACTGAATATTCCGATAGTATAGGCCCTAACAGGAAAAAGAATCCGCAAATCTAGAGCTTTCGATTGATACAAGAATTATTTGAATCGGATGAAAATTAAAAAAGTTATGGCTGGAAAAGGATAGAACTCACTATAACCTTTTGCGGGATATTTTTAAATCGAGGTCCCATTAAGGAAAAGAACCCGCTCCTTTCCACTACTTTAAATATAAAAAATTAAAAACCTTTGCCCTCATTTAAATTATAAAGTTCAATTGAATGATCAAATCCACCAAGTTCTCCAAGTAATTGAACATATTGCCTTTTTGTTTGAATAAAATCATCAGACTGTGAAAGAGCTGTAGTTGCATTTCCATTGCCTAATCTCAATGCATATTCATAAATTTCTGTTGCTTGATAATCAAATACAGACCAACTTAAAGAAGAAAATTTTTATATCGGAGAAACTAAATTTAAAAACATACCCAAAACGTGTAATACAAGAATTTAAAGAATCATCGGGTATTGAAGCATTTAAAAGGCTAATATGCTTGCGATATTTTGGATGGTCATCTAATTCACTAAAGAAATTTTTTATTGAAAAATTAAAGGTTAGCATTAGTCATAACAAAAATGGGCAAAAAGTGCTCTCTCGATATTTTGAGGTTTGCCAGTATGTAATAGAGTATGCCGAGTCCGAATCCACGCTTAATATTGTCCATTTCAAACCTCGAGACCCAAATTCGACTGGTCAAATTCGGACCCGTGATTACCCTCCTAACTACAGGCAAACCTCAAAGTATCAAAAAAGCACTTCTTGCTCATTTTTGCTTTCAAGGACCAACGCTCTTAAGTATTACCAAATAAAATATTTAAATAAAAACCTATCATTTGGTGGTTGAAAACAATTATAACCCGTCAATAAATTAACAGACAAAAAACAAAAATCAGCAGCAGCATTAAATTCTTTTTGTGCCAATGACAATCCTAATTGATATACTGCATTCATTGCATTTTGTGTTTGAAGATTAGCTAGCACTATAGCAATGTGGGCGCGCCATCCATTTGTGTCATCTGTGGTTGGATTATTCTGAAAAAAAACAAAAAAAAAATAAAAAAAAAGCAAGTTAATAAGTCTAAAAAATTTTTGCGGCCATTTTACATCTGTGGTGTAACCGGTAAAGCGTTTGCCTCCCCTACTAAAACGACGAAGGTTCGAACCCCACCAAGGGCAGACATTTTTATTTGCAGGAAATTAAAGGGAAAATGGTAAAAAAATTTTGTACAGACTGAAATCGAAAAATAAATATTTTCTTAACACAATTCAACCCAAAAATAGGGTATAAAAAACAAAATTCACTCACCAACAATGGAACAGGCGAATCAGAAGCCACATTTATTAAAGTAGTTATTGGATGATTGGGTGATCTATAAGCCATGAGTTTTGCTTCAATTGTTTCTTGTCGGAGTCTGTCGTGTCGAAATAGGCGATGAGCAAGCATTAAAGCATCAAAAAATAATCCATCTCCAATAGCACTTTCAATCGCTTCCTAAAATTTTTTTGCTTTAGTTGGAGGTAAAGCACACCAAATTACACCAATTTATACATATTGGTGTAGAGTCTCGCGAATAAAAAGGTGTGAAAAACCTAATAAGGAAAAAAATTAAAAACCTCAATATGCCCTCCAAGCAAATATCTCGTGATCCGTTCCATTGCTTGTGGATCAACACTAACTGATGATTTGATAGAAGTTTGCGATTCTGTCCTCAAAAAGCTTTGACTTGAAAATGGGGTATATCGATCACTGGAACAAAGTAAACGAGCCAAATCAGGTCCAGTAACTTTCTTAAAAATTTAAAAAATATTAACCAAAAACAAAAATCGAAAACAAACCCCTTGCTGCCTAACAAGCATTTCTAATAAAGCCCAAATAAGAACACAATCATTTGCATCGCCAGATTTTGGATTTGCTCGGTAAACATCAGAGGAGTAAATCCTCTCAATTTGGCGTTGTATAAATAAAAGTGGAGTTTGTGGTGGAGTATAGTCAATTAATAAAGGACCTAAAAATACAAAAACTTAATGAAAAAAAATGGAAGGGAAAGAAACCTTTAAAGTTCTCAAACGTCTCAACAAAACGTCGCCCCTCGGAGTCCTTGTAAAATTTTTTGGTGTTTTCAATGCACACGATACTAATTCCAATTTCTGGGTTGACAAAAACAATGCGTCCTTTAGCAGCAAAATGAATAGGAGCATGAGGTGCACGATAAAACATCAATTCTAAAAACACAGTTCGAGTAACTTAGAATTTGAAACAGACCATTAGCCAAAGACTGCAAACTATTTTCACTGTCACCATCAGCAAAACTTGGCCTATCACTTGCTCTATAATTTATTTTAAAGATTCAAAACAAAAATAAGAGAGAAAAACCTGCTCCCAGAAGTTGCTCTTTCATCGCTAAAAAGATGCTTTTGTGCCAATTTATAAGCCAATTTATTCCTTTCAAGCATCCGTCTTTTGTATTCTTGTAGTGTATGACGACATATCTGCAAAGGAAAATTTTTTATTAATTTTTGTATTAAAATTAGACCTTCAAAAATGCACCGCGCTCGGAATCACCAGCACTCGTGTATTTGAAAAACTCCCTAAAAATAATAAAAAAAACTTTTATCTTAAAAAAATCAATGTAATTTAAGACAAAAAACAAGGTTATATAAAGTGTTTAATACGAGGATTGAACCGCTAACATTGCCTGACGAAACCTGAACGTTTCCAACTAAACCATGAACCAATCAAAAAAAGCTTAGCTAATTCTCGATATAAGGTAACGAAGAAAATGCTTGATTGCCTATATCAGACAGAAGTTTCAATTTCCAAATTTTAAATGAAAATTAAAAAATAAAACCTATTAAAAACATTGTGAAACTTCGGCACATTCAAATATCTTTCATAAAGAGAGTAGTAAAACAAATAAGCAACTCTTTCAATTGAGGACAACGTTCGAAATTCATATGGTGGAGAACTTTTGGCGATGAATCTAGCAGCTCGATCCTAAAAATGAATTTAAATTTTCGACAAAAATAAAAGAAACCGGCGTAAATTTATCAGTTATTTCAGTAAGAACACCAAAAAAGTAAAGGTCCTTTGCATCAAATCCAAAAGCACCGCCAGTCCGTTGTGATAATGACGCGGCAACTGATGGAGGCCTACGTGATGAATGAGTGGAACTTGGTCTAAAAAATGAGAACGTCTCTATCTAAATTGGAGTCTAATTACCTTGGAGGTTGTTGAAATTGTTGCTGTTGTTGTAAATGTCCGCCCATTGCATAACTTGCCATTTCATCATCTTCCTCATCAAAATCCAATTCCTCATCTTCTTCTTCACTGCTATTGACTCCATTAACAAGAATATACGACTTTTTGAAGCGATCTCTTCTTAGTTGTTCAATGAATTCTTCACCATAATCAGAACGTCTTGAAGAGCTTGCCATTTTTGGAATTTTTGAATTTTTCTGCATTTTAATGGAAATTAATAAAAATTTAATATGCAAATAAAATAAAATTTAATGAGCCACGTGGCAAACAAAAAGCCATAAGTTTGGGGGAAAACGAAGTAAAGGCAAAAATGAAAAAGGGAAATAATCAAAGACAAAGGCTCGATTTCAATTTACTACAGTACTTAATTACAGAAGAGGTCGAAATTCGAAAAAATAGACGAAATTTTTGTCAAATAAGTCAAGGTTACAGAGTGGACATTATAAATTGAACGTTCTACAGTGTAGATATATTGATATTTTTATGTTGATAGACATTATGAAATGCAGTCTAAAAATTAAAAGGAAACAGAAAAAGGAAAATAAAGAAATAGTGCAGATAGAGATGTAGACAATTTGAAGAAGCCAATATACAAAATATCAAACGACAAAATGTCCAAAATAGAAAATCCGACAAAACGCCCATAAGAGAAGGAAAGACAATATGCCCAAAATTGAAGAAAGTGGTAAATCATTTTGAGATTAGACTGCATAAATGAACAAAACAAATCAAAAATATTAAAAAAGCTAAATGTAATAGCTAATTAAAAAACAAAAAAATTTTTAGTCCACAAGTTTATTTATTATCCACGAAATAAAATAAATTTAAAAAAAAGGAAATGAGGGGGAAATAATAAACACAGGTCTTTTTTTAAAACTTGTTCGGTCTAAAATGAACAATGATTCATAAAAAAATATATGTATAGTCAAACAATATTAGATATTACATTCAAGGGGTTAGTCCCCAACTCGTAGTCGGGGAGAACTCAGAGAACGGGGAAGTACGGGAACAAAACTATTGGAGATCGAGGTTAAGCCAACCCTTCTAATACATAAGTGCCTGGCAAAATAGATTTTTTGGAGTCTGATCCGTATTTGTAACTAGATCCGGACTTCTCGGCCAGATTTTTTAGGATTAATTCTGTCCTAAAGCAATCCGGAGATCGCAAAAAAACTCAGATTTGGGACGTGAACTGTTGGAAAATTCAATCCGGCACCACCTCCTAAAATCTTAAGTAATCAAGGGTTTGACTATACATAGCTTTTTTACACAAAAAAATTCCTGTCCAAAAATGATTAGATATACTTTAATATATAAATTGTGACTGAAAAACATATTCATAATTTAGTAGATTTTTTTGATTCACAAAAATTTTTTTGCACACATCTCTCTCCAATTATATACTTCCAAAGAATGGCATCGTCTCCTCTTCTTTTTAATCAACTTTTATAGAGCTATAAATTTTATGAATAAACCAATAAGTTGCAAAGAAGCCAATTGTTCCTTTAAATTTTTAAAAATTTTTTTTCTAAATTTTTCTTAAAATAAACCTGTCATTAGAAAGAATAAAAAGACAAATATAGCCGTATAACTAAAATAAAGAATTGTTGAAACAATTCCAGTTATTGTTAATTTTGAATTAAAATAATGAACACAATAAATAAACAAATAAATTGCAGTAAAACCAGAAGTCATAAATGAACGGAACCACCAATGATAATCCTTTAGAAAAAAATTTTTTTAAGAAAAACAATTAGGGAAAAGTGCGAGGACATGCAAAGAAACAACTTTTATTTACTCCAACCATAGAAATAAATCTTGGAAAAAATTTTCAAGAGGTTACCAGCAAGTACTGGATATGAATCCGGGAGCCAGCTCCAAAGACGGCTCCGAAGACAACAGACTAGTTATCCTTTGACTAGGCATTCCTTAGGCATGAATTTTAACCTATCCCCGTTTCTAAGTCCCCAAACCTTGTCTTTCAAAAAACTAATTCAAATTCAACTAACCTCCGCACACAAATGGAAATAAGCAAGCAAAATTGTAGCTTCAGAGCAAGTAATGATAAGAATAATAAAAACGATGAAGAGGAAGCCAAACATGTAGAAAACCTTTAAAAAATTTTTTTGAAAAAATTCATAAAATTGAAAAAATAAAAAAAACCTCATGGGACCAAATACTATTCAAAATAAAGAAAAGTTGAATAAAAATACAACCAAAAGGAAGAATTCCTCCCATCAACATTCCAGGAAGAGGCTTGGTATATAACGTCTGTTCCGGAACTTGGCGTGGAATTTGATTTGTTCTAACTGGGGTTTGGATTCTCTGAAAAATTTGAAAAAAAACTTTCAAATTTAAAAAAGAAAAGAATACTTTTGCTCGAAAACCAAAATATGATCCAATAAATGTCAACGGAATTGAAATAAAAAGCCAAAGGAAAAGTAGAGCACACAAAGTTCCAAAAGGAACAGCTAAAAATTTTTAAAAAATGAAAAAATTTTTCGGAAAAAAATCAAACCAGCAGAAGATCCTTTTGACCAAAGAATTAAATTAGAAGCAAAGAAAACGGCAAACAAAATTCTTAAAATACAAAAAAAAAATTAAAAGGCAATAAAATCCACAAACCCAGGAATTAAGAAGCTCGTCAAAAGAATGTTTGATTTCCATGCAAGTCCTTCCAATGCTTAAAAACAAAAATAGAAAATTAAAAAATTCCCCTTTCAAACTTTTATAAAGACGAGAAGATGTATATCCAGCAACAATTCCAAACAAAACATAAAATACCAAAGCAAAAGTCATTAAAGAGCCACGATTTGCTGGTGACAAAAATCCAAGACAGGCAAAAGCTTTAAAGAAATTTTTATTGAAAGTGATCTAAATATAAATTAGAGTTCGAAGCCGGGGTGGGTTTTCGAGCCAGTTAGTAAACCGGGGGTATTTTGATAAAATCAAGGATTTAGGGGGTTTAAACTAAAAAAAACTCTGTTTCAGGCAGCGTGAAAAAATGCGGATATAGGCTCGGATATGTGAAAACTTCAAACTCTAATATAAATTTAAAAAAGGAAACCTAAAGTAATAAAAGCGCAAAGAAGAACTTGACTGCCTGCACCAACAAAAACAGAAAGCATTAAAGAATTACGAGGAGGTCTAAAAACATCTCCATGAACAAGTTTCCATCCAAATTCTTCTTGAGCATCCTCCTAAAAAATAAAAAGGTTAAACTCTCAAAAAATCAAAACCTCGTCATCAAGACGATTGTAACGAGCAATGTCACGATGCAAAGTGCGTAGAAGAATCATTCCAACCTAACAAAAAAAATTTGAAAAAAATCTTAAAGCTCTCCAAACAAACCATTCCAGAAAGGAAAATAACAATAACCAAAGAATTCATAATTGAGAACCATTGAATGTTTGTATGTGGCATTGATTCAAGAATATAATCCCAACGAGATGACCATTTGACGTCTGTCTGGTCCCAAGCAACAGAATAAGAATATATCACGTTAAATTGTTTATCGCCGCTAGAAATAGGTTGTGGAGCAACTCCTTGGCCACAATTCATTTCTTCTATCTTTTCATGTTTTATGCTGTAAATGACCAAATTTTTGAGTTTATTCCACAAAATAAATTTTTAATTACCTTCGAGGCTGAACCTTAATCCGAATTATGCGTCCACCAATTTTTTCATCGAGAAAGTTAGAATCGAGGCCCAAATCTCTTAAATAAAAAAATTTCGATTGAAGAGGTTAAAAATTTTAACCTGTATTCAATTCTAATATCAACATGGTTAAAAAGATAATAACTGTCAGGTTGACGATATTTCGGCTTGAAAATAAAAGAAAATTAAGTTAAAAACAAAAAATAATACATCCAAAACACAAGCATCTTTAGGCTTTCCTTCCTTGGTTACAAAACAGCCCATAGGAAATCCTGTTGTGCAAACATTCATACTTTGCTGGTTAATGAAACAAAAGGTTACAGGCATATTGTCAATGATCCTAAAAAAATTTTTTTTTGAAAAAACAAAGCTTGGAAAGCAGAAATAATTCAAGGGAAATCATTTTTATGAATTTTTTAAAATCCCAATTAACCATGAGCGAACGTTTCGTTTCGTTGGAGATTCGCCCATGGCTGGTCGTAATCAATATTGAGTACTACTGAAGAAAAGGGTGCTTTTTCTGCGGACTTATTTTGCGGACTTTTCCTTTCCTTTACATGTTTTACTTGTAGCAACTAACTGTCAACGGCCCTCCCCCCATTATTTTTCTTACCTAAGATTGTACACAATGGTCGGATTTTCTTCTTTCTCTTTTCCTCTATTTGCCGTGTGGCATATTCAAACAAAAGACATTGATACAGAGAAGATTAATTTTATTTTTTTCATTTCTGTTTAAATGTTTTGCTTATAGCAACTAACAGTCAACGGATTATTTTTTATGCCGGTCTGAAAAATGTCGTTCACAAATAATTTAAACATTATAAACGAAAAAAATGTTACAATCAATAAAAAATTTTACTTTAACTAAATTGTATGATAAAATTAAATTACCCAATGATGAATTTCAACAATGGATCACTGATCTCGGAATGCTTCATAGAAAAAGAACATGTGATTGTGGAAAAGAAATGCGTAAAGAGAAGCGTGGACAAAATGGAAGATGGATATGTAAGAAATCAATATGCAGAAAAACAAAGGCTGTTTTTTTTGACTGTTTTTTTCATTTAATTTCACAAATAACAAATAATCAAAAATATTTGTGCGAATAAAAATTAATCCTTTGACAGTTAGTTTGCTACAAGCTAAAACATTATCTTTTAAAAAAAAGGGAAAAAGAAGGAAAGGAAAAGTCCGCAAAATAAGTCCGCAGAAAAAGCACCCTTTTCTTCAGTAGTACCCAATATTGGTCTCCCAAGTTAATTCGAACTCTAAAAATCTTCAGGTATAAGGGAGTATAACCGACCCCAAACCGAGAAGCTTCCCAAATTTTTAAAATCTTATACCAATGGTGTTGATAGTTAAGTCTCATTCCTCGTTGTAAAAGTCGGAATCGCTGTTGATTTTCCTTGTTGTCCATATTATAAGATTTTTGGCAGAGAAGAGCGCATTGTTTCGCTTCTTTGAATGCAATCTAAAAAAAATTAAATATTCAAAATGCCAAATAAAAACCTTATAAGGACTTGGTCTGATACGTTCACCAAACAAAACTTGACCAAGATTTTCAACGGGAGATTCGTCTTCTGAACCAAGGCAAAAATCGAAGCTAGAAAATGAAGTTTATTTAGAATAATGTCGCAAGGACGAAACGGCTGACCATTTTGTAAATAAACGAAAAAATTGATTATGAGGGAAACCACATCAGTACCATTTAATTAAATAAAGTTGTAAAAAAACCTGTGATATTCATAGGGCAAAACAGATTGATCACTGTCCAATTTGTTAACAAAAAGGGTGACATTATTCTGTAAATTTAACGTAAAAAAGGATAAAAACAAAAGTTAATACCGGACATGTAGGCTTCACATTCTTCAATTCACAAAAATTAACTGGAGCTAATCCTGGCAAATAGAAACTTAAAGTTGTTGGAATTAAAACTGTAATGAGGAAAAATAGCCTCAAATCCATTTTTTGCTAAAAAATCTGAAATTAAAAAATTAACTAAAAATTGATAAAAATGACACGTGAAATACTGAAAGTAAAAAAGCTAAACAAATCTACAACAAAACTCGTAAAACAAATTTTATAACTAGGGACAGCCAAAATATGCACGGAAAATCGCCAAATATGCGCATATATATGCACCGAAAAAGCCCAAAATATGCACTAAAATATGCAAAATTTGCTAAAATATGCACTGAAATATGCAACAAAAAATAGTTAAAATATGCTATAAAAATCAATATTTTAATTTAAAAACAATAATTTAGCCTGAATTTTACATTTTAATAGCACTCCTAAAAGATTTAATGGATTTAAAACTGTTGCAAGAATTTTTTGTGAAAAAATTTTTCCCAAAAAAATTTTCGCAAATATTTTTTCAAGAAATTTTTATAAAAAATATAAAAAATTTTATAAAAAAATTTTTGACCAAAAAATTTTAAAATTTTGGTCAATTTATAGCATAATTTTACAAAAAATGCCGAAATATGGACCAAAATATGCAAAATTAGCCAAAATATGGACAAATATGCAAATATGCACGAGAGGGCCGAAATATGCAAATATATGCATTAAGAACCGGGTCCTAAAGTGCTCGGACACATGTAAAAACACCATTTTTGGGCTTCCCACATCAAGGCATATCCGCATACAAAACATGCATTTGCATGTTTTGGCTGTCCCTATTTATAACACATAAACCGCAGAATGAAGTGGTGGCAAACATTTTCGGGTTGGCAAAAATTTGTTTGATTCATAAATTATTAACTTACAAAACATCTAATTACAAAACGTCCATAAGCGATAAAAATCGCTTTACGACACGCAACAAACTATATCGTTCGACTAAAAACAAAAATTTCAACTATTAGATATTTTGAAATTCGATGTTTTGAAAAAATCATTTAACAAAAAATAAAAAATTCAGGCCACTTGAGTATCAGAACAGGAATCGATAGAAATTGAACTCCGTGGAATTATATTTTCTTAAAAATGTTTTTATGATGTTCTTCTTAAAATATTTTTTTCTACTAAAATTTTTTTCTTTACAGGTCTTTTTTAATGTTACGGCCTCACAACGATGATTACAAACAAATTAGGGTCCTAGGAAAAGGAGCTTATGGAGAAGTATGGCTTGTGAGCAACAAAGAAAATCCAGACGAACAGGTTCTTTTCCACATATTTTTTCTTTAAAATTTTTTTAGTTTGCTCTAAAAAAGATACCCGTAAAAATAAGTGAAGAAGGAATTCCCCAAAGCGTCATCAGAGAGGTAAAAAAGTTAAAAAAATAATTTTCAGTCTTTTAAGGTTGCGTCATTAGTTGCTCTTCAACGACTTAAACATCCAAATGTTTTACGGTTTTCTTAAATTTAAATTAATTTTTATTTTATTTCTAGTCTTCATGACGCTTTTATTAAGCGTCGCGATGATCAAATTTCTTTAAATATTTTATGTGAAAAATGTGATTGGGATTTGGCCGATTTTTTGCAAGTGAAACTTGATAAAACTATAAAATAAATTTTTTTTAATTTTTAGAAGATACCCCACGACATGTGCAATGCTCAATGCAAACATTTTGTAACACAAATGTTTAATGGAATTGTATTTTTAATTTTATTCATTAAAAAATTATTAAATTTTTAGGACTTTCTCCACTCAAATGGAATAATTCATCGAGATCTCAAGCCTCAAAATATTTTGGTAAACAGAGATCAGACGTTACGGGTATTTTTTTAAATTAAATTTCTTTGGGGTTCGAATCTTTCAAATTTCCGAGCCGGGTATTCGGAGGATTTTTTCAAACGTACCCTGGTCGGTGTTTCAGGGCTAAAACCTCTAAACACGGAAAACCCGAATTCTGTCAAAATGTCTTGTCTTCAGATTACCGGGCCCGGAAAACCTGGTTCCGGGTTCGGCCCGAGTTCAAGTTCTAATTTTTCCCATTAAAAGTACCCCCTTCCTTCACAGATTGCCGATTTTGGTTTATCCCGCAATTATGGACTTCATGCAACCTTTACAACCGAAGTTGTTACTTTATGGTATAGAAGCCCTGAATTATTGTTGCAATGCAAGTATAATACGAGTGTAGATATTTGGTCTGCGGGATGTATTTTTGTTGAGCTATTTACACGAACAGCTTTGTTTCAAGCTGACAGTGAAGCGCAACAATTACACGTTATTTTCGAGTAAGGTTTTACTTAATTTTTTCTCCCAAAAAATCAGAATCTCCCCAAAACCAGAATTTTTTTCTGAAATTCTGATTCTATTTATTTTTTAGGAAAATTGGCACCCCCAAAGCAAATTTATGGCCTCAAGATGCAATTGTTAGTCGAGTCTCCTTTCCAGAATATAAACCTATTCATTTAACCATTTTTGCACCTAAGCTTCCTTCTTTAGCTTTAAATTTAGTCTCACAAATTTTTAACTTTAATCCGTATGATAGACCTACTGCTTTGGAATGTCTACAACACGAATATTTAATTTAAATTTTAAAAAACTAGGGTTGGGCACAAAAACGGTTAACCGAACCGGAACCGTTAATTGGATGTTTTGGCCAATTACAGGGGAAACGAAACCTCGGGGGTTTGAATTTAAACATTTTCTGGTTTATTCTGATTCCGGTTTTCTTCTGTTTTCGATTGGAGTATCAAAAAACCGGGGGTACCTGTTAATAACCGTTGTGTGTCCACCCCCTATTTAAAACCTGCAAAAAATTTTTTTTAAGAAAATCGTGCTTTCTTTTTTTATTTTTAAGATTTCATGCGCAATTATTTTGCCTTAAATTATCTCTTTCAGATATATTTTAATTATTTATTTACATCTCATTATTTTCACTTAAATCTTTTTAAATTATTTTTCTTAATAATGAATAAAAAACGGTTTTAATGTTTGAATAGTTTAATTTTTCTAGAGGACCTTCCCTTTTTATAAAAATTTTTTTCTGGGATATAGGTATCGAAATAAATTCAAAAAAATTTTTCAATTATAAAAATGATTTACAAAATTTCGTGTCCTTAAAAATTTACAAAAAATTTATATAAAAATTTCATAAAATTAATACGATTTACAGCAGTTATAAGTTTCACTGGCGTCTCCTACACACAAAATAAATTTTTTTTCTTAATTAAAAAAAAATTCTTCAAAAAAACCTGTAACAAAACAATAACTTTTCGGTGGACAATTTGGTGTCATTCCATTACATTTAATTATTTGTCCAGTTGATCTACTTATTGTTGGCGAATTTCCTGGAGGACAAACTCCTTTAATTGGTGGCTCATTTTTGGTTAATTGAGGAAGTATATTTGATATTAAAGACGAGGAGGAGGAAGAATGCTTTTTGAGTGGAGGGCCACTAATTCTTGGATGTTGAACTAAAATAAAAATACACAAATAAAATTTTTAAATTTAAAGCTAGGGTAACACCCAACCTCCTGAAACCCTGACCCAAACCTCGAAAGCCTGCTGTGCTGCAATTTTAGAATCTAATGAAACCCCGAACCAAAAGTCAACCCGAACCTCGGGTCTGGTTTTGCTCTACGGCAAGACCCACCCGAGGGGCCAACCCTGAACCCCAAACGTGCCCTCCAGAGAAAATCACGACCTCAAAGTCCGAACCAAAAATCAACCTCATCCTTATATATACTATATATAATAGTATATATAATACCTTCTACGGCAAACCCCGATCCCCGGCACTCTTGACCCCGAAAGGTAGAGGTGCTACCCTATTTAAAGTAAAACCTTCAACACTGCTTCCTTCTTCTGGTAATTGAACTGGAGGCAAAACGTTGTCATAATCCGCATTAACAGCCTCAAAAGTACTTGGCGATTGAACAGATGCAGAAGAATCGCCAACACTCCTTTTTGTACAATTTCCACTTTTTGGAGTAAATTCATTGTTTTGACACCGACACGTTCCTTCCACACAACTTTAAATTAAATAAATAAAATTTTTTTTAATTAAAAAAAATACACAGATTCTCGTTCACAATTTGTTTCAGAATTGCATTTGTCGCCAGGATATGCATGTACAACTCTAAGCATTGGAGGTTCATCAGATTGAATACAAATGTGATTGCGAAGGATTGATTTGTTTAAAGGGCATTCACAAATCTAAATAGAGAATTTTTAGAAAAATTTGAAAAAAAAATTAAAAAAAAAACCTTATTAGAATTTTGGCATACAGAACCTCCAGTACATATTTCTCTATTTGCACAACTTTCAGATGGACGAGCATATGGACGACCTGAATAAAGGAAAAATAAAATTAATCAAATTTGAATCTTCTCACTTTTGGTAATTTTGACCATCCCCCTTTCAAAATACCAAACTCCCAAAAAACACCGAAATACAAAAATGTGAATTGTTAACATACAGGTATTTTTGTAATATTCCAGTTTGGTATTTTGGGAGCCTTTGGGAATTTAGTATTACGGCGCGCTCCCCTCCTTTCTCCACTCATTAACTTCATAATCTTTCCAACCCGAAAAACCCTTACCAATTGGTCCAGGTTGCATTCTAGGAATTTTGTTTGTATATTTTGAATATTCCTTTTTATTTTGTTCTTGTTGAATAGAAGATTTACGTTGTTCAAACGTTTCGCAGTTTCCACTTTTAACTGACGGACGCGTTCCCGCAGGACAGAGACAAAGTCCTTCCACACATGTTGACCCTCCTGTACAGATGTCTAGAGGACCTAAAATTCAAAAAATTTTCATAAAATTTTTAAAATTAAAAAAACCGCATTGAGCCCCAGGAGCAGCCGTCATTTGTTGTTCCTTTTCATTTTCATCTTTAAACATTTCTGGGGCATAATTTGGAAGAGCAGAAGAAGAAATTGTTTCCGATGCAAATGTTTCTTCATTACCCTTCTAAATTTTTTTTAAATTAATTTATTAAACTAAAAAAAATATTTTTAAAAAACCATAAGTGATGTTGACAATTGAGGCAATTTTGATTGATTCAACAAAGTTTTATTGTTTTTATTTGAAAATTCTTTTCCAGTTTGATCTAAATTTAAAAAAATTTTTTTTTAATTTTTTAAGTAATTTTTGGTTAGTGGGAAACATTAAATTATTAAATTAATGGATAATTAAAAAAGAAAATTGTTAGGTTAATTAATTTTTTGGAAAAGGAAAGGTTAGTTAAGAACTTGAAATATAAACTGAAAAAAATTTTTTTAACTGAAAAAACTTCTTTAAACAAAAAAAAAACAAAATTTCAACCTGAAACTTCTGCTTGTTGACAACATAATTTTTCCACAAAATAATTTTGATTAGCTCGTGAAGGTAGAGAGAACCCAAAAATAGGAGAAAGTGTAATTAATGTATTTTATTAGAAAATATTTTCTTACCCAAATTTTCCGATTCAAACGATTTAGGCACTTCTCTTTTCCATTTTTCTGATAATTCAACATCATCCGTGTTTTTTCCTTCAATATTTTGTCGTTCCATTTGTTCATCATTTACTGAAAATAATTAATGATCAAAATAAAAAGAAGGGTTCGACATTTTTAAATCGACGGGCCTGGTATCTGGGGGTTTTTCTTTCAAACTAACCCAGGCTGAATTTCCTGGATAAAACCTCGAAAACCGGGAAAAAGGGCAGTGGGGTCAATACGAGATTTGAACTTTCATCGTTGCAAATCCCGCTCCTTAGACGGAAACCTCGGTCCTGGGCTCGGTGTCGACTTCTAAAAGACAAAAAAATAACCTTTATTCCCACCTTGTTTTAGAATTAAAGCCAACAAGTCAGGATCTATATAAGCTCTTGGATCCTCTCCTACAGCTAGCGCTGGTGGAAGACAGTTACCACCAATTGGATAATATGCCGCCAAGCAAATACAAAAGCCATTGTCGCAAAAAGCGTGAAAATTACAATCTGAGCTGCTAAAGCCTTGAGAAAAAAAATTTTCGAGTCATAAAAAAAGCCAAAAAATATACATTGTGTTCCTCTAGGCCGTTTAGCAGCAATACAAATGCCCTAAAATTAAATGAAAAAATTATATTCAAAAACAAAAAACCTCATTTCTTTCCATTCCAATAGGGCATTCACAAACCCCACTATATTTTCCACAAATTGAATTAAATCCACATTTTTGCCCTTTTGTACAATCATCGCCGACTGAAGCCAAAAGTCGATTTGCACATTTTCGGCTATGAAAAAAGTTTTTGTTTAAATTCTCATCAGGTTTGGTGTTTTGTTGATCATTTCGACAATGACAAATCTTACAAAAAAATTTTAATTTCATTTTATTTAAAAAACTCTTACTCCGTTGATACAAAACCCATTATTTTTGCATTGTTCCTGTAATAAAAAAATGTTAAAGACTGGATTGGATCTGGTCAGGTTTTCCAGAGTCCGGGTCTTTTTTTCGTTCAAAAAAAGTTTTTCTGGACCGGATTTATCCTGAAAATCTAGTCGGATCAAGTCCGGTTCTATTTACAACTCCGGATCGAATCCGGAAAAATCGATTTTTTCGGTCACTAATTCAAAAAATAACTAACGTTTATGAAGCAGCGTTCGCCCAACTCGACTTTGGAGATTTGGCAAAGTCCATTTAAAGGTCTAAATCCTGGTCTACAAACACAAATTCCTCCAAGACAAATGGCACCTCCACTACAAGAAGTTGATTGACCATTGGTAGAGACACTGCAATGAGTTCCAGGTATTCCAAAAGGAGAAGTGGAAGAGGTGGATTCAGGCAAGTTTTTAGAATTGAAGGTGTCAAGATGTGAAGGAGGTCCAACAGCCAAAATGGAAGATGCTGATGATTTTGGAGGAGAAATAAATTTAGGAAATGAGTGGGGATGACAATTTGTCCTGAAAATTCTTTTATAAAAATTTAAAAAAATAAAAATAAACAAACCCTTTGCAACCTCCAAACGATCTTGTTTCTTCTTCTCCACTTTCCCTTCTCAATGAGTGTTTTAATAAAGGAGCAAAAAGTGAACGTAAAGTCTTGCTGTCCATCAAGTTTATACTCATTTGATTAGCAGTCAAAATTTGATTATATTTTCCTCTTTCACCAGCAGCTGCTAATGCAGCTGGGATTGTATAGACAAATTTTGGCAATTTTTGATCATCTTCTTCTTCAATTTCTTGATTTTCGTCATCCATTTTTGTTTCATATTTCTTTGGTTTTGATAAATTTGTTTCTGTAATTGATGGATTGATGCATCCTTTATCTCCAGAAATGTCAGCTTTCTGCCCTCTATTAAAAATTTTTTTAATTTCCAAAAAATTAAATGTCCAGTTGATGTCCACTTTTCTTGCATTGCTTTGCGGATAACATAGATGGGCCCTAACGCACTTTAAAAAGCGACAGACAAAAGAAGCAGAAGCGTAAAAAAGTGAAGTGCCATTTGCGAAAGCAAAAATGAAAACCCAACCCTAGCGAACCCTAATTGGTACATCAACTTGGCATTTACCCCCCAAAAATTAAAGAAAACAAACTGAGGACATTGACAAATGCTACGCACACATCTAGACCTTCCAGTACATCGTTGACCCAAAATACATCTTCCACCTGGACGTACAGCTTTCATTAATGAGGAATTAGCACATTCCTGTCCAGTAATAACAAGCCCATAAAGACAAACACAAATGCCTTTAAAAAATAATTCTTGAAGATTTTTTAATTTTAAAGAATACCATAAAAACAATGAGATTCCCCTATGCAATCAACACCGTTTTGAGTGTCACACCGGCCACCAGGTAACACCTAAAAATGTATTAGAGCTGTTTCGAAACACAAAATAAGTTTCGGAAATCATAAAATCGAAAATAGGCAAAAATTTCGAACTTTGAAAACTTTCGAAATCGAAATCCGAAACTCGAAATTTCGAAAAAATTTAAAAAATCTTTCTCCCTTACCTCATGTATTGCTTTTCTACAAACTCCATTTATTATCGTCTCTCCTTGTTTACAACGACAAACACCACGCAAACATTCTGTTCTGTAAGGGCATTCAAGTGAAAGTCGACACGGCGCTCCTGCTACAACTGTTTTGGTTGGTAATGGATCTTCTTCACTTAAATCATCCTTCCTTTCTTTATATTTAATTTCAAATGTTGATGAATCCATTAATGGAAAATTTGGAGAAAACAAAAGAGAATGTTCATGGAAAGTGTTGGTTCCGCTAAGACTTGCACGAGGAGGAAGACATTCACCATGAAATAAATTATAACCTTGAAAGAATTTTCTTTCAAATTTTTTAACATTTATTTAACCTTCTAAACATGTGCAAATTCCATTTTGACATTTTGCACCTGCAGTACATTCATTATTAGCACACAAATGACCGGCTAAAGGCATTTTTCCATTTTTCTGTTTAAAAAAATAATTAAAAAAATGGTTTTAAACTAGAAATTAGAGATGCCCAAGACCGAAAATTTTCGAAGATCCACGATCAAAACTGGACCCCAAAAACAAAACTCAAGACGGGACTGAACCTCAAGATCCCAAAGCCACAAGGACAAAACTTTCCCACAGAACTCAGACTTGATTTCAATACCCCAAGACCAAAAAATCTCAAAAAAGTCTAGAGTCATGATTCAAAACCAAGATTCTTGGATGTCTCTACTAAAAATAAAACCTTCTTAGGCTCTCCACATTTGCTAATATTTCCAAAAATTTGTAGTTCAAGTCCTCTACGACATTTACATTTTCCAAAAACGCATTCAGATCTGTCAGTACACATTTGACCTTTTGCACAACTTTTGCCAGGATATTGACGACAATAACGCTTTTGAGTATCCGGAACGGAACCTTCAAGACAAACACATTTGGAGTTTAAACAATCAGCACCAGCAGAACAATGGTCAATATTTGCATTACATTTGGAACCAATTAATCGAAAGGTTGGTGAAATTTTCTAAAAGAGTGAAAAAATAGAAAATAATTTGCCTACACGGGTTCAGAGACTCAAAACTTCCGAGAGAGTATTGGGGGCTTTGAAAGTTGTGGGTCCCAGAGGTTGGGAGGAGAGGAGGGAAATACAAGAAAAATACGAGATGGGCCAAGACTAAACACCAAGATATCTCACCTTGTAGTCTTTGCGACAAAGTTTTGGTTAATAAAAAAATTTTAAAACTTGCCGGCATTATTTTTTCCTTCATTATTTTTCCCTTCTTTTCATTTTGTTTTTGTTGTTGCTCCTTTTCTTCTTTTAATTTTCTTTTTCTTCTTTTGCTTTTTTTAAATATTCTTTTTAAAAAATTTTTTGAATTTTTCAGTAAATTTTTTGACAAATTTTTCCCATTTTTCTCTTCAACTTTATTTCGTAAAACTTCATTTTTAAACATTTTTCTGTTAAAATTTCCTCCAAATTCTTCCAAATGTAAACGACGACGTTTAACTTTAATTCCTTCCTTTTTATTTTCTTCTTCAAAATTTTTCTTCAAATTAATACATTGTTTTTGGAATAAACTTAAAGGTGGATTGCAAACACAAAAACCCTCAAAACAATAAGAATCAGCAGAACATACAGGAATAAGATGAGAAATGTTACAAGCCTCTCCAGGCCATGCAATTGCTTACAGAAAATTTAAAAAGGTTAAAAGAAAAGGTTAAGGTGTTAAAATAATTTTAATGGAGAACAAAGGATTTTAAATTAGGGTATGATGACAACCAACAAAATACCAAAACTCCAAAAGACACGCTGAAATACCAAAATGTGAATTTACCTTTGTCGAACTTCCACGTAACTAGAAATGTATGTTTTATTATTTTCCACGGCTTGGTATTTTAGCAGCTCTCGGAGGTTTGGTATTTTGGCGTTTGGCGCACTCCTACATTTGTTAGTTAAATGGTAAGGGAGAGTTATACGTTAGAGAAAATCAAAAAAAATTATTTAAACTTATACCAGGAATGCAAGTTTGTTCCAATGCTGATGATCCAGGAGGGCAAACACAATGACCATTTAAACAACGAGCACCAGCATATCCAGCACTACACTAAAAAATATTTTTTAAATTAAATTTTATAAAACAATTAAAAACCTGAAGATCAGTTTCACATCCTTTTTGGCCTGGGTAAATTACTAAAAAAAATAAAAATAAAGTTAAACTACAAATTAAAAGCAAGCCTTTTTCACAATGATCATGAACGCTAATGTGCGTTGATAAACATTGACAAGTTGGTGGTTGTGTATTACCATTGCAATAAGCCCCAGACTAGAATTTAAAATCTTGAACTCGTTATAAAATTCCCTGGATCAAGTAGCGAGATTTTTTTAACAAAGGGACGGGACTCCGCGAGATTAATCACGTAATCCCATTTGAGGGGTGTGTATCTTATAACGAGGTTTTAATTAAAATTATTCCAAAAATAGTATACCGCGCAGTCAGCATTTAACGAGCACTTTTCACCAACTTTTGCTTCAATTTTTGATGGCCTCAATTTATTTTGATTTGAATAAGTCGATTCAGTAGAAGATGAGGAAAGCTAAAAAAATCTTAAATTTTTTTTTCAAACAAAAATTTAACCTTTTCTTCAATTTTTTCTTCTTTAGAAGCCCTTTCCAAGTTCCTTTCCACACATCTTCCCTTGACCAGTTCAGTTTCTTTGGGGCACACACACAGTGGAACTTGTTGATTACATACAGAACCTCCCACACAGACTTGTCCAGAATTGCAGAGCTCTCCAGGACCTTTAAATTAAAATCTCTAAAAAAACCCTCAAAAAATTTTTACCAGCTTCCCTAGTTGGAGGCATCTGACATTGTCCTTGTTGTTCAATCATTGGAGGAATGCATTGGCAATAACCATTAAAGCATAACGAGCCTTGATCAGCACAGAAAAGGCCTAAATATTCGTTGCATTGTTCGCCCAGTTTGGCTAAAAATCAAATAATTTTAACAAAAATTAAGACGAAAAAACCTCTAAAAAACGTTTTTTGACCAAACAATTCCTTTGTTAATTGTTGCTGTCCAGAAGTTGAAGAAGGAATATTTGAAAAATTTGATAATGAAGTTGTACAATTATTTCCATTATTTTTTGTTTTTGCAGGACAGACACAAACAGAATTGACACATGTAGACCCTCCATCACATGTTCCTTCTTGATCACAATATGAACCGATAGGGACTGTAAATACGGGAAATTAAGGGAGTTTGGCATTTTCCCGTCCCGCACGGTTTATTTATTCAAGCTGACCTGGGTCTGGGGTTTCCAAGTTAACATCACAAAACCTCGAAAACCCGAAAAAATAGCCAGGTTCAGGGCTAACGGGCGCAAAACCCCGGCCCGACCTGTTATCGAACGCTAATAAGAAATATGTAAAAATGACTTTTCAAAAAATACCTAAAGAATTAAGAGGAGATGATGTTGAAGTTCCCTGTGAAGATAATGGAACTTGTGAAGAATAGTATTGACCGCCATACGAAAATTGTTGCTGAAGGGTAGTGCCCACCGGTGGAATCAATTTTGCACAGAATAGATTTTCTTAAAAAATATTTTTGTACGTTGATTTAAAATGTCGAGGGATACCTTAAATCAGGAGGTATCACTTGGGCAAACCCAAAGCCATTAGCCAAGTTAATTTAAAAAAAATGTATCTAAAATCGAGGGTGTATCGAATTTTGAGGGTATCTTACAACGAAGTTCAACCAAGATATTCTAAATCCCCCCCCCCCCTCCGGCATAAAGAGAATGCCCCTTATATGTATCTTTTAAAAATCATTATTTAATTACCCAACAAAGCAACAGTTCCATAAGGACAAAGACATCGCTGTTGAACAGGATCACAAACCGTTCCACCAATGCATTGTTCTCCATGTGCACAACTTCCATTTAAAATTGCTAGTTGTAATAGATCATTTGCTTCTCTAACTGTATTTGGTGGAAGACTGTCTGTTGTACACTGCTGAGAGCTGTATTCAAAATGCATGTCATTCGGGCAGTAATGACGAGACCAAAAACCTATTGACCTACAAAAATAACTGAAAGTGTAACGTACATAGGGATGGACCCAGACCTTTTCTAGGTTAAAACCCATGTCAAGCTGTTTAACCCCAATCAACCCGAACCCGAACTTTTCGAACCCGAAGTCAGGGTCCAACTCTAACCGTGCTTGGAAACTCGTACCAAAATTCGTACTCGTGAAATTGGGTGTGGTACGGAGTACGGGCAAATCTGGAATCCATCCAAGCACTGACCCCCCAGTTTAACCAAAAAGAACAAAAAATCTACTCACGGATAATTCACATAAGGTTTACAACTGAAAAAAGCCTGTCTATCTGTTGGATCTTCTACAAACAATGATTCAGAATTTGGATTACAATTTAGAGGGTTGTTGCAATTTATTACTAAAAATTAAAAAAATTTTTTAACGAAATTTAAATCTTACAATTTAGTGAAGCAAGTAAAATTAACGTCAAAAATGGAAGACGAGTCATTTTTTCTGAAAAAAAATTTTTTTTGAAGAATCAAAGAACTATAAAAAAGCAAAATATTCGTCTTGTTTTGGTCGATTTAATGCGGACTTTTTTTTAAAGAATTTATGTCCCATCCATTTTTAACCCAATTTTTCTTACCGCCTCATTTTTCTCGTTCCCCCGATTTCTTCTCAAGTACTTCAAGATTTCCTTCTATCAAATATCGTCCACCACTAAATGATCGTCGCTCAATTTTTGAATTGACCACCACACCTATATTTCTGATGAGAAAATACACACAGATTGAATTTCTAAAATAAATTGGAAAAACTAAAAAAATCAAACATGAAGCAGAGATCACCACTTTGAAGAAGATATTGAGAATGCGTCCATCTTTTGGTTAGTTAATTGAGAATTGTCCGGCCATCGTCAAGCAACTATCACTAAATATTGCAATTGCATTCTACCTTGAAATAATAAATTCAGAAAATTTTTAAAAATTAGAAAACTCACGTAACTATGATATTACAGTAAAAATAGAGAACCTGACGCCAACATTCCGTCGCAGTCACTTTGCGTTACCATCTTGTCGCGACCACATTGTCGCAGTTCACTTTTCAGCGATCACAGTTGAATTTAAGGGACTAGACAAGGAGATTAATTAAACCAAAATATTTTAATTAGATTCAGAATCTATTTATTAAGTCCGAAAATGATAATAGGCAAAGAAAATTTATTTAAAAACAAAAATTGAGATCATTAAAATAAAATTCTATCACTTTTCTGTTTTTTTTTCAATTCCTTAACCACTCTTTTTTCGTCTAAAAAGAAAAAATTCTCTCCAACGTCTCTTCTTTCCATTTAACTTAAAAAAGTCATCAAAAAATTTTCTTTAATTTATAAAAACCTCTTTTTTAAATGAAGCTTCAATTGTTCCATTGTTCTTTCCATTTTTGAAAAATTCTCCACCTCCTCCTTTTCCATTTAATCCAGCATCTGATGTACTTCTTTCTGTTGATTTTATTAGTTTATCTGAAAAAGGGGGAAATTTTTTTCTGATTTTAAAAATAAAATTCTGAACCTTTTATTAGTTAAACCAGAATTCTGGGCTATTAAAACATTCAGAAGACCAGAATTCTGGTTTCTTAAAAAATCAGAATTTTCAAAAAATCAGAATTCTGGTTTCTTAAAAAATCAGAATTTTCAAAACCAGATTCTGGTTTTCAAAAAATCAGAATTCTGGTTTCTTAAAAAATCAGAATTTTCAAAACCAGATTCTGGTTTTCAAAAAATCAGAATTCTGGTTTCTTAAAAAATCAGAATTTTCAAAACCAGATTCTGGTTTTCAAAAAATCAGAATTCTGGTTTCTTAAAAAATCAGAATTTTCAAAACCAGATTCTGGTTTTCAAAAAATCAGAATTCTGGTTTCTTAAAAAATCAGAATTTTCAAAACCAGATTCTGGTTTTCTAATCATAATTCTGGTTGTGAAATCAGAAATTCTGGTTTTTATCAAAATACCCCAAAATTATAAACAACTAACCACAAATAATTTTCTGACTTCCTCCACCATTTTCTTTAACCGAACGAATAGGAGTTATTGGTACTGACTGTGAATTGTCAATAATATTTGTTGGTGTATCATTAACATTTCCATTCATCCCACAATAATTACTTTGTGATTTTTTTATTTTTCCTTCTCCAAATTCCTTCAGATAATTTTCCAATCCATTGTTAAAATGATCATCATTTTTGAATGGATTTGCTGAATAAAGCTTTCTATAAACCTGTGAAGAAGAAAATTGAGAAACTCTAAAAAAATTTCTACAAAAAAACCTGTGCATTAATCTGTTGATCTTTTTGAACTATTCCTTTGGAAGCAGCGCCAATATATACTGGACGTAGTTTTTCCTATTTTTAAAATTAATTTTAATTACAAATGTTGGGTGCATCTCAATTGAGTTCCGACTAAGCTGGTCCCGGCCCCTATAACTTATGAACGGATGGTCACTTCTTCATGTTCTTGGACCACTGGGAACATAAAAAATGTTCTCCCCTTCATAAGTTATAAAGGCTGGGACTCAGCTGAGCAGTGACCCAGTTGAACTGCTCCGAACATTCTAAATACAAATTAAAAAAACAAACTCCTTCAATGTCCGTTAATGTCAATCCATCAAGCACCAATGATTGAGGACCAGGTGAAACTTTTCCGCTCATTCTAGCCTCTTTCAATTTTCTTCTTTTTTCTCTGAATTCTCGCATATCCAGACTGCTAGGGCTAAACTGCAAGGGTGAATTAATTTTCACCGGCGTGCCACTTTTGGAACTGGCGCTTTGCTGCTCAACCCACTTAAAAGAGAAAATTTTGGGAACTTTTTAATTTTAAAAAATACTCTTGTAATTAATCGAGGACAATCAGTTCCCGTCTCTGGCAGTTGCACTTTTAAATAATTGCAAGGCGAATTTAACCAAATAGCCTTCTCTTTTTCTTTTTGAAGAAGCAAGGAAAGGCACCAATTTGATGATGTTGATGTTCCTTCTTCAATCTAGGGACAAAAATTAAATTTTATGTTAAAATTGATTTAGAAACAAAAATTTTTAAAAATAAAAGTCCAGAAAAATGGATCTTATTTTAGGAAAGATGGTACTTTTTGAATACCTCCTCCCTCTAGGGTGAGTTAAGATGTACATAACGGTCAGACAGGTCAAATGGAGCAAAATTTGATTGAAAGTTCGATTTACTTCTTTAAAAAATTTTTTAAGGAAAATTTGAGACACAAACTAGGGAGGCAGGATATCCTACAAGTACCTTAAAGATAAAAAACCTCTTTTTAAATATTTTATTCAAAAATTTTTTTGATAATATGAGCGAGCGTATGGCACTTTTTTTAAAAATTCCTCACAGTCTTCCTTATTTTCATTTTTTATAAAATCTAGCGACGTACAGTTCCCAGCGATGCTGGCCCATTTGATGGAGTTGCTATACTTGACAAATTATACATTGAATGATGGGAAGGTTGTGATGTTGAACGAAGCAATTTATTTCGATAAATGTGTCCAGTACAGAATCCCTTTAAAAAATAAGGAAAATTTTTTTTTAAATTTTGGTTTTCGAAAATTAAAAAAAAAATTTCGATTTTCAAAATTCGAAAAAATCGAAATTCATCCAAAAAATTAAAATATTAACCGCTGTGTCCAAAATCCTACACCACGCTTCCCATTCAAGTTCTCCAATTCCCCAAGAAATGTTGGCAGTTAAATTTTGTTGAGTTCGATTTACTCCACCACCACCTAAAATTTGTTGAAATTTGATTTTAACAATTTTAAAAATAAAAAAGAAACCTGCACTTCTAGCCGTAGAATAAGCTTTTTGGACTGCTTCATCAGAAGGTATAATTAATTTATCAAGTCCAACTCGTGCCGCCCTGATCTCAAAAATTAGCAAATCTAGGTTTAGAAAAGTTCTAGAATAAATTTCAAACCTGAGTTTCACATGAAATAATCCTAAAAATTTTTTTTAAATTTAATAATAAAAGTAGAGTTCGACATCGGGTCGGGTCCGGGACTCGGTTTTTCCGGGCATATAGCTCGGAAACCGTGTATTTCGATAAAATCCGGTTTTCGGGATTTAACACAGAAACCTCCGGCCAGGCCCGTGTGAGGAAAAAATAACCCGGATACCGGGCCCGGCAATTTGAAAATGTCAAACTCCAAATAAAATTGTTAATATGTATACGTATGAAATGCCAAATGAAGAGCGTCCTCCACTGTTCGACCGCAAGCTACAAAACCATGGTTTCGAAGAATCATCACCTACAAATTAAAAGAAAATTAATTTTCTAGTTTTACTGTAAATTATTTAAAATTTTTTAAAATACCATTACATTTTTATCGCCCAAATCGCTGACTATTGACTTTTTCTCATCATCATCTGTTAAAATGCCCTGAAAATATTTTTGTAACAAGTAGCCAAACAATTAGTTTAAAACCTGGTAATCATGATAAGCTACAGGGCCAATAATCATAGCTTCCTGACAAATTGGTAATAATCCGCACTTCATGGCGCTAACGGCAGCAACAACGGCCGTATGTAAATGAACGACACAATGAACATCTAGACAAATTGATTAGCAATTAAATTTCTTGATGAAAAATTGAAAGGGATTATGGCGAATTTTTGATTAAATTTTTTGGTATGTTGTTTTAGTGTCAAAACGCTGAGATGTCAACCGCACCTACACCAAGCCGGTGAAATGTCAATAGAGGGGGGTTGACATTTCACCGGTTTTGGATTTGACATTTCAGCGTCATTTCCAGTTTTACATTTCAGCAGCTTATTGGGGCTACATTTCAACTTGTAACTTTATGTCAAGCTCCGATATTTTTTTTACAAGTTTCTCAAGTATTTTAAAATAAATTAACCTGGTCTAGCCTCATGAATAGCTGAATGAAGAACATAAGCAGCCTGATTAACACCCAAATTTGTAGAGCCTTGGTCTATCACATCTCCAGACAAGCTGAGTTTAATGAGAGAAGAGGCAGTTACTTCATTATAGAGCAATCCAAATGGATTAATTAAAACTTGGGCAGGATCAGTTCCAGGAAGGCGAAGCTTAAAAAAATTTTTGAAAAAATTTGAAAATTTTCCCTATACCGTTATATGATTGTAAATCCCTTGTGACCATTGAAAAAGATCCACAAGTCTATAAATTGTAGCCAATTTGTTTCTTTGTTTTTTTTCTTCCAATGAATATAAATTATTATTACGGGCAATATCTGCTATTTTAATTGGTGGATTGCCTGAATAAATAAAAAAATATATGCAAAGATTGTTTTTTATGGGTATTTATTTTAGTGAAAGAATCTCCGGTTAGATTGATGAAAAATATGTAGAAAAAGTAAATCGAGAGAAATAGGGAGGAAATGTCCGAAAAAATAGCCCGTATAGCCTCCACTTTTGAATCTTTACAAATATCATATAAAATGTTAGACCAGGGATATCACGGGTTAAGAAAAAAAGAATGGGTCGGGTTCTCGAAAATTTCTCGAGTCGGGTTTCGAGTCAGTTGGGGGAATTAAGAGGGAAAACGTCAGGTCGAGTTTCTGGCTAGGCTCTTGAAATTTTCCTCAGATCGGGTATGAGGTTTCTAACAATCCGTGATATCCTTAATATATTCTAGATTAAAAACTAAAATTTTACTTAAAACTTGGTTGACATTTAACGGCAAAAGTTGAGGTAAACGAGAATAATTTGCTGTTTGAATGTTTAAAGAAGCCATTGCACTGTTCAAATCTTCTGGAAAGGATCTGGCAATGTCTGGGCAAACTCTGAAAAAAATTTTTTTATTAAAAAATCCAAAAAAACAAATTTACATTTGTTCCAATTCACTCCGAAAATCATTAGAACCTAATACTTCCTTAACTCGTTTTCTGCGGGACATATCCCATAAATCTTCTTCAATGGCCGCCGATCTCCATTTTTCTTGGTGATCACAACTGTTGTTATCCTCAATCTTATTTTTGTCTTCATTTTTAGTATTTTTATTTGCGTCCATTTTTGTTCAATTTTTACTGAAAAAAAAGAAAAAAATTTGCTAAAATCTTTTTTAGGTCGGCTCCATCACAGAAGGTGAATCTCAGAAGACCCAGAAGGTCAAATAACCCTAAAGGTCGACTCCAAATATTTGGGCGAATAAAAGAGATTCAAGACAAAGCACCTCCCTTTGGTGTTACGACAATTGCGGATACGCACGTGCGGATGCGACAATTGCGGATTAAAAATTTGTTTAAAATTTTAGAAATGATTGAAATGACATTCCGTTTTTTTGTCCCGGCTGTCAGCTGCAGACTTCTGACGGTTTCCGAATCATTTTTAGACAGATGTGGCACTGAAAACCTTAAAAAATCTTAAACTTTTTAAAAATTTTGTATCCGCAATCGTCGCATCCGCACGTGCGTATCCGCAATTGTCGTACCGCCCTCCCTTTTACCTTATCTTAATTTCCGTCTTATGTCACTTAATCCATCTTAATCCCAACAAATCCTTCTTAATCCGACTAAATCCACCAATATCCCTCTTGATACCCAAAATCCTTTTTAGCCGGCCGATATTTAGAGTTGACCTGACCTTCTGAGTTGATCCCTTTTTAAAGTCAATAATCTCAATTCTAGCGATTTATGTTGCAAAGATTAAAAATATAAAAAAAGAAACCGAGAAAAATATAAATGACCGCGCAATAAAGTGCACATAAAACGGTTATCAATTAATTAGGCGACCGAATTTAATTAATTAAAAGAAAAATGTTTTTGGAGGGGGAAGTGTTGATGGGCATATGAATAAAACGAAAATTAATTAAAAATAAAAATGGAAAAATAAAAAAAATTTTGAAGAGGAATAAATTTGCGTATAAAAATTAAATTTATGTACTTTGATATAAAATTTAAAAAATATAAAGATGGATTGATCTCCCGTGAGTTTTATGACAGGACAGAAATTTTAATTTTCAGAAAATTAAATTAAAATTTAGGAGAGAAAAAATTTTTTCTTCGTGAAACGTCCAAAGAATTGATAAACAAATAATAATTAAAAGAACAAAATTTCCAAAAAATATTTTTAAGACCCCAAACCCCCAATTCTTTGTTTGGTTTGTAAATATTTTAAAATTAGTATAAAAGTCAAGTGGACTGGTCAATTACTAGTTTTAACTATTTTAGCTTAATTTAAGAGGGTCAAACTAGTTTAAAACACTCGACATTTAAATTTGTTGGAAAATGAACAATAGAAAAATGTAGTTATATTATTTACATATTACATTATTATTTTGTTATTTAAATTTAATTCAAAACCTATTGGTTGGTTCTACATGAAAATGTTGATAGAAAATAGTTTTTTGGTGATAATGATATTTTACAGAAAAACAAAAATATTAAGGAATAAAGGAATAAAACGTTGCATTATTATTTTTTGGAATAAAAAATAAGAAAAATAAATTTAAATTAACTTCGCAAATCGCCCCTATCTGCTAGAAGGGGATTGGCTGATTCTGGGAAATCCTTCCTGGAGATCCGATTCTAATATCGCTTTTATCTCGCCTTTTTCCGAATATATCCAAATACCTATTTATTAGTCAAAAACTAAAAATCCCCTCGGATAAAATATTTCTTCACCTAAACGTCGATCTTCAAGATTAAATAATTAAAAAATCAATTTCACTACAATTATTTCGTAAAAAATCCACGCATTATTTTTTGGGCAAATAATAATAAGAGAATGAGTAAAAATATAAAAAAAAAGGAAGAATGCACTAATATGCTTAAAAAAGAATCACATTCAAAAAAAAAGAAAAAATTAACCCATGTGGCACCGGATATTGTCTGTTATAATGAAATTATGTTGAGAAAATAAAAAAGGAAGTAAACATGTTTTGGCCGTCTTAATAAGCCTCCAAAAAATTTTTTTGAGAGAAAAACGCGCAGAAATCCCCTTGGGGATTACGAGATTTAATTAAAAATTGAAATAAAAAAGGACTGATGACTCAAGACAGATTCAACAAAAATTATCAAGTTTTGAACTAGAGATCGGAATTTTGTAACCGATACCTTCAAGAGTTCACAGTACCGTATTCCCGTACGGAATAACGGCAGATACCGAAAAATACTCTCAATATTACGGAAAGGTCTGACCTCTAGTTTTTAAACTAATTTCTTGTGATATTTAATTATTATAAATACCTTTTCAATATAGAATGAAAAATGCAAGCGCCCATCACAACAAGTACTTTTTTAGGTCGGTCATGAATTTGTAGAGCTGCAAAAATATTAAAAAAAACACGTTAAATACACCATGAGAGATTTAACGATATATTTTAGTAATAAACTAAGGTTTAATTAACAAAACAAATTTTTCAAAAATTTTATACAATAAATAAAAAAATACATATTAAGCAAAAGAAAAACAAAATTTACATCAATAAAAATGCTTATTCTAGTGAAAAAAGAAAAAAAAATTTAAAAAGTGGAGACAGATTATTAGTATAAATATTGATTAAATTAATAATCCAGATTAGATATCGGACCGAGATCTCGAACAAAGGTCCCGGTTATCTAAATTGTGATATTTCGAGATAACGACAAATTTTGCGTTTTTCGAGATATCTATCCCGATTCTCAAACGACCCTCCTAACAAATCTTTCTAGCCCAGCTTATTTTTGAGGGATTAAATCGTTTAGATAAAAACAATAAAAAAGTTGGGAACAGAAAAAACATATTTGAGAGATTAAAAATGACAGGTATATTTTCGAAAAAATTAAAAAACTCAAAAAACTTGTCAAATAGCCTCAGCCAATCCAACTCTTTTGTTTTCATGGTCAAAAATTGTGTACCATTTTGTAATAAATAAATCGCCCAAAATCCACATATTTCCAGTTAAATCGACTGATGCAAATCCGCTTAGACACGTAGTTTTATCTATCTAAAAACGAAAAATAAATTAAAATTCAATTTTCTAAAAAACCTGAATGACATAATCTGCTGGATCCAAAGTAAAATTATTTCCACCAAGTGTAAAATGAACAGAAGGAAGTTTATTGAGAGTTGAGCAATTTAAATTTAGCCAACCTCCAAGATAATTTTGGGCACCAATTTTTGCGTTAATTTTGTTGATTATTGAAGAAGGCCCTGCTATGAGAGAAGTTCCAGTATCCAAAATTGCTGAAGCATTGGAAGATGATAACACAAGAGAGTCCAAGCTGACCGATGTAAGGCTTTAAAGGAAGGTATAAAAAAGCTTGGAGGAAAGCTAAAAATAAATTTTAAATTTTACCTTAAACGCCAATAATCGGTTGACATTAAAGGACACCAGTAGATTGGCTCCTAAAATAAAAAAATAAAAGTTCACTTATATTTTGTCTAGAAACCTTGTATCGCTCACTGTTAGTCCCGCAAAGGGTAAATTCACCTCCAATGGTGCTGTTGGTAGCATCATAATTGTCATTGGTAAGCCAAAAAGCAAAACGTTTTTCAGCGCAAAGTTGTTGATTTTTGAATATTTGAGACAATGGCTGACTGACAAGACCCACAGAAATTGAATTCCAAGCCATTCCAAGAATTCCATCAAACGCAACATCCTATAATAGCAAATAAAAGTTGAAAAGTTAAAAAATAAACAAGCAAACCTCAAAAGTTGACCCAGGTTCACTTGTTGCACAACCAAATCCTTGATTGGAATCCGTGCAGATACCCAAACTTTCATTGCCAAACTAAAATTTAATTTTTAATTATCCTCAAATTCTACAGAGAGGGGAATTCAATTGAAGAAGCTATTTTCCAATCAACTCTCAAAGGAGTATTTTACATATTAGAGAGGGGTGAGGCATCATTGAAAGGGGCATCGTATTAAAGACGGAAGGGACATTCTATTAGAGAGGGGAGGGGAATTCTATTAGAGGTAACACCGTCAAATAGATTTAAAAAAATTAAAGTTTACACAAACGGTATCATTCAACAATTCCCCCGTAGCACTTCCAGTTCCATAGTTTATAGTAAAACTTTTTCCAGTATGCGAACAACTAGTTGAATTTGAACATTTAAAGGAATTGTGTTGAATACACGCAGTGTTATTACAGTTAGAACAGGGTATCCAAAGATTGGAAGAGCCTGTATCGAAGAGAACATTAAAACGTTGTGGAGGACTTCCAATTTCGATTTTGCCGTAGTATTGAGTCTAAAATTAGAAAAATGAAAAACTCGTCCACAGACCAAACCTGTGCGAGACGCAAAAATTTTTTACGAGAAACGAAACGAAATTTTAAAAAATGCTTCGTTACGAAACGAAACAGGAAAAAACTAGCGAAAATAACGAAACCCGAAATCTTTCGTAAGGTAGGCACAGAGATGAATCAGAATTTTGTTTCCCCCCAAAAAAATCCCAACATAAAAAACCTTACATTTCCATAATCAGACAAATTTAAACTGTAAGAAACATTTTGCGCCACAGAAGAGTTTGTCTGCCTTTTTTGAATTTTATTTGGAGCAAAATCAGAATATTTTTTCTTCAAAAAATCGGAAACTGTTAAACTGTTGTTCAAAATGCTGGATGGTGGATTGAATCTTCTGTGCATTGGAAAGCTCAAGACATTGATTGGTGAAGAAATGTTGACATATAACCATCTAAATTTTAAGAATTATTTTTAATTTTTAAGAGTTTGACTTCCAAACGCACCCAGGGACGAGTTTTCCTGACTAAACCCTAAAAACCCTGAAAACCCCCAAAAATCTAATTTTATCAAAATATCGATCTCCGGGCTATTGTGCAAGGAAAACTCGGTCCCAGGCCCGGTCCCGAACTCTATTATTAATATAAAAAACCTACAAGGTCGAATTAAGAGAAAGCTCCAAAGACAAGACACATCTCCAAGAAGTAAAAATAATTAAAAATAAATTTATAGGAAAAACAAAAATTTTAAAAATTAAAAACATTGTTTTAAAAAAAATATTTTTTGTCGAGATCGACATAAAATAACAGGTAGATAAATATATTTATTTTTATTCCAATAATCAGTACATTTTATAAAAATAATCCCTCCCTTGAATAAAGAGATTATCTACGTCAAGGAATAAAGTAGACAAAATAAGAACAGATATTAAATTCAGGCCGAGAACAAGTACTAAAATATATTACTAATTTAAGTAAACGAATCTAGTAATTAGTTGATAAAAAATAAAGGAAAAGTCCGCCATATTACTCATACTCCAATTCTGACAAACAATAGCCAGTTGAAAGAGCCTGGTCAGCTTTGGCTCCCTATGGTTTTTCGATTTTCAAAGGATTGTATTTCGGCCCATAGTTGAGACCGTAGCTTAACTTTTTGTGTCGTTTGACTCAACTCGCTGACAATGAGCTCTTTCGAATGACAGATTGTTTGTCCGAGAATTTGAGTGTTAGCGGTATGACAGAATTTTACCAAAAACAAATATAGTACTTGTTTTGGCCTGCTCCCTAATTTATAAATTAGAAACAAAAAATGGTCTCTATAAAGTTATAAAGTTAGAAAATTTAACCTAAAAAGTTCAACTTTCAGGAGTCGGTAATTTCACATATGATCGTCTCTTAGGCTCTGCTGCCGCCACATTTGTACTCCAAGCACGCTGTTCTTTTGGCGCATTCCTTGCAAGTCTTTTCTTTCGCTTCTCGCCCATGTACTGATTGAGATTTTTGAGGTAAACATAAGCAAATATCAACAGAATAAAGCTGAAGAAGTAAATAAATTGAATATCGAAAAATTGCTAAAATATGGGATCAAATGTCCAAAATTTCTAATCAGAAGGAGGCGGCTCTGGTAGAAACCTTGCTGGATTTTTCCAGACACCAGATCCAACTCCGAGGTTTCTTCGCGATCTCTTTATTATTTCAGGACAGGATTAATCCAGAAAAATTCGGCTGGATTCGGCTCGAGTCTGGTTACAGAATTCAGATCCGACTCCGAAAAAAATCGAGTTTGCCGCTCACCACTAATCAAGCCAACTAAGATATTTTAAAAATTAAAAAAACTCACAAGATGTTAATATAAGCAACCAAAATAAAGCGGAAATCTTCGCTTCCGTTCCATACGGCTTTGAAGGCGTCAAAATTAGCGATTAGCTTCAACGAAAAGCCTTGAGAAAAGTCAGTTCCATCTAAAATTATTTTTGATTAATCTTTCCCTATTTAAACAAAAAAACAAACTTTGAGAATCAGCAAAAAAGGCAATAAAGTGTGAAGACAATTCTTTTGCCATTGTTTTTCTTTTAAAATTTTTTTGATTAGTCAAAGAATATTATTTTTAAATAAATTAATTAAAATAAGTTGAATAGCTGAAAAATAAAAAGTTATTTATTGAAGTTTACAGTGCTTTAATGGATCTTTTTGTTTACCTCGTAAAAAACGCCTATACCGAGGGTCACCCCGTTGAAAATGAACTTAAAGGTTAGAAAAATGTTTTGCAGTGGCGTTATGTTTTTACGTGTCCGTTCTGGTAAGTTACGCAACGCTGAGAAATTGCATTGGAAATGAGAATTTTTGAAATTTTTTTTTACTAAATTTTATTTTAAAATTCTGACGTGTTGAGCCTCCGTCTTTTAAGTCTTCCAAGCCTTTCGTTTATCACAAACTCGCCTATTTTTCTTGGTTTTTTCTTGTTTTTTCGGCTTTATCTTTTTCGCTTTTATCTCTTTTTTTTTGCAAAAATATTTTTATCCTTAATCAATATTCTTTCAGGTTCTTTTATTAAAAATTTACTTTCAGAAGCAACTGTGAACTTTCAAAAACAATTGCATCTTTTTTTTAATAGTGCTTTTCTCTCCTACTATTTTTAACTCCTAGATGTTTATTGCTTTTCAAAAGTACTTTTCATTCAATTGGCCAGTCAATTTTGATTTCCCAAGGTTATTTTATATCTTTTTAAAACTTTTGATATATTAAATTAAAAACATTTTTATCTCAGATTTTTTCGATTTTCTCAAATTTCTCATATTTAACTTCAATTTTTAGTCAAAACATTAAAAATTGACCCTCTAGAACTAATCAGAATATTAACCAACCTCTTACTGTTTTCAAATTACTAAAAAATGCCTTTACGTGTTGGTGGCAAAGAGGCAATTTTCTGCTTGGATTTTGCTAGAGAGGTTATCATTTTACTTGAAAAACATTAACAATCCAATTTCTCATTCAAATTCAGAAGTTTGACTACATTCCCTTCGAAGCGACTATTCCAGGGATTCTCTATCGTAAACGCGCCTCAGATCGTGATGAATTTGTGTTTGAGTCAGAAAATATTTCCTTCACTTCCGAGAAGATTAAAAATGAGGTTAAAGCCTTTTTTTTAATCCTACACTATTTTCTATTCAGGTTGAAAAATTTGCTGCTGGTCTCTTAAGTGCTGGTTTAAAAACAGATGATCGAATTCTGATATGTGGAAACAATCACAGCCAACTAGTTATTTCTGTTTTGGGTGCAGCTAGAGCTGGAATTGTAATTTTTTCATATTTATCAACAAGAATGTCACAGGTTACCCGAAACTCGACCCGACTGTTTCCCTCTTAATCCTTCTAAATGACACGACGCCTAACCTTGACTTTTTTCTGACCCCGAATCCCGATCCGAAGGAAATTTTGAAAACCTAACCTGAAACCCAACCGACTTTTTTTCTTAATCCGTGACAGCCCTGATCCACCCTATCAACTGCTACATTTTTAGGTTTTTTCAATCGCAAGCCCCAACTTTGCCAACGCTGAGCAACTTAAGCATTTCCTCGGAACTGGTAATTTTTTTTAATTTAAAAAAAAAACAAATATTCCTTTTCAGGTCAATTTAATGGTTTCATTTATTTTGGAGAATCCGACAAGGCTAATCAACTCCTTTTGAGTATTTGTCCCGAAATGCAGAAGGGAGAGAAGGGCAAATTAAAATTAAAGAGTTTTCCAAAGTTGACACACGTCATTTTTGCTGATGAGGACCATAAACATGGGTATATTATTTCTAAATTTTATTTAAGCTCATTTACTCTTTTAGCGGCACGTATACGCTCTCGGACATTTTTGTTAAAGGCAATAGCGAACAAATAGCCAAATTGCCCAAATACGAGCAGTGGGATTGCCATAAAATTTGTGCCATTCAATTCACCTCGGTTATCTTTTTTTATTTACTGAACTTAAAAATGTAATTTTGACTTAAGGGTTCAACAGGAACACCTAAAGCTGTTGCTTTGAGTCATTATCAACTAATTAATGGTAGCCGAATTGCTTCTTCTACTATTGGAATTAAACGAGACGTAACTTTTATTTTAATTTATTCATATAAAGAATTGTTCTACTTAAATATGTGTGTTCCAGTGATGTCACGGGTTAAGTCGGGTTAGATCTTTAAAATTTTCCTCAGATCGGGTTTCGTGTCGAAAAATGTTCAGTTTTCGGATCTGCCAGTTAGGGGATTAGAGGGAAAATTCTCGAAACGAATATCGGTTAACTCGTGACATCCCTGATGTGTCCTCTTGCTATGTCACGGAGTAATCCTTTTACTAATAAATTTTATTTTCAGACAATACTTTGTTGCGCTTTACCATTATTTCGCATTCCAGTGTTCTGTTTGGTCGTCTTCAGTCCTTTTCTTTTTGAATCAAGAGTTGTCTTCCCTGATCCAAGTCCTTTACCAAAACTTCTTTTTGACTCAATTAAAAAGCATTGGTGAGTTGAAACGAATTTTTAAAAATTCCAAAAAAATGTTTTTTAGCTGTACAAATGTTTTGTCAAACGCCGCTGCTCTTCGCCTTTTGTTACGTACTCAAACATTAACACAAAAGCAGAAGAATACTCCCACCTTGCCCAGCGTGGATACTGTTATTTTGTTAGGTGAACGTGTTTCTGCTGATTTACTTATTGCAATTGAGGGAATGTTGCCGAATGCAAAGAAAATTGCTGTTAATTTTTGAAATTCTTTAAAGATTCAAATTAATTATTTTCAGGTTGGAATGCTTTCTACTGAGCTTGGATCAATTCCATTATTAAGTGACAACACTACAAATTTGGTCAAATCTGTTGGGAAAGTTTTGAAGGGATATGAGGTTTCTAGTTTATATTTTAAGTATGGTAGGACCCTGACCAGGCCCGTAACCAGGGGGGGGTGAGGGGGGGAATTCCCCCCCCCGAAATGGGAAAAAGGAAAAAATTTGGGGAAGGGCTGGGGCAAAAAAGTGAATTTTTTTGGCCTACGGCCTTCGAAATTTTCAAAATTTTCGCCTGCGGCGCTAAAAAAGGACGAAATCTGGCTTCTTGAGGTCCAAAATTCAAAAAATTTTCGCCTGCGGCGCTGAAAATCAAATTTTTGGCGCCTGCGGCGCCGAAAAAGTGAATTTTTTGGCCTACGGCCTTCTAAAATTAAAAAAATTTTCGCCTGCGGCGCTAAAAATAAAAATTTTTGGCGCCTTCGGCGCCAAAAATTTGGCGCAATAAAATTTCCCCCCCCCCCCCCCCCCGAAAAAAAATCCTAGTTACGGGCCTGACCCTGACCCTTCGGCGACGGCGGTGTCGGGTTATATAGGAGAGGACATGTCGGGGTTGACTTTTGGGGTGGTGGACGAGGACTACCCTATTTTTTTACTTTTTTTACTTCTCTTCCAGGTTGATGTCACAAAAATTGATAATTTGGCAAATAATGGACATCTAATCGGCGAGTTACGCTTAAAACCGCTATCTAAAACAACCTTTTTGGGGTATGGACCCGATTTTGTTGCTGGACAGGAATGGATAAGTACAGGGTATTTTTTGGAAATTTCTTGCTCTTATTGGCAATCCCGGAGAATTGGGGTCCCTGCGAAAAAAAAGTTTAAAAATAAGAAAAAGGATTTTTCTAGGGTAAAAAAACATGCTGATTACGAATCCGAGCTCAGATTTTGAAAAAGTCGAATCCCGAACCCGAATTCGGACTTTTGATCCCGAACATGACTTTTGACCCCGAACATTATCAGACATTGTATAAAATGGCCAGTCTTTCATCTGAATCATAGAACTCATCGAGCTGCATCTAATGACACCAAAATCGATGAAATCCGACCGGATTGAACCGAGATACAGACCCCGGAATATTGAAAAAACACATCGGTGATTTTTTGGAGTAAAAAAAAGTTTTTACAAATAATAGCTCATTCAAAAGAGCTCGTTGAGCTGAGTCGAATGACACCAAAATTACAGTGATTGATCAAGTTTTGACAAAGTTATGACATAAGTCGCCGACTCCTACAGTACTCTCATAGGTATACTTTATATCATAACTTAGTCTAAACAGGTCCAATCACGCTGATTTTGGTGTCATTCGATGCAGCTCGACGAGCTCTTTCGAACGAGCTATCATTTGCTTATTCGAAATCCGGGTTCAGGGTTCGAAATTTGGTTCGGGTTCGGGATTCGACTTTTTCAAAATCTGAGCTCGGATTCGTAATCAGCATGTTTTTTTACCCTAGAAAAATTCTTTTTCTTATTTTTAAACTTTTTTTTCGCAGGGACCCCAATTCTCCGGGATTGCCCTCTTATTTAAACTTCCAACCTTAGGGATGTTGTTTCTATACAGCAAGACGGTAATGTCGACATTATTACACAACATAGAGAGGATCTGATTTTTGACAAAATTGGCCGTCTTGTTGAACATTGGCGTGTAGAACGGTTGGTGGCTCAAACGTCACAACAAATTCGGGGAATTCAAGTTTTTTTTTAATTTTATTTTTAATTTTAATTTCTTCAAAAGATTGTTCAAATAGCTCCTGGAGGTCCTCTAACTGCTGTTGTTACTCCAAAAAAAGAAAATGCCCTAAACATTGCTGAATTTAAAAAGGAGATGATTGATATATGCCGTGAAAATCGGGTTAGATTTTTTTTAATTTTAAAAAATTTTCTTGTCTTTAAATTTAAGTTGGATCCCCCTGAACAAGTTGTGGTACTCTCAGAATTTCCTAGAGTAAATACAAAAATTCAAAAGTTCAAAATTCGACAAGATTTGAAGAATAATAAATTGAAAATTTGGTGAAATATCTTTTTAATTTTTTTCTTTAATTTACTTTTTATTAATCCTTTGTAATATTTAGAAGCTTTCTTTAGATAAATAAGTTTTAATTTTTAATTTTTCTTTCCCTTTAGGGGTATAATATTTTTGATTAAAAACACGTGAGGGTGTGAGGAGTAGTCTCTCTAAAAGAGCAGAGAAAACCCCCTTCAATCACTCCCTAAAATCCTTTCAATTAAAGGTCTTCTCTGTTAGAATATCAGCAAGTCACAAAATAGGTAAAATGATTTATTAATCTTGAAAAAAATATAAGAGAAATTCTCGCGCAGAGTGGTGCTCTAAATATTAAATTTATATAATAAATGGAAGTCAGCTATCGCTCGATCATTCTTTTTTTATTAACTGGACACATGTAAAGACGCGATTTTTTTGATTATTATTTTATTGAGTAGACACATTCTCAATTTTTATTTAATTTTAGTTAAACTTTGTTGTCAAAAATTAAGTTGATAAAATTAAGGGGTTGTAAATTTAAGTTAAATTTCAACCTGATAATTATTTATAAAAAAGTTTTATTCTAAATTAGCCCCTTATTAGGTCGAAAGTTTATACTTTATTGAAACAGGCTTGAAATTATGAATTTGACAAAAAGCGTGACAAAATTTATGATGTGTCGCCCAACCTTTTTTCAGGTGAAATATGAAATGTAAGTTATGTTCGAACTCAAGAAGGACTTTTTTTTAACTTTATAGAAATCCTTGGATGCGTCCGGGGGACCCAGTAAATTTAGAAAAAGCTCTTCAACAATGGAATAATTTGAAGGATATTATAGAGGCAATTTTACAATTTTTATTAATTAAAAAAAAATTTTTTGAAGAAGTCAGGCGGGGAAGTGTTGGTGATGGAACCTGAGGCAAGTTTATAACAAAAAAATTTTTATTTGTTGTGGACTTAAATTTAATTTTAAAAATTTGAGTCAGAAAATCGCGGATATTTTTCTTATAGTAAATTAATTAGGTCTACAGGGCGCAAATAATTATCCAGATTTGGTTTTCGCAGCAAACGCAGCTGTCGTGAGAGGCAATAAAGCATATCTGAGTAATTTCTTTTATCCTGAAAGGAAAGGTTCGAGCGATAATCAAATGTTTAAAAGTCACTTTTAAAGGTGAAGACTACTACTATGACAAGTGGTTTAAAGAGAATGGATACATTACAAAAAAAGATATTCACGTTCCTTTTGAGGGTTAGTCAAAAGACATAATTGTAGAACGATCTTGTTTCTCTTTAAGGTGCTGGGGATGCTTTGTGGGTTGGTAAGAATAAACTATTTTGTGGTATTGGCCCGAGAACGGATGTCCGCGCATTAGATTTAATCGCAAAAAATTTGAAAGATGACGAATCTCCTTTTAAAGTTTATGGGTTTCGTCTTATTGATCCGAGGTTTGAGATGAACTTAAAAATTTTTTTCTTCAATAAATTAAGGTTTTATCATATTGACACGTGTTTATGTCCAATTACTGAACAACTAGCTATTTATTACCCTTATGCCTTTGATCCAGTCGCTAGACATAATATGTCTAATGAACTCGAATTAGTGCCAGTCACTGAGGAAGAAGCGATCCGCTTTGCTTGTAATTCTATAGTCATTGGGAAAAGTGTTATTATCCCTGTTGGGGCAGAACAAACAGCTAAAGCATTGCAGAAGCTTGGATTTGACCCAAAATTTGTATGTTTTTGTTAAGGATACAAGCAAAAACTTTTAAAATCAGGTTGATATGTCCGAATTTATCAAAAGTGGAGGGGCAGCAAAATGTTGTACTTTGCAATTGTCTCAATAGAGATTTTATAAAACTGAATTTAAAAGATTATTTATTTTGCCATAATTGTTGACAATCTCATAAATTTAGTTTTACGTTAAATTTTATTTAAAAATCTCGTTTTCACTACGGTACGGTAGGCTGATTTTTCCGTCTCTTCTTTTGTTAAAGTCTCTCAACAAGCTGGTACTCAACTGGTCTCGATGACGTCACAACTTTTCTTAATAATTGAGTCTCGTGGTTTGTTTTTATTCTTTTAAGTTTCTGGTCAGTACTCAACTGGTAACAGGAAATTTGAGTCTCTTAATTTCAGTATCGTTCATTTTATTCGTATTTTTTAAATTTTTTTGCAAGTTTTTTCTAATTTAAAAGTCGTTTTCATTTCCGGTCTGTTTGATTTTTGTATTCATTTGTTTCGTGTTCGCCTTGTGGAAATGAGAAAATGAAAGGAAAAGGAATTCCGTTCCTTAGGGAAAAGGAAACCTTATTTTCCTTAAGGCTAGAAAGGAAGACGAGAAAATTTTCGGGAATCACGAAACAAAAAATTTTCGTGCAACGCTTGCTTGATCGTTCCGAAACAAGTTTACCTTTAATATTTTCTTCATATTTCTTTCACTCTGTTTTCTATTTTTAAACTTATTTTTGATTCTTTTAGAATTTAATTTAAAATTATGGAAAACGATGAAAGTAATTCCAATAGTAATCTATTGTTTGCAAAGAGAATGCGTTCCGCTTTTAATATTCAACAAATCGTTAAAAGAATAGAAAGCAAAATGACATACAATTGCTCGGGAAAGAATAATGATTTCTTCGAGATGGCTGTAAGGTTTTTTTAATATTACTTATAAACTTAAATTGTCCCTTAAGACTTGCAGATTTATTTGGAGATGATGTAGTGGTTGATGGCCTTGCTATTGCTGAAAATGGACTTGTAAGGATTGTTCGCGATGATGAGGGTGTTTTCCCTTTGATTTATGAGGTTTGATATTTGACGTTAATGCCTACATTTTAAGGCAGGGGTTTAGAAGGGGATATAGTGTAGTGTACCGGTGGTAAAAGTTCGGGACGTGACATATGTCATTCGATTCGTCTCGACGAGCTGAGTCGAACGGTACCACTCCCTACTTTAGGAAATAATTATGGACCGAGTTATAGGTCCCGAAAAATCGAAAAACCAAAGGGGGGACCAAGCACATTTTTGGGGTGAAAAATTCGAAAATGCAAATTATACCTCATTCGAAAGAGCTCGTCGAGCTGAGTCGAATGACACCAAAACCACCTTGATTGCACAAGTTTTGAAAAAGTTACGATAGAAAAACAAAAAAAACTTAAACCTATGGGTCGTCGGCGAGGCGCTTGTGCAAAACTCCGCGCTTCGCGCGGAGTTTTGCGGCACGCGCCTCGCGGGGAGTCTACGGGCGCTGGGTCTGGGCTCGTAACATAAACCTAGTCCCATCTCCCTTGCTCTGGATGTACTTGGGGCTCCAGTACCAGCAAAAACCTCCACGGGCGCCATAGGTAAGGAGTTAAAACAAACGAGCATAACTTTGTCAAATCAAGTCAGATTTCGTTGATTTTGGTGTCATTCGACTCAGCTCGACGAGCTCTTTCGAATGAGGTATAATTTGCATTTTCGAATTTTTCACCCCAAAAAAGTGCTTGGTCCCCCCTTTGGTTTTTCGATTTTTCGGGACCTATAACTCGGTCCAGAATTATTTCCTAAAGTAGGGAGTGGTACCGTTCGACTCAGCTCGTCGAGACGAATCGAATGACATATGTCACGTCCCGAACTTTTACCACCGGTACACTACACTACAGCCGTAGAAGGGAGGGAGGAAGGCGGGGTTTAAGAGAGAACGCTAGGGGGTTTCAGCTTGAATGTTGTGGGATCGATGCCTGCCATCAGGACTAAACTCTTTAATCTTATTTACTATTTAGGTCAGAACAGGCTCCTTCTGTACCCATTCATATTACTTTTATGAAGATGTGAACTTTTGTCGATGCTCTTTCTTCTCAAAAAGAGGTTTATTGGAAATTCGCATTTTGTTTTTAAATAAGATTATTTAAGTTGTTTGTGCGCGGCAAGCTTATATGGTTGGTGATTTTAACTAGCCATTATTTCGTCCTTTCAAGAAAACTTTAATTTTGGGGTTTTAATTTTTTAGACGAAATAGTGGCTAAAAAATCAGATGTGCATAAATAATTTGTTTCTATTTTGTTTTTCCATTTTGTTTTCTCTTTTTGTTTTCTAAGGACGTAATAATCCATGTTTTATTTTTATTCTATTTTCTCTAAAGTTTTTGCTTTTTATACTTGTTTTAGATTGCATGAACTTTTGTTTTAGAATATCACAATTGAAAAATAATTGTTTGGATTTTTTACAAAATTTTGCAACAACTTCAGCTTATCCAAAGAAAAAATTTTTCAAAAAAAGAATACTTGAAGATATGGTCATGGATAAAAGGAATGTTCTTTGTGTTGCTGAAAAGCATGATGCTGCTAAAAATATTGCCAAATTCTTGTCAAATGGATCAGCTAGAACAGTTAAAGGGAAAGGCCCTTACATTTACAATTTTTTATTTGATGGTATGCCAATAAACATTTTTTATTAAAATTATTTTTAGCAAGATTTCTGAATGGCAGTTTCAATTTTGTCTTTACCAGTGTAAGAGGACATTTGATGAATTTTTATTTTCACCCAAGGCATAAAGTTTGGATCGAAAATCAAATTTATGATTTGTTTGATGGTGAAATTCTGCAATCTGTTATGCCGGATATGAAGCCAGTTGAAGAAAATTTGAGGTTTAAATAAAATATTTGCTACAAACACCAAGATTTGGTTTGCAGGGATGAAGCTAAAAAAGCAAATGTTCTTATAATTTGGACTGATTGTGATAGAGAAGGTGAACATATTGGAAATGAAATTTCTCAGACCTGTCTTAACGCCAACAAGTTTGCTTTTTCAATAAAGCCTTCGAATCTTAAAATAATTTTTTGATAGAAATCTACGCGTTTTAAGGGCAAGATTTTCTGAAATAACTCAACAGTCAGTTACAAGAGCAATGCAGAATCTCCAAGTAATTGATCGAAATAAAGTATCTGCTGTTGATTGTAGAATGGAATTGGATTTGAGAATAGGTTTATTGTCTTCATTTTTTCGTTAATAAATTTATTTTTAAGGTGCGGCATTTACTCGACTTCAAACAATTTCTATTCGAAAAAATGGATTGCATACATATTTAAACAATGGTGAAGAATTTGAAAACAAACAAGTCGTTAGTTATGGAAGTTGTCAATTCCCTACTTTAGGTTGGGAAACTTTTATTTTCTTATTTTTTCGTTTGTCTTACTCCTAAGAATCCTTTATTTTTTAGGTTTTGTTGTTCATCGATATAAAGAACACACAAGTTTTGTTAGTCAACAATTTTGGAAATTGATTGGTACTGATGGAAATAATAAAGGATTTATTTTTGTTTGGGAAAGAGAAGGTCTTTCTATCCACATTTTTGATGAAAGTGTTGTACAGGTTTTCATTTTGTTTTTTTATTTTTGAATTGGATTATACTTTTTCAGGCATTAAAATCAGCATGTAATTCTTCAGACAAACCTGCAATAGTTAAAGAAATTGTCCAGAAGCCAAAAAGCAAATGGAGGCCGCAACCATTAGACACAATCCAGCTAGAGAGGCTAGGAAGTAGATTTCTTAGAGTAAGTGCCAAACAAATATTGTCTTCAGCTGAAAGATTATACCAAAATGGATTCGTTTCCTACCCCAGGTATATTTTTTTGTTTAAATTTTAGAATCAAAAAATCCCGATAATTTTTTTCCTTTTTTAGAACAGAAACTAATTGTTATTCAAATGAATTTGACTTGGCAACTATTGTGCAGTCACTTACTCAAAACAACCAGTGGGGACAATTCGCAGCAGAAATTCAACAGCGAGGTGGGCCCAAACCTCGTAATGGGACTAAAAATGATCAAGCTCACCCACCTATTCATCCTGTCAAAAATGCAACACGGTTATTTTTGCTTTTGATTATTTGAATTTTTTGTGGAATTTGAAGGACAGAAATCACCAGTAATGAGGATTGGAATGTTTATGAATTTATTTGTCGTCATTTCCTTGCCTCCGTATCTCGAGATGCAACTGGAAATGAAACGAAAGTTAAAGTAAGATGACCAGAGAATTTTTTGGAAAACTTAAATTAGCAACACTTTTAAAGGTTGAACTTGCTGATGAAATATTCGTAACAACTGGCCTAATTATCGAGGACATGGGATACTTGAATGTTTATCGTTATGAAAATTGGAAAGATAAAAATATTCCTGCTTATCGCCAAGGACAAATTTTGCCTAAATTTAGTGTAGATATAAATAATGGATTTACAGAGGTTTTTTAATTTCTTTTTTTAAATTTATTTTTATTTAGCCACCACCGTTATTAACTGAAGCTGATTTAATTGCTTTAATGGACAAAAAAGGAATTGGAACTGATGCAACACATGCAGAACATATTGAAACAATAAAAAAGCGATGGTATATTATTCAAAGGCCAGATCGGCGATTTGAACCAACCAAACTTGGAATTTCTTTGGTTGATGCATATGAAAAAATGGAGCACATGTATAAATTGAGCAGGCCTGATCTTAGAGCAATTTTAGAAGCAGATTTGGAAAAAATATGTCGAGGTATTTTTCTTATATATCCCTAACCCCTTTTTACAGGAGCTAGTCGGCGTTGGGCCCCAAGAGTGGTAACCCACCCTTGGGGCGCGCCGATCCACCTATTAAAAACGAAGGCCTTCTTTTTAACTTTTTATTCAACAAATATATTAATAAATAAAAGGGAGAGAGGACAGGCCAACTTTTGATCGGGCCCAAAACTAATTAATGAGTGAATAAGTTAATTTGGCCTATTCTCTCTCGCCTTTTATGAGGCGCTAAAATGGGCGTTTCATAAACTTAACTATGACATTCTATACGCGGGGGTGGGGGATACAACAGAAAAAGCGGATAAATAAAAGTGCGGAAAATGTGAAGTGAAATTCTGTTTTCTTTATCTGAGTGTCGTTTCTTTCTTGTCCAATGTGCTTCTAAATATTTTGTCAATTCTTCGCTTCAATTCTTTTAAAAATCAAATCTATCCCGCGCTAAACGTAATTTCAATTCAACAATTTCCTGCACTTGTATGTATTAGATCAAGAAAATTTTGGCAAAAACGGAAAAAAATTATGTATATGTCAACAGAGCGCCAATCCAAGAAAATGTCAAACAATAAACGCCAAAATCCACTTTCTCTTCCTCTCCTGGGGGGTCAGCAAATAAGTTTATTTCGAAAAATGAATCCCGTCGCCAAATGTTTTTTTTAATACTCCTGAAAATCTGTTCCGTCCGTGGGCCAGTTCTGATATCCTTGATCCTGACAATATTCCTCACCCCAGTTCTCATTACTCCCAAGTGGAAACCATTGGCCTTCTTCATCGTCATAATTTTGGTCATTGTCATAGTATTGGTCAAAATTTGGGTCCATTTGTTCATCACCCCAATTTTTATCAGTCTCTTCCCAATTCTCACTACATCCGTTTGGCTCCTTGAATTGTTCCTCATAGTAATATTGGTCATAGTTTTGGTATGAATCCCTGACTTCATTAACCTCCGCTAGCGCCGCCTTAACTTCTATTTTCTCCAGTCTTTTCCTTGTCTCATCTTTAATTGTCCGATTTAATTCATCAACCCTTTTTGCTTGCGCTATTGCTTCTGCCAATGAAGAGGGCGCTTTCATAAAAATAATCTTTTCCCTAAGTTCTGGTAATAGTCCGGCTTTAAATCTCTCCATGCATATCTCCTCTTTAAACCTTTTGACCATTTTTTCATTTTCCCCCTTCAACCCTGTCCTTTGTTCGTCATTTAATTTAATTGAAGCAAGGTCAATTCCAAACGCATTCTCAGGATAAGCTGCTTCCATTAGATTCATTAAATCCCTTGCAAATTCTTCTAATCCTTCGCCCATCTCCTGTCTCCTTTCCACCAATTTTTTGCGTGCGCTTTCCTTATTTGATATCTTTTTTAGCCTCCCTGCCAAGCTTTCTACAAGCGTCTTCCACCGCGATTTTTGATCCCCGGGCATTGATTCGTAAATCGCAAGTGCAGACCCTTGTAGATAAAGCGGTAAAATCTGCGTGCATCTCGCGGGAGTCCAATTGTGTGCAGTTGCAATCCGGTTGAAAGTCCTTAGATAGCTCAAAAAATCTCCATTTCCGTCAAAGAAGGTAGGGTATGGAAGTCCACTTGAGCTCGTACCAATAGTATTATCCCCTTTATCCTTTGTATTGTCCCCTTCCAATCCTGAAATATCCTCTTCTTTCATCATAAGCTTCTATTAATTCTTTAGTCAGTCTTTGTCCGGACTTGATTTTATTATTTTTTTTCCAATTTTATTTCAATGCTCGACTTTTCCTAACACTTCAAATAATATCTCCTCTTTTAGCTTTTTTGCCCACAAACGGGAACCAGAAGCGATACTGCAGTTATACACTCCTGATCTGTTAGGAAAATGATTCGAGCTTTTATTTCTCAATTAATTTACTCCACGTGCACGTTTTTTAAGCTTTTATTCCAAGACTGGCTATAAAATTCTACTAGAGGCCTGATTCAAGAGATTAAATCCAGAATTTTCCAAAATCCGCGAATAAGTGTCCTTTATCCTTCCCACCTTTATCCTTCTCTCACTTCAAATGCTTTGAACTTAACAATCAACTCCAAACTAAAATTTTCTGCTCCAATTGAACTCCTCCGCTCTGGCCTTTTACCCCCTTCTCTTTATCGATATTATCCTCAGAATATCCTTTATGTGTTTATTTCCCTTCTTATCCGTTTGCTCCCTCCGTGTATCCTTTGAATTAATCCGTCTGTGTAAAAAATCCTTGTGTATCCTTGATGAATGAATCCGTTTGAAAATTCCCTCGCTCCTATTCGGCTCTTCAGTAATCAAATGTGAGCCAAAGTGGTTAATTTTAAACTCCTTTTTATATTAATTTTTCCTTTACTTCAGTCACGCCTAAAACTCGTTCGCGCAAAAAAATTTTTGTTGTAATATCACAAGAAGTGGTTGTAATTCTTGTGATAAGAAATTTTGGCGTTCCCAAATTCCTCCTTATTTGCCCACTTCCGGCCTATTTGCGCGTTGCTGCAAAAGAAGGAGTCCAAAAAAACTAGTTTAATAAATAAGAATTTTTTTCCGCTCGCCAAAATTAATTTGATTAATGGGTAGAAGAATTAATTTTTTTAAATAAATATTTTAAGAATATTTTTAGAAATATTTTTTTTGGGTGGAGTAGGGATTTTTCCATTAGGTGGAGAAAATTACAGGAGCGCCATCTTATATATCCCTAACCCCTTTTTACAGGAGCTAGTCGGCGTTGGGCCCCAAGAGTGGTAACCCACCCTTGGGGCGCGCCGATCCACCTATTAAAAACGAAGGCCTTCTTTTTAACTTTTTATTCAACAAATATATTAATAAATAAAAGGGAGAGAGGACAGGCCAACTTTTGATCGGGCCCAAAACTAATTAATGAGTGAATAAGTTAATTTGGCCTATTCTCTCTCGCCTTTTATGAGGCGCTAAAATGGGCGTTTCATAAACTTAACTATGACAATTTTGTTTGACTATTTTTTGGTTTATTCGAGTGGAGTTATTCCGATTTTACAAATTCTCCGTTTCTTTTAGAGGGGTCAACCCTGAGGAACTACAAATTTTGAAAGGGAATATCGAGGGATAATTTGCTCTTCAGGAATTCTTTAGGGGTTTCCTTTTAGTGTAAGGCTTTACAAACAAGCAAGCTAAATTTTATCCCTGGGATAAATTGTCACTTTACAAAAATTTAATATTTTTATATAAATCAGGTACAAAATCAAAAGATTTGGTTCTTAAAGAACAATTAAAGATTTACAAAGATATTTACCGGTCGACTGAAATGAAGATTAATTTACTTATTCAAGCTCTCAGGGAAAATGGAATTGAGAATCAGCCTTAAAATAAATTTCTATTTTTAACATTTCCATGTGTTTATGTTCAAAGTTTTTTTCTAAATTTATTTATTTTTTTAATTTTAATAATTTAAATTGATCTCTCCTTCTATTCTTTATTCAAGATTGTTTAAATTTTGTTTATGCACATCTGATACATTTTTAATTTTTTTACAAAATCTTTTTTTCTTCTAAATTTTTAGTGTCCTCATCTTCTCGCCGTTACCTTTTCAAAAGCGTGTTCATTACTTAAACCTGATAGAATTGAAAATGGTTTGGTTATGATTGCAATATTAAATTCATTAAGTGCTTTACCTGAAAATGATCCAGAATATGGGAAAGATGAGGAAATGTTTAAAAACACAAAAAATGTTAGTAGTGATGAAGAATTAGATGAAGTTGAACAAGTAGAAAATGAGGATGAAGTGTTGTGAAAAAAATTTTTTTTGGTTTTTTGTGATAAACTGGTTTTTATGTATTGTTGGAAATCATTGATTTTATTGGATACTTTTCCATTAATTTTTTTTAATATTTTTCATTTTATCCTTTTCAGTTTTTTTTTTTTTGAATAATGGCTTTGGATGAGGAATTTTCTAAAGAGCTTCTGGAGAGAATCTCAACGTTGGCTGAGAGGATTGAGAATGTTGATATTGTGAGTTTATAATTTATTGTTAACTTTTGGACAAGGAGGTGGGGTCGGTTTTTAAGGTGGTTTTTTTCAAAAAGTGATGGTGGATTTATTCTTCTGGGGGAGGGGGTCTATGCAACATCTATTACCATACTAGCTGGGTCCCAACATCTAGGTCATGTGGCTAGGCAACGGAGACTAGAACTAACATTGCTGGAGTTTTTTAATTTAATCGAACATTGTTACTTGTTTTATAGATTAAACGTCAACAAACAGTTTTGGATAATTTAAAAACTCTTCGAATCGGTAAGAAGAAATTGCTTCATCAATTGCAACTTTTACTGGAAAAGGAAGCGGATGTTCAAGTAACGAATGATTTGATTCAGAAACTTCTTCAATCATTCAATGAATTAAGAAAGCAAGAACAAGAATTTACTTGTGCAATGAGAGAAGTTGTAGTTAAATTTTGTGGTGATTTGAATGATGTACTTCCAAAATTGAATGAAGTACAACAAATTTTGAAAAATGATAAGGACAATAAATTTTCAGGTTTTTTTTAAATATTTTTACCTTTACATTAAAATGAATAAATTTTAGAGTTTAATTTGTTGGAAGTCGAGCGTTTGACTCTTAAGCTTAAAAATGTGCAAGAGATGATTTTTGGTTTTAATGAAATGTTCAAGGAAGCGGAAGATGCTTCTGGTCTTTTGGATGAACAATTGAAGACTCGTTTGAGCATTTATTTTGAAAAGGTTTGTTTAACAGCAATTCTAATTTTTTCATTTTTGATTCTCACATCTTTCCAATATTTATGAATCCGTCCAATGTGTTAAACCTTTCTAAAAAATCTTTAAATATTCCCTTCTTTAAAATAAGCAAAAATTATCTGTTATGCGTAGGGGTTGAACCTTCATAATATTTTTGTTTAATACTAGCCTTTCCGCACCTTCTCCAATAAATTTTTGAAATCTATGCTTTAATCAAATCATTTTCAGCAAAAGCGAAAGAGTTTGGTTCAACGACTTAATGACACAACCTTATCTATCTCTAAAGACAAGAATGCTCATCATCAAAAATTTGTCAATGCTCGTGAGTTTATTTATTTTTTTTTTCTTAAAAGTGCAAAACGTACTTTTACTTTAATCCTACCAAATATGTAAAAATAAATCTCCTTCAAAATAATTTTGTCGACTTTTCCTTTAAGAAATTACAAAAATACTTTTTGCGTTTTTGACCGTTTCTAAGACAACATATTAAATTTTCTTACTTTTCTTGAACACAAACACGGGAGACCTTTTCTCTTTTCTCATTTTTGGCACCTTAATAACTTTAATTAAAAGACACACCTTTTATAAAGATATATTTTTTTACTTGACAATTTTACTAATTTTGAGAAAATTTGTGGCATCACAAATGAAAGGCTTTTTTGCTAAAAAGTATAAAAAAAAGGAAAAAAATTATATTTATTGGAGGGGGAGAAGTAAGATGTATTTGTGTGTAACAAATTTTCTCTATGACAATTAACTAAAAAAGAAAAGTCTGAGGAAAGGGGGTAAGGCTCAGTTAATAGTAAAAAGACTATAAGACTTGCTATTACTATTAGCGGCCGAGTTTAAGCTCTGATGACAGCAAAAACGGAATTCCGTTGCTTTTCATCATTTTGGGGGAGCGAGAAAAGGTCTATGGATGGGTGGTGGAGGAGGAGGGGAGAGTGAGGTGCTTTTACCCTACAGCATTGTCTCATTCTTTAGTCTGCTTTTCGTGGCTCTGCTAATGCACACATTCCTTTTTTTATATATTTTATTTCCCTCATTTTTCCTCAAGCTAAGCTTTATAGATGGAGATATATATATTCTCTTTTTTCCTTCCATTTTGCCGCATTGGGTGAATGCAAAAAAAGAAGGGGGAAGGGTAACGAATTGAGTTGGATGTGTATATAAGCTTTATATCCTTGGTCAAGTAAAAGTAAAAAGGGGTTATTTTTCTGTCTATATTTCTGCCACCCTCAATTTGAGACAAGCTAAATAACCTCCAACATATAGTCCATTTGGTTGTGATAAAAAAAAAGAGTACCCCCAGCTCTCGTTCTGCTCCACCCATTTATTTTTTTTAATTATTTTATTTCTTTGGCTCATTTAAACTTTAATTTATATTTTTACAGATTGTAATTCCAATTCTGAAAGGAAGCAACGTCAATTAGAACGACTTAGACGTGAAGCGGTAAAACGAGGAATTGTTAATAATAATGTCAATCATGTTGAATGTTCGGAAACTACTACAGTTTCATTAGAGACGAAGAAAGAGGATTTGGAAAATGTTGAAAAAGAATTTGAATTGGTGAGTTTAAGAACTTAAATAAACGTAAAAAATATTTTTTCTGACAGAAAGCAACAATTGAGGATGATGAGAGAATTCCTCCAATTCCTCATTTGCCAAATCAAGAAGAATTGGGCACTTCGAGTTCAGCTAAAAATAAGTAAAATTTAATATTTAAAAAATATTTTAAAAATGATTTTATTAGAGATGATCTTCGTTCCAAAATTTCTGAGCGCTTTTCTTCTTTGGCTGCGCGTAAACAAAAAATGAGACTTATTCAATCGAGACTTAGTAATTTACAACAACAAAAGATGGAAACCACTTATGATGAGGCATTAAATCGATACAAGTTTGATTTTTCCTAAGATTTCTTTTTTATATTTTTTAGGTTTTTGTCTGAAATGAGGAATAAATTGGAAAATTTACAAAATTCTGGATTTACTGGAGATGATTCTTTTAATTCTGTTGATGCTGAAAATCAAGCTTTAAATCAAAATGATGATCTTCCCAAGAATGGAGAAGAATCTCAAGATGTTAAATTAAACAAGTTTGAAGTACCAAATCAGGGCAAACTTTTGGCTAAAGAGGTTTCAATTTAGACTTTATGGAGGTTTAGGGATTAGTTGAGCTCGGGCATTTGTATAATCATAGCGTGGCTGTGTTTGTTAGTTTTGGTTATCGGTACCTGTGCTCGGTATCCTTAATTCAACCCTAATAGATAGTATATTCTTCGATAACTATCGATAAGCTAAATCTTTTTCGGATATTAGATAGGTAAATCAAGTCCATTTCTGGATAGATAATCGATATCCTTTTGGATAATTCTATTTTTGTTTAATTCCTCAAGTGGGTTTCACATGGGATAGACCACAAATCTTAACATTAATCTTTTTTGCTTATCTTTTTGTTTTTTAGTCTGACAATGTCAATTGTACTGTTGAAAAGGCTGCTAATATTGATGGTTTTGTTGTTGGTTCATCAACAATTAGCAACGATGAAACTACCTTTTCTACAATTGAAAATAGTTTGGAAGGAATTGGGAAGGATCAAACTGCACAATTTGGTTGGACTGGGAATGAGGTAATTTTTAATTAAATTTTTGGTTTTTTTTTCTAGTTTTTGTATTTTATTCATCTTTTTATCTTTCTTTTTTTATCGTTATATCTTTATCACTCTATATGACTTTATATGTTACAGGCTTTAAGAATGATGGATAATTTGAAGATTTGAATTAATATTTTTCTAATTTTTAAATCCAAAAGATGTCCATATAGTAATATTTGAAGTTCTTTCTAATTATTTTTAGTTGACTCAAATCATCCATCATATAGCTTTTAGACAATTTATAGTCTATTTCCTCTCATTTATTTTTAAGCTTAAAAATAGGGAGGGATAACAGAAAAGCAACAACAACTGTTTATTTCCCTCATTGAACAGCTGCATATTTAAACTAAAATATAATTTTCTGAACAAAAAAATTTTTTTGTTCATATATTTCCTGTCCTATTAAACTTTCTATTAGTGATCAATTTTCTTGATTTGTTGTCAACTTTCTCAAATCTATTTTATTATTTAGAACTTTTAGAAAATATTTTTATAAGCCTTAAATCCTTCAAAATATTAGTTATTAAAGATTTGGCTAGTTTTGATCCACATTTTTCTGTGGTTTTCTAGGTATGTATGTGTTTTGATTAACCTAGTAGTTTTTTTTGATTAACCCTCCAAAATATCGATCTTAAAATACAATTTTCGTGTTGTTTGATTTTTTGGAGTGATTTTTGTTTATTTTGTCTTTGTTTATTAATTTTTGTGTTTTGTCGTCCCATGTTTTTTATGTCTGAATTTTTTTAAATTAAGCACCTCTAATGTAGTTCCTTCTCAATAATTCAAGTTTTTTTGGTTAGGTTCTTCTAAAAAAAATTTTTTGTCATAACTTTCAAGAATCGGGACTACATTCGAAAATGTCACCCTAATTTTAAATTTTGTTTATTTATCTTTTGTTTTCTCTAATTTTTATTTATTTTTTGTATTTTTTATTAACGATTTCTGTGTTGTTGTGGTTAGTTGTTGTGTTTTTTTTACTAAAAAAAGAAATTTTATTATTTTATTAACGACATTAAAAACTTGAAAAACACAAAAAAATGAAATTAATTTACCACAACAATTTTAATTATTTAAAAATGGATAGTTGCCAGTTAAGTGAATATCTTGCCACAAGCTATTAAAAATAGAATATCTTGTGCAGGATTCGCTTAGACTGGATCTTATCCAATAAGAAAAAAAAGTATTTTTCAACATAACAACAGAAATTCAACACCACAGAAATCTAAATATATTTTTATTTTATTTTTAATGCCAAATAATTTTGGTTTGATTTAATCAAAAATATAACCTTAATTTTTGGGGGGTTTTTTATATCAAATATTTTTTTTTAGAATCAAAATACTTCAACAAGTAAAAGTCAAATTACTATGGAAGAGAAGCAAAACGATGATGGTTCTGATTGTGGAATTAAACTTTGTGGAAAAGAATTGGGGAATTAGATTTTGTTTATTAATTTTTAGAAATTGATAAAAATTTAAAATATCAATTTTCTTTTGAAAAATTGGATTTCCTAAACCTGCTGTTTTATTTTTTAATATTTAAGTTTTATTAAAGTTTTAGTGATGCGTTCAATTCAGAAGTCAACGGTGAAGAATCAGTTGAAAAACAATCTGCTCCGTTTACTGACGAACAGATGCAAATGGAGGTTTTTTTTCCTGTTTGAGATAAAAATATGAATTATTTTTCTTTTATTAGATCAAATGCAAGACAAGCGGTGGAGGGGTGATCAATGTTCGTGTGTCTCATCTTCTTCAAAGCGGCGTCTTCAAGAACATGTGGAGGAACAGGAATGACAAACATGTTCAACAAACATCAACAATAACTAGTACAACAAGGCGTGGAGGTGGTAAATATCAACAAAAAAATAAATAAAGGTTTATTTTTAATGTCCATTTTTTCTATGTTTAAAGTATTTATACGCCGAAATACCAAATCCCTCAAAAAAGACGCTGAAATACCTCAAAATTGTTAACAACCTTCCACGCTTTAACCTTTAATTAAAATAACCGTTACGTGATTGGAGCATTTCCACATTTTTGCTTTTTTTTCTGCAGCTTTTAGGGAAAAAGGGGTGTTTTTTTGACATTTCGGCGTGCTTCAATTATTACAACGTTGCCATTTTATTTTTTTTAATTTTTTAAATGGCATCGAAATCTTTATGTAGTTGTTTTATCAGTAAATTTCCTCAATAATTTTGTATTTTTTGAGAGTTTTGATTTAATTTTTGAAATTTCAAAGAATTTCGGTGCCTTAAATAAATTTGTTTATTAACAAACCACATATATTTTATGTAATTTATTTTCGTTATTTTTACAGTGGAATCTCTCTATAACGACACTTATTTGGTTAGCTATTCTGTCCCGAAGTATTCTAGTCTATTCGACGCTCTAGCGGTTAAAACAATGTCGGTGTATAGAGACTCCATTTTGTTTGACATTTTTGTTTCTATTTTTTATTCTTTTTAAATTTAATAGAACAAATTTCCAATTTAAAATTGTAAATCCATAAATCGGTTCTAGGACCGCTATATTTTTTAAATATTTGTTTCAGAGTTCAAAAATCTGCGATATTTGGCATAATGCAAAACATTAAGAATAAATGACACTTCATCCCAAAAATCAATAATCGATTTTTGATGTTTTATGTAGTTCTCTGTTGTCCATCTTTACCAAAGGTGTTCTAAACAGAATGCGTGGCTTTTCCTTTTTTGGGGATTAACCTTTTTAGGGGGGAGGGTAGAATTGTGTTGCGGACAAGACTTGCTTTTTTTCAATTTTTGAAAAATGCATCCAATTTTTTTCAGTGCTTCAGCAGCAGCAACAAACAACTTCAACAGCAGCAGCAACAAACAACTTCAACAGCAGCAGCAACAAACAACTTCAACAGCAGCAGCAACAAACAACTTCAACAGCAGCAGCAACAACAAAAGTCCCAATGTATCGCTTCGGCGGTATATGGGCAAAAGTCCCAATGTATCGCTTCGGCGGTATATGGGCAAAAGTCCCAATGTATCGCTTCGGCGGTATATGGGCAAAAGTCCCAATGTATCGCTTCGGCGGTATATGGGCAAAAGTCCCAATGTATCGCTTCGGCGGTATATGGGCAAAAGTCCCAATGTATCGCTTCGGCGGTATATGGGCAAAAGTTTTAAACTCCAATGCTCTCGTCTACATGGTTAGCTTTTAATTTAAATTCGCAAGTTTTGTCCGCAGAGTTCCCCCTAAATAAGTTTATCCTTTCCCAATGTTAAAGCCAATTAAATTGTGTCCAAGTTGTTGTCAAATGAAAAGACGTACAGCAGATGTTCAATTGGTTAAATGCATTGATTTGCTTGTTTTGAATGGTTGATCTTTTGATAGGTTGTTTTTATTTTCAATAGTTTTTTATTTACTTAATTTTTAGCTTTGAGAGAGTATCCAGAAGCTGTTAAGATTTTTAACGAGGTTATTTTTTATTATTTACTATGGCTTCAAGATTATTTTTTAGGCCGGTGAATTGTTGTGGTAAGGCCGTCTATTTGATGAGTATCTGGTTTCCACAAATTTTCGTTTATTTTTAAGTTTTGTCCCTTTTTAAAACATTAATTTAAAAATCTCCGTTATCGATGTTTAAATCTCCGACCAGTTGCTTCCCTTGGGTAGTTTACTTTGCTTATTAGGGTTGGCATTTGTTCTGGTCGGGCTTCTATTTTGTTTTTTAAAAAATAAAATTTCGGAGATGGTAAGGGTTGTTTGTGGTTCGGTTTGTAGTAACCTTGATTCGTCTTTTCGGCTGGAAGGTTCGATTCCTTTCAGTGCCTATATTTTTGTTTTTTACAAGTTTTATATTTTTTATTTTTGGAATAAACGACCATATTTTTTGATCAAAACGTATCAGAACTCCTAAATTCGAGGAAAAATGATAAATATTTGTAAGTTTCTTCCTGGGCGATTAACACTTTTGGATCTTTTTATTTCCAAAATTGAACCATAATCACCTTCATTCTCTCTAGAGCGATTTCCAGGCTTAGGGTTCGCAAACAACACAAATTCCTGAACTTTTTGTTTCTTTAAAAATTTAATTTTTCAGCTTAAAGAACGTCCATATGCTTTGGCAAACAACATAGAGCTCTGTTATTTCTGAACGTTGTAATGGAATTGATCATCATGAAACAATATCTGATTATGTTAGTTTTTGTTTTTAATTTTATAATAAGTTTTTTTTCTCTCTGTGAAACTGAAATTTAAAGGTAGGGAATCTTTCTGAATCGCCGTTTAAGTCTTCAGACCAGATTTTGTGACATAAGCTTTTTTTGGTTATTATCCGTTCCTAGCACTTCATGTACCGATAGAAGACTTTTATGTATGGGTTCTTTTCCTTAATGTTGCCTCCCCTTCAAAACATCCTATAAAAAGTTAGTATAAGTAAGGATAATCGAGATATTTCAATTATTTTGGGCCATAATTTCAAGTTTAGTTCGATAAGAATTATTTTTGACAATCTGTTTAAAATAAATTTTGCTAAATTCTAGATCCACATTCAACCGCCAACTTTACAAGACAACAAACAAATGAAGATTTTGATTATTTTTTTCGTTTAAAAACATTTTTTATATTTTTTTATTTCTTTTTACAGTAAATGTTTAAAATTGTGTAGTTTTGTTTGAATCTTTCTTTAACATAAGTGCTAAAATAGTTAGGCAAACTAAAATTTCGAGATAATCTTTGTGGTATCAGGACTCTAATGTCCTTCTCAAACTTTTAAGTAACTATTTCGTTTTTCAAGTAAGGTGTGATGTACCAAGTAGAGAGAGAAAATGTTTGAGGTAGTAGGCTGAAATAGCGAGATTTCTTTAATGTTAGAGAAAAATATTAATACAATGATGATGGGTCGGTTGAGTGCTGAATTTGAGAGCGCAATAACTACTGTAAATGAACGTGAAAAGAAGATTTTTCGTACGCGAAATGTCCTACTATCGTCGAAAATTCTAAATATACTTAATAAAATCAATACACCAGTGATCAATACACCACGTATTTCCAAATTAATACAAATGCTAAGTTCCAAATTAGTTGCTATTTTCCAAATTAGTTGTAAATGAGTCGGAAAGATCGATTTTTAAGGGTCATAGTATAGTATCAGAACTCTAGTGTACTGTGGCTATTTTAAATAAAGGAATGTAACAAGTAGATAGGAAAAAATTTTAGGTCATGGGCTAAAATTATGAGATTTCTCTAACGTTAGAGAAAAATGTTAATACAATGATGATGGGTCGGTTGAGTGCTGAATTTGAGAGTACAAAATTACTGTAGGTGAACATGATAAGAGGATATTTTTGTAGGCGAATTGTCTTGATATACATAAATATAAATATAATCAATTAAATCAATACCCTAGTTCCAAATCAGTTAAAAATGCTACATTCCTAATTAGTTAAAAATGGTTAAAAATCATTAGTTAATAATTAGTTAAAAATCATTGTATTAGGACTCTAGCTAAAATGTCTTAAAATAACTATTCCTTAAAATCTCTATTTTTCAAAATCTCTACACGGCTAAAATGTCTTTAAATAACTATTCCTTAAAATCTCTATTCCTCAAAATCTCGACACGGCTAAAATTCTTAAAATAACTATTCCTTAAAATCTCTATTCCTCAAAATATCGGCACGACTAAAATTCTTAAATAACTATTCCTTAAAATCTCTATTCCTCAAAATATCGGCACGACTAAAATTCTTAAATAACTATTCCTTAAAATCTCTATTCCTCAAAATCTCGACACGGCTAAAATTCTTAAAATAACTATTCCTTAAAATCTCTATTCCTCAAAATATCGGCACGACTAAAATTCTTAAATAACTATTCCTTAAAATCTCTATTCCTCAAAATATCGGCACGACTAAAATTCTTAAATAACTATTCCTTAAAATCTCTATTCCTCAAAATATCGGCACGACTAAAATTCTTAAAATAACTATTCCTTAAAATCTCTATTCCTCAAAATATCGGCACAGCTAAAATGCCATAATATATACAAGCTAAAAATAAGACTAAAAATCAGAGTAGCCGTTTCAAAGTAGGGACTATTCAGAGTAGGATCAATACTTCCGTGATCGAGACTTTAGAATTGTTCTGATTTATCGAGTAGTATAGATTTTTTAAAAATCAAGATTTTTACAATTTTTTTGAACACTCTTAAATTACGGCAATCAACTGACCGGATTTTAATTGGATAGAATGTCATTTTTCAAATTAAACATTATGCCAAATTAAGGAAATTTTTGAAATTTATAATTAATAAGGACAGGACTCAAACGTACCTGTATATAATGTCATTTATTTCTAATATTTTACATTATGACAATTTACGCGGATTTTTAAATTTTATTTAAATGTTCATAAATTAACCAATTTATCGCCCTAATCAATCATTGTTTAAACCATTTTTCCAAATCATAA